TGTGCCAGTCCTTTGGTTGTTTAACAAAAAATCAACCCTTTACTTGGTGTCAGTTGGAACTGTTCTTCAGATAACTGTCTGCACATTAAGCTAGTTTATGCAGCCATGTAGAGTCTGGGTCATCATTCTTCCCTCGTTATATAAGTGACCTGGCCTTTCCTCTTACTGAACACTCAAACCTGATGTCTTTAAGGCAAGCTGACAGTTTAGACAAAATATGAAAATCGTTGAATCACCTGATAAGGTACACACACTCCAAGTAAATTAACAGAAATTTCCAATTATTGTGCTGTGCACCCTATCCTAACAGACCAAAACTAAACATTTAATTTTGTTAAAATTTTGTGTATTAAGTAGCATCTCACACTCTGCATAAAGACTGCACATACACTGTACTTTTACAACGTCCTGTGTTATTTTAATGGTAAATCCTTAAGATCTACAACATTGATTGCAGACTGTATGCAGTAGATTCTTTGCATTGTTTTATACAAGGTAAAAACATACAATTGCATTATTGTAAGGGTAGTGAATAGAGAGCTGTACCCTGGACAGGAGGGTTGTGGGTTCAGATCCCAGATGGGATTTTGCTGTCATGCCCTTCATTAAGCAGCAAGTTAAGGAAAACAAAATTAAAAACAGATTCAAACACACTTGGTTTCTCCTCAGCCTGAGTACGTGTTTAACCGTAAACCTGTCTGCTGCTGGGCACTTCACTCAGCATGAATGTAATCAGACACCGAAAGCTGATCGTCTGTCATGAAGAGGCATTTGTTTATTGTTCAACCAGCTTCTTCCACATTGCTCGCACTGCAGATGTTTTATTAATTAAAGCCCTGCAGCCTGGGTTAGACGGGACAGTTCGATCCATGCTGTCTCAGGAGACATCCAAGCCCGAAATAAGCGTCCTCTCTTCCTTTGCTTCCAATATCCCAATCAAACAGACTGGCAGCTGCTACAGTGTCAAGGGGCTCACACTTACAAGGGATAGCTGTTAATCCTGACAGAGGGTAATTAAGACGGGCTCCTGTCTGAAGTTTCCAATGTCTGCTGTCCTGATAGAGTTCCACATCCTAACACACCGTTTGGCGGGATTAAAACAACTACAAGGTCAAGCAAAAGCCTTAGATTTTGCTATGTTTTTAGATTAGATATACTGTATACATCCCCTTTTGTAGGGGCGACACTGTTGCAAGTACTAGCTGTGTTTGACTTCTGCGTTATGTGTTCAGAAGCGTGACATCCTAGAACACATACAGCAGAATCTTCCACGGTACAGTACTGCACATTTAAGTTAAGATTCCCCTCAGAGGTATGGCATAGCAAAAGGCTCAACCATCACCTGCTTCTAGTAGAATAATAACTATAACCATGTTATAGAAAAGTTATTGCTGCTCTGGAATCAGAGAAGAACAAACAGATCAATTATAAACTGTCTTGCTTAACAGGCTGCTGACTGAATAAATCAGTCTTGTGGTTCTGTGAACTGTCCTACACTGAAAGGGACTGAAGGCACTGGACCTGTTCATATTTGAGTAGAGAAGAGTACAAGGGGACTTGGATACAAATATTCAACATCCTCCAAGGCTTTGACAAAGTCAGCCTAGTGGACTTAAGAATCAACTGTGAATCAGAAATTAGAGGACACAAGTGAAAACTACTTGGAAGGGCATTTTAAACAGGTGGCTGTTCTTTACCCGAACAGTAATATGAAACAAGCGATCCTGCCAAGTTTACTTAAACCCTGGAGTTTTTCAAAAAATGGTTTGAAAAGATCCTTGGATTGATGAGAAACTAACTACCAAAGATTAGATGGGCCAAATGACCTCCTCTCATTCGTAAATGTTCTTATGTTCTAATTTAGAAATTAACATGGAGCCAAAATATAATCAAATTAAACTATTAGCTTTGAATTTTCTGTTTCTTTTACCCTTTCCTTTTTTTGCACTAAGCCACCATCAACTGGCTATTGGCTTTAACTTATGTTTTTTTTTTAAAATAAGATGCATTTTGTTTTGTGACAGAACTGTACATCTCCAGAAAAAAAAAAAGATTTAACAAGTATACCATCGTTAAAAGCTCTGTGTATTTTGTTGGTGATTTTATTGCAACAGTCACTGATACTAATTCTTTAGCAGGTGCAAAGAGAATTTAGCACCGTGTCAGCCCCAGTGATCATTAGCGTTGCTGCTTGAAGAGGTGAGACCAGGTTGGCAGGGATGGTGAGGCACTTCTTCCGAGCTGTGAATGATTCCTTGCCTCTATTGGATGGAAGGATTGTCTCTATTGGAAGGAAAGCACTTTGAATCTGAAATGAATTTTAGACCCAAAATGTCAAAAAGGTGGGGGATAAAATGTTCTTAACTTGAGCTTAAGTTCAATGTATTATAAGGATCATCAGTTGCATTTTTATTCTGTCATCTTATACCCAGCATGTGCTGATGCTTTGCTTACACATAATCCAGTTTCACAGGGAGAACTCTTTTTTATTTGTGTCATTTTCTATTTCAAATCTCCGTTATTTAGTCTTTACTGCCTAGGAATTTCTAAATGTGTGTATTTGCCTCTTTGAGCAGCACTTTAGGTCATCTTTATGGAATACATCAAAGCTGCCTTTTCTTTCTTTTACATCCTGGACAGTTTAAATCAAGTGCAGGCCTAACAAAGAGAGTAAACACTTTAATTGGTTGTGTTGTTCAATGGCTGGCTGGGAAAGGATGTCTCCTGGGGACCCCTACAAATGTCAATGGAGTAACCCAGCTAATTTCTCCTCAGAGCAGGGGAGCAGCTGGGCTTGTTTCCAGGGCAGAGGGAAGAGTCTAGGACAGTCAGCATATTCACTTTTTAACCCAAGCGTGCCTGGCCAGGCCCAGTGGCTCTGTGGCTAAGGATCTGCGCCTGTGACTGGAAGGTTGCTGGTTCAAATCCCATGGCTGGCAGAGGAATCCTACTCCGTTGGGCCCCTGAGCAAGGCCCTTAACCCCAACTGCTCCAGGGGCGCCATACAGACACCAAGCTTCTCTCCCTGTCTGTGTCTCCATGGAGAAAAGCTGGGGTATGCAAAAAGACGAATTCCTAATGCAAGAAATTGTATAGGGCTAATAAAGAAACATTATCACATTATCATTATCAGATCCTACTCAATCATCAGATCACCAGGTGTGAGATATTTAAAAATGAGTACATTGCATAATTACTTTTTATTTAATGATCGAGTACTCAAGCTATAACTGCCACTGTCTGAGGTTTGCTGTTATCTGGGCTCTGATCTGAAGTTCTTCTTATGTACTATAGGGCATAAGAGAAATATATGTTTTGTATCTGGAGGTGCTGTGAGCACTCGCACATACTTCTAAGCAATTTCATTAGTGGCGATTGATTTAACCTATGGGTTATCTTTGCTGCAGTTTTCACAGGCAAGCCCAAAACTAATGAGAAACCTACAACTAATGCACACTTGCGGTCATTCAGCCCCTGCCTACACACCCATAAACACGTTAACTACCACTTTATAAAATGACAACAAGCACTTGAGATTCTTGACTTCCACTGCAAATTGGAAGGCTGCATTCTTTTTCTGTTATATTGGAGGTGGATGCAAAATTGAGTTCAAATTAAACTCATTCACCTTTACAGTTGAACTATACAGAATTTCTGGTGACATTTCCTGTTTTCAGCTACTTGGTTTTCCAAATCAATACCCTTTCTTCTTCTTGCACTTCAGAGCATGTATCCACCTCACAGCAGTTTCTGTTTAGCATGCTTTTAAACGAATCAAGCCCCTTCTGAAACACCTAGTGTGCCTCGGCTTTGATCAAAACAAAAGCCAGTTAGTGCCACACAAACTGCTTTCTGTGCACGTGCACAGAATTTCAGACTTGAATAAATGAAGCCATTTCTTTGATCACAGCATTATCTATTTACAGTAATGCCTTGAGAATCACAATGAAAAGCATTGCAAATTAATTTTCTCAAACCCTTACTGAAGCATATCTGATAAGGTGTTCAGTTGTAATCTCTTTCTCTCTTTCAAATGCTTTAGTCAACTGAGAGCTATGCATGGCCATAAATGAGTCAGAGGTTTTAGAAGAGGTGATTATAATAATGCAGAGAAGGAAGTCCACGTATGCCATTGAGGAATGGAACAGGTTTTTTTTTCTTTTCAAACAAAAACATTCATATTGTCTGTGGAGCTAATTTATTCCAAAAAAAGTGTCCAATTAGCACATCACATATTCATGTACATAAATAATGTATGATTTCTTTAGGAGAATTCAGAGAGAGACATGTGAATCTCCAAGTCAGTCTAGAGCGAATCATTATCTTCCCAGATCCACGAGAGGATAGGGCGGCTTTAAAACAGAAGCTACAAAATCTAAATGGCTGTGGGATTTCTGAAAAAAAAAGTGTTTTTAGAGTTGACTACAGTATGAATAATGGTCCGGCCATGGCTATTGGCAACTCTCTCTCAGGAGATTCTAATGCTTTCTGAAATCAGGATGAAGTGAAGGTCTAGCAGTCTTCAACATTATCATTGGTTGCATTTTTAAGACCTGCAAAAATTACCAAAAAGAAGATTATGAATCGGCACTCAAACACTTGCTCACTGTATTCTTGCTCTGGCCTTGGGACGGGGGATTCATCTGGTGAAGGTGATTTCTTTTAATTGGATTGTTCTTATATGCTATCACACTGAAATGAAAGGGTTGTGATTAAACCTAATGTTAAATGGCCTTTTCTGAACATATTAAATCTACAGAGGATTAACTTCATGATGGTACTATAAGCAGGAGAAAAACAAGTTACAAACTGATAAGTGTTCAGATGTCTTGGACAGCTTAACCATCTTAGAACATAAGAGGGATTCTTTATATCAAAAGGCTTGTATTTTGTTAAGTAATTTCTGCACATCTAAAGTATAAACGGACAGGAGCATGTTTACTTGCAAAGGCAGTTTCACTTTCAAGTTGTTGACAGTCTGTCCTTGTTTCTCTCTGTAGAAAAAGCCAGAGATTACCTCCATAAGACAGGACGGTTCATTGTGATCGGAGGCATCATCTCACCAGTCCATGACTCCTATGGAAAACCGGTAAGAGTCTGTCTTAGAGCACAATACTAGCTCTTAAAAACACTTCACTTCAGTACAGGTAATCTGAAGCTGCCATAAACTGATATCAGCTGTAGATGATCATTACACATTAGACTATTAGCAATGTTCACTGCGTATGCACTTGGGCTAGCTGGGACACTAGAGGAATAAAAGGAGGTGTGATTGTCTGTCTAAAAGATCATAATGTGGAACAAGTACAAATGTAAAATCCTCATCTATAACCCGTTGCACCCAATGTTAAGTAAATATTCTTTGTTGTCTGTGAAGAGTCTGCAGTTCCCTGCAGACTTTCAAAAAATGATAGCATCTGAGTTATGTTTTATAATTTAAAAAACTACCTTTCCGAGGAAACATGCACCTGCCCATTGCGACTTTTATACTTTATTAGAATGTGTAGCTCCACACTGTATTAGAATACCAGTACATTGCTGTAGCCTGATTGCCCTTCACTAGAAGCTCCAAACGCTTGAACATCCTGCCTTTTCATCTTCATTCCTAAACTAAATCCTGCTTCCTTATTAACTGGCATTGGAAGACATCTGAAATGCATTTGTTTTGTAGTTTTAACTTACAGTATATCCCAGAGTACAGTTTATCCTGTTCACAGGTTGTCTCATCCTATCCAGAGGATTATTTTCCAGGTATAGCTATTTTATGTAATATTTAAATAAGAATCCAAATACATAAAAAGGTACAGTAAATGGGACAGGGGATATGTATTATTCAAATCTAAACTGAGAATCTATAAGGAGACAAGGCTGTTTAGACAGTCTCCTTTAAGAGACTTCACAATCGGTCAGTCAGGCAGCCCAAGTGAAGCAGCACAAAAAATAAATTGAGTTTTGTAGTGCACTTGAAAATAAATAAACATTTCCTATTGTAAAAAACACATTCTCATTCAAGAAAAGGTTCTGAACTTCCATTATACTGAGGAACACGATTTGTTTGGGGATTTTGTAGGAGCGTTTTGTCTTTAATCAGACACGCTAATTAGGCTTTCTTTATTTCAATGCATTGTTCTTCCAAGGCTAGCTATTCAAGACTGTAGCTAACAATATTCTGCTATTGACTCCTGGGGCCCGTTTCTGTAATGAATGCAAAGTTTGTCCTATTTTTATTTTTACCAGAGAGAGGAAAACATTAATATTGCATTAAAACTGCTGGAAAAAAAAAATCCAACAATGAAATGATGGTTCAAAATAAAATCTCTCTGTTCCTTCAGCCTGTCAGTGTAGGACATTCCCTTAAGCTCAGGAATATACTGGTTGCTCTTCTCTGGACTCAAGAGATTCCAGATCAGCAGTGTGTTTTATAACCAAATTTGTACACAACATTCTTAAATAACTACTGCAATGTACAATTTTAATACTGTATGACATCCCTTGGTTTGACATGACACTTTTTTTCCCTATATAATCTAACCTTTTGTTTGCCTTTTTTACTGCTTGCACAGATTGTTTGGAAGATGTAACCAATGTGTCAACAAAAACACCCAATTTTTTTTTCTGTGTTGACTCTTCTTCCTCAGTGTTTCCCATTTTGGATTTATAATTAACGTTTGCACTACTCCCAAGCAAAACCCAGCACTTGTTTTCTTATCATAATTTGTTTAAATCTTTTCGAATTCACTTGCTGATTCTACAATGTTTACTAAACCTTCTCATTTGGGATCATTTGTGAATTTGACTACTTTACTAGCTATAGTAAATATAGATCATTGCTACAAATTAAGAAAAGCAGTGGTCCTAGTACAGACCCCTGTAACACTCCGCTAATTACATTCCTTCAATCACATCTTTTGTATGTTATTGGAGTATCTAACCCCTCTTATCTGTAACCTCTGTTTTATATTACTCAATTCACAATCCAAAATCACACACTTCCCTGATTTCCTATCACCTGTAATTTTAGAAATAATCTTTTAGTCTCCTGAAAATTTAAATAGACCTTATCGTGTTCTCCATTTGAATCCATTATGTTAGAGCCTACATACTTTTCCTAAATCCACGCTGACTATTTCGTAGGAATTTATTTCCTGTAGGTAATGTTCTAGTTTGGTTTTAATATTTATTTAATATTACTGTACTAATACACAGTCTAAAAATCAGACTTATTACTTTGTCCAGTTTTATCAGCATTTTATGGAACTGGCTCTACATTAACAATTTTGAAGTCCACGGTTACCAGCCCTGTCTTGATTGTCTGCTGGAAGAAAACTATTCAAAATCCTTAAAGGCAATAACAAATGATAAACTCAATGGACTTGAACATATTTCAACACTGAAACATGAACCAGAGGATACAAATGGTAATTACTGTACATGGAAGTGATTTCAAAACTGAGGACAGGAGGCACTTCTTTACGCAAAGGGTTGTGGGAGTATGGAACAAGCTACCCAGTTATGTTACCGATACCCCTGGCTTTTTTCAAGAAAAGGCTGGATGAGTTACTCAGATCTATTAGCAACTAATTACCAGATGGGTTAGATGGGATACATGATATTGTTCTGCTGTAACTGTCCTTTAGTAATCAATTTTGATGAATAGCTAAATATAAATCTTAAGCTATTTGTTACTCTGAAAGAGATATGCGTCTTTTCAAATTAAGCCATACCCTTGATATTTTGGGAATATAACCTATAAAGTATTTTAACCTGCAATTAGTATACTCTCATACTCTTGTGTTTTTTTAAATTGTCAGATACGAATTACTGCAAGGTTTTTACCAACATTTGGCAATCGTTTATACAGTTAGCGTAAACCTTTCAGAGATTCTCCTTAAAAGTTCACATCACCCTCATTCTAAATTGGAAGAATGAAAGTAGCAAAGACTTGGCAATCTCTCATACTAATACCAAATGAGGTGTTAGCTGGAAGGATTCTTCACTTTGAAATAAGAAGTTGCAATTGTAGTGTTAAATCACAGTGTGGTTTTGGTTTCTCGTAATTCATTACATTTGTTATTCTCGGTGTTGTCACTGCTTCACAAAAGGAGTGCTGAACTGTGAAAAATATTAAGATTCTTCCTTAAATCTTAGGGCGTCCATTTCTAGTGTGCAGACTTCTCTAAGGAGTCTCAAATCCCTCTTGTAATTAGTACTCTATATCTCCTTTTCACTTGCCTCTTACAGCTCATTCAACTAAATAATTTACACTACAAGGATGAATTTTGCACCATAATAGTGACCAAGGCAGTCCTTATCCACAGAAGAATATATTATCTGTATTCCTGCATTCTCCATGCAGATTTGCGGGACACTGCATGTTGCGATAGACAATTGGACCGAATTATCAGACGGAACAGACAGATAACAACACAAGACTGATTGCAAAAAATTCGGAATAGCTGCCAATTATTACAAAATATTTAGCTACAAATTATAGCTTTTTCTAATATTAGAACACAAGACCTACTGTAGTTTAGCCTTCTCATATTTATGACACGATACCAAAATGTAGGAATGTATTCCTTCTACATACACAATAAATTACAGCACACAGCTCCCTTAACCCTCTTCATGAATTCCATTGCTGTATTTGAAATTTTCAAGCAGGGTTTTGGACCTTTCAACTTTGTTTAAAGTTTAGTGTTTGTTGGACTGCATCTGTGTTCTACAGTCATACACATGGAAATAATAATAATAATTAATAACTGCTTATATAGCGCTTTTCTGGACACTCCACTCAAAGCGCTTTACAGGTAATGGAAACTCCCCTCCACCACCACCAATGTGCAGCATCCACCTGGATGATGCAATGGCAGCCATAGTGCCATTGCATCGCTCACCACACACCAGCTCTCAGTGGGGAGGAGAGCAGAGTAATGAAGCCAATTCATAGATGGAGATTATTAGGAGGGCATGGTAAGGGCCAAAGGGAAATTATGGCCAGGACGCCGGGGTTACACCACTACTCTTTTCGAGAAATGCCCTGGGAATTTTAATGACCACACTTGTTTGACGTCTCATCCGAAGGACGGCGCCTGTTTACAGTATAGTGTCTCCGTCACTATACTGGGGCATTAGGACCCACACAGACCGCGGGTGAGCACCCCCTGCTGGCCCCACTAACACCTCTTCCAGCAGCATCCTTAGTTTTTCCCAGGAGGTCTCCCATCCAGGTACTGACCAGGCTCATACCTGCTGAGCTTCAGTGGGTTGCCAGTTGTGAGTTGCAGGGTGATATGGCTGTTGGCTATGTGCCTGCTGAAATGTGCCTGATCACATTTCTCATTTCTCAAATATTTAGAAGACAACAGATAAATTAACAAGAGGTCATTCGTTCTGTAAATTTGAATCTTCGCTCCATATGATGGGGGCCCGATGGAATATGGAAGTAAGAGAAAACAGCACATCTTGAGAATGCAGAGGGCAATTAATCTGTTACATTTGTAATAATCTACATAACACATTACTGTCAAACTTTAGCCCAGTGGATCATTTCACATTTATTTATCTATTGACTGTCAGGATATTTGAAAACGCAAATATTAAGGCCGTTTAAAAAATTCAATGACTGAATGGAATGATGCATCGAGGTCTATTGCAAAGTGATGCGCTACTCAGAAAACTAAGGCCACTGAAATGTTGAGTTTCTAGTCCTGTTTCATGTGCTGTCCACAGTGTCTCTGGATGCCAGCCATTCTGCAGTCCACTCCAGTACTGTCAGAGGGCCCTGGCACACCTTTCTGTGTTTAAAGGAAGTAGGCTGTGCCAGAGCACAGCAAAACTGGCACTGCTTGACAGTGTGGTGGTGCAGGGATGCTACGCTGTGTTGTTTGTAGACTGGTAGCTAGGGACTGGCACAGAGGCAGGGCTGGTGTCAAGCATCTGCCAGCTGTTGAGATGAAAGACTGCTGATAACAAGGAGGAGAGTTCTCAGAGCTGTAGAGGTGGGGATTATCTGAAAAATTTAACAACCATCTGCTAGAGGGAGAGATAGCTGTTCTCTGCACCCCCCATCACTCATTTCTGTCTTTAGAGGGGACTTTTTCAGTGACCCTCCTTCAAATTGTATTTATTATTCTGTACCCCACCAAACTGAAACTCAGGGGTTAAATCGACTTTTACTATATTTTAAAACAAAAGGCCATTTAAAAAACATTTTGGGGTCATCCTCAAGCCACTGCATCACTTTGTGATGACATTTTCTCAAAACGGGTTCCCACATTCATGTTAATACCTTAGCACATACACATTTTCCTTCCACCTGATGGATTATTCTGTATTAAACTTCAAATACTATCATGGGGTCATATAGGAAATGTAGTGTATACTATCATTTAAGATCGCTTTATTGACCATATGCTATTTCTTGTACTAGAAACTTACCTTTTCGCACACCCAACTTGCTCTCCTTGGGACACACAGACAGGGAGAGAAGCTTGGAGTCAGAGCACAGGGTCAGACATTTATACAGCACCCCTGGAGCAGTTGGGGTTAAGGGCCTTGCTCAGGGGCCCAATGGAGTAGGATTCCTCTGCCGGCTGCGGGATACGAACCAGCAACCTCCAGCTACAGGCACAGATCCTTAGCCACAGAGCCACTGCTCCACCCATTGGTGTAGTGCGTTCGAGTCAAATTAAAAATCAACATGAAAACTGAATCAAGGAAAGAAGTGGCTGGGGAAAAAAATAGAGACAGAGGCGCTGCCTCGTTAAGTCAATAATAAATGACTATTAATATACTGTATTTGACACCCTTAAATATCTGTGCTGGCAGGTCTGCTGGAGCAGCTGTTTTCTTTTTACTATCTGAAATGTAGTCCAGACATACAGTAGCACTCCCTGGCAAGCTTTCCTTCAGGCTAGTCTGCAGCCTGTGTCAGCAGAAGCATCTCAGGACTACAGCCACAGATGATCTCGTCTTGAGATCTGTGCAGTCATTTACTTCCGCCTAGTATGTAGAAGTCCACTCACTACACTTACTGCTTCCGAAACAAAATCAAAATGTGCGCATGGTGCTTTTTATCTGTCTATAAGAGATTGATATTTTTGAATAAAGAGCCAAGAAGGACGTTTTTAAGGGCCATTTTATTGTTTGGTTGAATGTCTCAGGGCTTTTTTTTGTTGCTTTTTTAAGATCGAGATTTTTGCCTACTTCGATATACCAAAGCTTCCAGGATAATTTATATTTGCGATGCATTTCCCGAGCACGTCTAGTTAGTCAAGACCACCTTGCAAGTGAATGGAAAGTTCGGCAAAAGGACTTGGTCCCCTTTCCTCTATTTGTGCAGGTCCATTCTGTAACAGGTGTCTCCCTATGTTCCTTTCAGGGTTTGGTCTCCAGCAGACATCGTCTGACCATGTGCCAGCTGGCCGTGCAGTCCTCTGACTGGATTAGGTGAGTGGGAGCTCTGGTTCTTCAAAGACAGCTGGGACTTTGTACGAGACAGAGTGGTGGAGAGCACTACTGCAGGCACTGATGATGAAATAGCTGGTTCATCATCTACAATTCACAAAGCTTCCAGAAACAGATCCTACAGATTCTTTGGAAGTAATTCCTAATGCCTCAAAACTTTGTCACTAAAAGCTAAACGTCACAAGATACAGGTTAGGGCCAGGAGCCATGGATGAACATAATTCTGGGATATTCACAACAGGAACCCGTTTTGCCAGTTACCATGTTTATACTATATACCGAGAAAACCCAATGCAGACATATATAAAAAGAGATTAAAGCTAGTTGTTGTCAAACTAAAAAAGAAGTTCGCTTAGGGACCTAGTCTGAGACAATAACAAACCATACAGAAAAAAACTTTCATGAAAACTGGACATGAGGGAGGAATGTGTTGAAAATTCCTGCAGCATACCCCAGAAAACTGTGAAATGAAGCGCGATTGACTGCAGATGCTGGATTAACAACTGTATAAAAATGAAATCAAACTGGTGAGCTGCCACATCGCACTTCCAGCAGCACAAAACCACAAATCAGCAATTATAGCACCTTAGCCTGTGGTTAAATACTGTATGTGAAAGGTAATTTCATGAAGACTGCCCTGTCTTGTTAAATGTGTACTGTACAGTATATCTTACCTGTACAGAATATTTTTCACCCTAATACAGCATACAGCTAAATTTCCCCACATTTGTCATTAAGAATAAGAATAATTCTGAGACATCTGTTTTTATTCACTGTACCTTAACAGAATATTAATCACTGGCAGATGAGTAGTGTACTGTATGCCATTGATAGTAGATTTGTTCAAACTTTCTCAGAACAGCAAAGGCGATATAAGCATCCAAGGTCTGTGATGTAACAGAATCTGAGTATTGCTATCAATTTTAGGTGATAAATTCATCTTTTATCCTCGTGGACGAAGTACATAAACAATGCACTGCTCAGTTTGGACACCTATGTATAGCATAGTGTTATGTGACAATGACCATTAAAAATATACTAGCAGGATGTGTCATTTACTGAAATCTTAACTGGCTTAAGGATTATGGGTTGTGCCATTCTTATTTAAAATTATAGACTTTAAAGCAATGTGTAAGGCACTATTTTGTTTTCAAAGTACAGTCAAGACTAAATTATTGAATGAAGATTCAAATACTGTATATATGGACTGAAGTACATGCTACTTTATTGAATCAGTAAATTAGTGTATACTGTGTATATAAGACATTTGATGTGTACCTCTGATCCACATAATTCTCCAGAAGTTACAATAACACAGAGGCACTCAACATTTAAAGGAGTTTGGGATATGTTATAATGAAGTGTATTTTAAGGAGATTTGACAGGGGTCAGAGATACAGCTCAGAACCCTAGAGCTAACAATGGAATTAATTTATAACTAAACAGTTCACATTGCAGCACACGATATGAAATGTTAGACTCTTAGATTTAATCATCTCAGATTCTGTGTACTCTTGTTTCAGTAGACAGGTTGTGTATTTTTCATTTCTGCAGAGATTTACTTTGCTGTCATTGCCAAATACCAAAAATTGTAACTCTACAAACACATGATGCTGGTGTGCAAGAAGATGATAAATCATATACTAAAGGGAAAAGGGTCTTTTCTTACTACAGAATAACTAATAAAAAGTTACATTTACAATACTATCCAAATGTATTTTTTATCAACACAATTCAACAAAAGCCAAAGTATTTTCCGGCAGTAATGATCTATTTTTTGCATTACCATCACTTCTATTAATACAGCAGAAGACGTGGTATTGGTTTCTGGGGAAAATCCATGAGTGTGTGGAGTCCTGGACTTGACAAACTGTTTGCTGTAAGTGTGAGGATGAGTAGACTAGGCTTCAAGCTAGTCATTGACAGTAAGAGCACAGCAGTGTAGCACTTAACATGTGAAATGTTCTCCTCTCAGACTTCTCTGGTCTAATCAAAGTGCCTGGGCCTGAGCAAAGGTTCATGATGTTCTGCTTTAAGAGCCCGCATGGTGGATTAATAGAAGCACCTTGCTCTGAGAAATTAAAGACAAGTTTTCCTGTGCTTTTAAAGCTCATCAATTTTCAAGTTAAATTTATGTGTTTATTTGTATTTATAGTGTTCAGTCAAGGACCATGACATCTCAAGCCCAATCCCCAGTTATGAACACTGTTCTTTATCCATTTGACCTTTAAAATATAAAAAGAACATAATAAAGGTTGCCAAGTCATTTTCAAGTCATCTAGCTTATTATGAACAACAGTGAAAGTAATGAACCTTTAAGATCTCTTTCTTTGGTTTTCATTAACCAAACAGACTGCATATCACATCTTTTTGCCATTAAGCAAAGAAATCAATATCTCATGTTTACAGACATCTACAGTATTATGAACCACCTTTAATTTAATTTAATTCACAAAGGTAACAATGAACAACACCAAATAATCCTACTTTTAAATATTTTAAACCTTGTGTAGGATTTTTCCTTTATTTCCAGATTGTATTTTCACAGTTCTGCCTGCTCTACAAACTATTAAGTAAATGTTCAAGGAGAGTAATCCATTTGCTCCAAGACATGTTTTATCCATTTAAAGCACTGGGCTCATACACAGCAGATAAGGCCTTCTTAAAGGTTGTTAATGTATATTGTAAACATTGTCTAAGTTTTGCTTTCATGTTTTGTCATTTTAGTGATGCCAAGATACGAGTGCCTACTTTAGAATGATTATATTTATTATTGGTAGTGACAAACTGTAGCGCTTCACCATCAAGCATTTCAGACCTGACAAAGCAACAGTACACAGTTTCAATTATACAAATCAGTCAAACTACAGTATATTTACATCCATTGTAAAACACAAAAGAGCACTTAACTACTCAACACTCCCATTGAGAGTGTTCATTATAGCTTTGTATGTTCACGTTAATTATAGTCTAAAACTGTGCCACAAAACAACTGGAATTGGTTTTATTTTCAATGAGTACTATTTTTGTCTCTGAAAGCTGATAAATGGATTTTTCCAATAAAATGAACTATGCAAACATATTGTAGTTGAAGACTGTGACTGTTTTGATTTGGGATGAAGTGGAATGGGTGATATAAAATAGCTGTTAAGAAAAGCAGTAATTTACAATATTTAGTCAAAGTCAGTGAGCGACAATCTGCATGCGTTTGGAGACAAGGATACACTGGGATTAATTATAAAAACACAGTAATGTGTCCGAATGTGGTTTGACCTATTAGGAAAGATCTATTTTCTGATTTTTAGGAAAATACCAAAAAAGTGATATACTGTATATGCATGGAGGTACTAACATGGCATAAAAATAGACACACACTGGCACAGTTGGTTGAGCAAAATAAGATCGTGTACATATTCTTGACACAGCTCGGAGAGGCTGGATGCATAAATCAGTCAACTACGCACTTGTCATGCTTTCCTGCACTTGTGGTGATGATAGAATGGCATTGCCTGACAGTGCTAACAATCCAGGTTTGGCTCCTTGTTCCACTCCACTTCCTTCCAGTGTTAGAATATTATTTCAGTAAACACCCAAGCACTCCCCATTGAGCGCAATAATCTGAACTGCGGCTACCCAAGATGTAAAAGCTATACCACCACCTCAGTGTCACGTCAATCCTATTAAGTAGCTACTGTAGAATGGCCCGAATTCTGCATCCTATGCAAGGAAGGGTATTTTATAACTCATGACTCATAAAACAAACCAAAAAAAATCTTCCTTGCTGAGAAAGACATTGAACATCTTCCGGATAACCTCCAAGAATGAATTAGAACACGGCTCCTAAGCTGACATACACACAAAATATGTCCGCAACAAAATCAATCCCCTAGACTACTGTATGTTACTGCCACATAATAAAAACCAACAATGACTTTTCTTTTGCAGACAAATAAAGAGAAAGTGCAGAATGTTTAAACACATGAACAGATGCAATGAACAAAAGATCAACCGAGGAAGTTTTCCAATAATTAGGCAGGCAAAAACTACCCAGTTTCCATCTGTTCTTGTTCTTAGGCTGTTGTATTTAATTGCGAAATGGATATTTTTTCCATATCCTGCTTGCTTTCCACAGCAAGCAAAGTTTATTTCCAAGACTGTGAGCAGAACTAAAAATGAGCCTTAGTGAAGAGTCCCTGATTTTCTAATACTCATATTACCGCATCAGGTGAAGTAAACAAGATGTGTTCTGCATTTATTCCTTCCATAGTGTGTGTTCCCCACTAAGAGTATTTATTTCTTGTTGTCCGACTTTTCTACGACACATAGTTTACAAAATTCTCCAAATCCAGTGTAGGAACAGAAAATATCAAGCGATTTAACCTTCCACAAGGAGACACTTGTCTTGATAAAACAGATTACAACACCCAGTGGAATTGTGTGCAACACAGAGGCAACTGAGAATCATTTAATTCTGAAGGATTCTCCTCTGAGTGCTTATAGTTACAGTTCCTTACTCTGCTGGCACTACTAACCAGGGAATCTGTGTGATTAATGTAATGTGTGACAGCATTGTGTTGTAAGATGCCTGGAAAGTCATTTACAAACCAATTCGATCAAAATGTCAGGAGAGTGGAAAATCCCTTTCCAATTCACAGAACAACCTATGTGAGGAATTTCACTTGTCAAGAAGAAGTCACAAGACAACTCACAAAAAGCTAGGTACAGAAAATAATTTTTCCCACACAAAATGTATCTGGAATTATGTATATTAACTATTTCCCCTTTTTTAAAATATATTTTTTTAAATGTTCTATGAATTTCAACCACAGTGACATTTCAATGTGTTTAAAAACCCTAAAACATACAAAGTAATACCTAAAAAGTAAATCTACATATTTGATAGCTAAATTAATATTATGAAGTCCAAAATTAGTGATAACTAAGGTCTGTGAAACCACTGGAAAATTTCATGCAGACTGACAATTTCCTTTTTCACATTCAGGAAAAGGCTTATCAGCAGGGATTGCTACAGTACAATTCTGGCTTCTGTTTGAATGGCAGCTCATGTAACATTAAGAACACACCTGTGCTGCTGACTGCATAGAATAACTAACCTTAAGTAGATCTAAAGAAAGCTTCAAATCTCATTCAAACTTCAAAACCAAATTTATATTTATTATTGTTTTTATGTAAGGTTAAGGGGCTATGGAACACAAGTTTCTGTAGACAGCAAAATGTGCAAAAATTTACCATCAGCATCTGAAGTAAAGCAAACTGATGTACCCTTCCACCATTACCACTTTCTAATTAAGGTAATTAAATATAATTATTCTCAGCTTTAATTAACTGTGGTTCTAATTTACATGGATGACTCACTGATAAATCACAACTGGAATTTTAGCTCTGCTTTAAAATGTGCATTATTGAGTTTATTTTTTGTAATGCTAATGAGGCCATCTGAGAATAAATTCTCAACAAAGCAAATCCCCAGCAAAGCTTTATGAGAATGATTTGGCTGAGGAGAGACATTCTCTGTGTGACACTGAGTTTTTCATTTATGTTTTACAGGAGACAGTAGGATTTGCAAGGCTTTTAATATTACTTTAAAGTAAAATCAAATGGCACATAATTGAAATCATTTTAAAAAGGGAAACATTCAGTATAAACCTATGCATTGAATGTATAAATATTGTATTCTGAATGATTTATATGCAAATTATCCAAAAACTGTTTTTTTGAACTATGACTGAGCACTATGGCTCCTCAGAGTTGATTTTTTAAAAAATATTTTACAAATAGATCAGGTCTGTCAAAAGCAAACAGGGGGGACAAAACACATAAAGGAAAGATTTCTCAGGGCAGCATACTGAACTGTACTTCCTCAGATGTATGCTTGGTTAATCAAAACGTGGCCCATCAATAATTCACAGCAGATCTGAGATTGCTCATGTACACCAAATGATAAATAGCAAAAGAGCAGCCTGTGCCACAAGCAAATGAATGATGTACGCAGTCTAGCAGAAAAATGTAGCATTATTTCATGAGATTATTTCATTAGAAGCTTAGGGATTCTAAAACGGATGAAATTTTAGAAATGCATTGGATCACCTTACTGTACATGTGGAATACATAGGTTTAAGTAAATAGGAAGAATAAAATCCTGTTGTTGCACCTGCAAAATTTATTCTCAGTCTGAAAAAACAGATATCTGGTCTTATCTTAATTTAGACTTATAGTTAAGAGAATAAATACTTTGTACTATAGTTCAAGAATGTTTTTTAACTCACAGTGAAATTGATGTGGGATCACATCATATAGAATTGAAGAAATTTCTCAAAATGTCTTTATGCTTGTGCTGCTTAATGTACTGTATACATTTAAACCAATATATTTCCCCAGAAACCAAGACTGTTTTATACAATTTTCATGCATGAAGAATAGATTTTTTTAACAGCTCTGTTCAAGCAGAAACAAAATGCTGTCAATAACTGTACATGTTTGAAGTGATCATGAATATTCTCCCTGCAATGTATGCCAACAATGCCCACAAACTCGGATACAGGTGTGCTAACATTTTGTCATAGTATGACAACAACAGAATTACAGCATTGCTATAAATGCAAAACTAAAGATATCATTAAACATGTCTTTAAAAATATCACAGGGTAGTATAAAAATACAATCTATTTATTCAGTACTAAAGAAAATAAAAAAGCACCAAAACGGTCTAAATTTGTCAAAAAACATGGCCTTTGAAAACAATTTTTAAAGCAAGATTGTGTGGGGATAAGGGTTTTGATTTGTACATTGTTGATGATAGCAGTATTTTAATTCCTCATTTGCTAACCATTAAGAGATGTCTGTGTATAACATACAACCAAATGATTCCTAAATATGGGAAGTTAAAGACATGGTTAATTACTAATGTCTTACCCAGTTTGTTGTAGCAACCTAAAGAGGAAATTCTTGTATTGATCAAGAGAGGCAAACAGAGATGAGAAAACCATCAGGAAACTGCAATCATAATATGGCAAATTTTGAAGTATACTTGGATACTGTATGTTTTTAGATTAATTCTCATCTAAAGCTTACAATTTCAGAAAGCTTTTTCAGGAAGAAATTGGACGTAGCTCAAGAGGAGTAGAATAGGAGAGAATAGATATGGAATCTTTTCCATATCTGTATGTTCTGCAACAGGTTAAAACATTTAAAAAAATGGAAGCACAAAACACATTTATGTCATAAGTGAGTAAAACAAAAGCTAAAAAAAAAACAGCGTCCACAAATGGCCGAACAAATCAACAGAGGAAAAAAAGCACTTAATAAAAATTATTAGAAAAGCACAAGATGCAGTTAAAGAAAAGATGAGCGATGAATTCCAAGCACAGGTAAGAAAAGAGAGTAGCCGAAAGAAAGATGGGAAGGAATATTGCAATGACAGCTAAAAACATTTCTTTCACTACTAGAACAGCAAAAGGACCATTAAGGATAAAGTAAAATTTATCTGGGACAGTGATGGGAGATCTCTAGACAATGAGGAGGAAATGACTGATGTACTACATGAGTACTCTGCTCTGGAGTTCACTAAGGAAGAAGTTAAGAACATTTCTCAGGCAGTAGGAGGAAAACTTTCTGTATTAAGCAGTATTAGCATAGAAGAGGCAGAAATATTTTGAATACTGGGATTAATAAATGTCCAGAGCCCCAAGGCATCTTACTTTCTGGAGCAGTGTGGCGCCAGGGTGAGGGTTGCAGACTCTGGAAAATTGTGGGTTCCAATCCTTGTCGAGACACTGCCATTTTACCCTTGAGCAAGGCACTTCGTGAAAGTTGTTCCAGAAAACCCCCCAGTTTTCAATTGTGTTTGATGCTTTTGATAAGGTAAGTACAGAACGCTGACCTGGAGACAGAGGTGTGGCCACAGAAGAGGAGCACAATCTTCTTCACATTTACATACACAGCACTCTAAACTGGCTTGATATGCTAAGTGCCTTTACCTTGCAGGTACGGTATATAACAATATAAACATAGGAAAGGTCAAAACCAAAACGATCAAAAGCCAGAGTAGGAGAGCGGTTTCCGATATATTAGACTATGAGCAAATGTGTGTCTGCTTGAAGAGAATGAAACACATTTCATGCTGAGTTCAAAGTTTAGGAGATTTTCTAGAAAGACTGGACAGGGAATAACACTGCACATATTCACACCTACATAGAGGGCCAAACTTAGAAACCGGGCTGCTCAATGATGGATTAGGTACCATTACAGATAGAGGACCCCTGGAATAGTGACCTCCTAATAGGGTAGCACAGTGCAAGTATTTGATGAAAATAGGTGAATGTTTCAATTTATCAATAAATTGCTGTACTATCGATAAAACAAAAAAGGGGTCATCTTATGACAATTTAAGTTTTCCATTTGCAAGAAAAATAAGCTTAGAAGGATTTATTTTAAGCACACAGCAGAAAGAATTTTTAAAAATTCAGTTCCCGTTTGCACACAGCCCAGTACCAAACAATAATGTTACAATCTAATGATGAATTAATCATTTTTGTGAAGCACAACAGGAAACCAGGATTCTCACTGTTGCCTTGGTAACTGGCAGAGGGAGATTCTGTGAAGGACTTCATAGTTCACTGGGCACTTTCAGAACCTTCCACATTTTGCTCTGTGAATAAAGACCGATTCTTCAGAAAGAGCAGGGCATTTGGGATTCATTTTCATATTGTTCTTAAAGGTGCATATTTCCTTCAAGAAAATGCTTAAAATGTGACATTTGACTAAACCAAATGCTATCACCTTTTCTTTCTTGAAAAGAAAATGTTACTCTTACCAAAACATCCAGTTTATAGAAAGAGTAAGTCTGACACCATTTTTTCTGTAGATTGGTGTGTCCAATAAAATAAACAAAGGAAATACATTATGTAATTGCATTTGAAACGGCCCAGGCAGAAAACTGGAAATTAACTCAAGTGCATACTTTAATTTACCCAATAAGCAGCAAAAATTAAATTAAGAGAAAAAATCTATTACACTTTAAATATTCATTTATTGGGTGCTTTATACATAAGGCTTTTAAGATTTAAAATGTGAACTTCAGGGGAGTCTGGAAGAGACTTCTGATAATTTATTCAGAACTGGAAGGATGTGTGCAGTCAAGTTTTACAGAAAATAAGAAGCTTTAAGAGGAGATGACATAAGACTACAATATTACTTCTGACAATATCGCGTCCCATATGTTCTGCTGTCTTTCTCTTGATCTCAGCAGGAGCCCAATGCTTCAGTTACTTCGATAAAGCAGTACAAGAGAGACTCTCCACGCAAACCCTTCTTATTGTCCACCAGAATGCTCTGATCTGAGTTGTGATTGATGTCTGTCATTAAATAACACACACACACACACACACACACACACACACGTGCTGGATCGTGCATAAACGAATATTGGCATGTGAGCAGAAGTAAAAGATGCCCACAGAGACAGTTACAGCAGGTGGGATAGCAGTGAAATACTCATTATCCAGGATACTGACAATCGAAAGTGACCCCTCCCTCTCTCTCTCTCTCAAGGGTGGACCCCTGGGAATGTTATCAGGATACTTGGCAGACCACTTGCAGTGTGTTGGAGCACCACCGTGACCTCATGAAGGTAGGCTGAAGCTCTGTTGGCCCACATTACCAGGGGAAATTAGTAAATTTCAGCTGCAACGCTTTTTTTCTCATTCTTTAGCTTTAAGGTTGCCCAATTTGGCTTGTTCATGCAGATATGCTGGCTAACACATCCATTATCCAGAAAAGCTCCTAAACTCTGCGTGTGTTCACCTCCTTAGACATTCTGTATGCAAATAAATCTTCCACTGCTTTCAGAATGAAATCCCTGCGTCTTCTTCCATCCCATTAAGAGCAATGATTTCATGGACAATACGAAAAAAAAACCTATTACAATTCCTTGCCCACTCCTCAGTAAGATTTGATTATATAAACCACAATTATTTTTAAAGTATCAACAGACAGAAATGACCTCCATTCACTTTTCCATGATGGATCGCCAATATTCTGTCAATGACAATATAAGCAGACTTCATCCTTATTTGGAAATTAGAACACTTTGATTCACATTTAACAGTTTATCTTACTACTGTGCCTTTCAATAATGCTCTCTACACTGACGCAGTCTCTAAATATGCAGAATGTGACTTGCAGCATCTTGTGGTGATATAAACTGTGAATGTTAATTGAGTTCATTCATCTAAGATACACACTTTTTCACAGTTTCAAGCCATGTAACACAATGTTTATGAATATGGCAGAGTAAATATTTTTTAATTAAATATGGGAAAAAAGGGACACACTATGCCTGAATAAATTTCTCTAAGGAAATACTTTCCCAAGCACCAGCTTGTCTCAGTGTGAGTCAGGTATGCAAAAAAAAAAACAGTTTTAAATACCCTTCTGTAAGGAAGGCTGTCAGTCATTACAGTTTACTTTACCTCCATGACATTGAAAGTAACACATTGTGTATCGAACCATGATAAGTTATACATCTGAGCAACACACAGTATAAACTTTAATCCTCCACTGCACATCATATACAGTACAGGGTTCGGTTTGAAATCCCACATATTCAAGTTTTTAAATGTCTTTTTCCTTGGAGTGTCATTACCATAAGAGCTTTGCATTTTGCAACTCACGAGGTAAACAATCTTCCTCTGTAAAATTATCTGTGATTTTTCTGCGTAAATTATATCTGGATGTAACAGAATTTATTGTTGAGCCGGTTGCAACCAACTCGGCAAAAAAAAAAAATATTCTTTAGCAAGATCTATGGATGCATCACTTGTCATTTTATCAATAAATCGATGTTAAAGCACCCTAATGATATTACCACAATGGTTTCAAAACTGATACTGCACCTGCCCCCCACAGTATATACAGTATGTGGAAAAGCGGATATTTTATTAATTAAGCCCTTTACTAATAAACCTGTAAAATATCTTTTACCCCCTTCATTGTTTTTATAAACTAATCCTCCCCATCTTCATGCTGTTTTGGATACGGTTGGGATCTAGACTCAATATAATTGTATCCTTGTTATTTTCCGTTCCTGCAATTGATCTGGCAGTGTAAAGCAGATTCAGAGGAACGGAACTCATTTCCCTTTCTGTTAAGTCGTCCCAGGATAGGCTGCCTTTGAAGCTGATCATCTGGCAATCCGGAATTTATACTCCAAGTCTTGCCTCATATCCCCAGATTTTTCCTGATGAACGCATGTTAACTGAGAAGGATTTAACCCACAGCTTGTACTGGGATTTACCATCATGCGATCCTCTCTCTCTCTTAACACCCAGAGTATACAAAACAGTACTTTTCTGTGAAACCTTCAGCAAGTGACAGTAAGCAAAAATTTAACTAAAGTAAACCATGTCAAAGATGCATTTATAACTGATCCTGTTCATAGGATCTATCCTGGTTAATTAGAAGATAACAATGATTAAAGGAATGTTTTTGAGAAAAAAATTAAAACAAAACATTTTTCTGACCAAGCAGAAGGTTACTTACCCCAGTACACTAATATGATTCAGACATCTTAGATCATCTTCCTCTTGAGAGATATAAGGACTGAAAATACAGTCACTCCAAATTATTATTTAGATGTCTTCTCAAAGGTTTAGAAAGCTGTACATCGATTGGATAAGAGGCCCGGGGCAATGGTTAAATTAAGAGTGCATTTCATTTCTGAGCTGCCTTTAACCTTCTTTGTAGCTCATTGATGTTGCTCTCAAAAGAGAGTCTCACTGCCTGGAGAAATTGGTTTATAGCTGTTCAAAATGGTTGAGGATTACTGTAAGCTTTGTTAGGTTTATTCGTATTTCACACTTAATTTGCATCTCATTAATTTAACTCTAATTGCCTGGAGATTGCCTTTTTACTTAGCCTCTCATGATATTCTTGAGAGTTTTCTGTGTACCTTGCATAAAACTAATTTAGGCAATTCAGAATTCCTGCAAAGTAAGTGTTTTTGTTGAAAACTTATAAAGCTTCTGTTCATAAACTCAACTGGTATAAGGAAGGTTTATTTAATGAATCATTCAGCGAGAGTGAAATAAAGTTGAAAATCCCTTGAAAGCAATTAAGTTATACACAGAATAAAATCCCGTAATACAGTATGTATGGTCTTTGCATTAATGTTTGCCTGTCACCTCTTCAAACCCACATGAGCCTAAATGAATTAGTGTTGCTCCATCCTTTTCATGCATTTTCCAGTAAATCCAGATAACAAATACATATTCTCATAGCAAATGGAAAATATAATTGCTAGCCATTAACTGCTGTACCTTTCCTGGTGGGATTAACAATGTAATTGCAAAAGTGTATAGTAGAAGTCATTTTTTTCCCCTCTCCACATAATATCTCTATTATAATAATGTCATTCTGACTTTGGGATGAGGAATCTCAAAATGGTTGGACAAAAGAATAAATAAAAGCAAGAGGTTGAAGTTGTAGGGATTCTCATAGTCTCTGCTTTAGGTAAATGAAATGGCTTGGAAAATGACTTATTAAAGACCACAGTAAATTGTAAGCCAGTTGATAAGATAAATGCAATCACCTGGTGCTCCTCATTTAAAACTGCAATAGAATACAAATTAAGAGTATCATTTTTTATTACTGATAATGCATTTTATTACAGTCCTTCAATTCACAAGGCTGCTCTTTTTCTGCCATCTGATTTTCTGTTGAGAAATGGGGCAGGCTTGCCCAGCCCAGGTTTGTTTAAGGGTTTAGTGAGAGCAGACAAATTGCCCACCTCATCTCAGAGGCACGGAGCCTAAGTATTTCTCAGCACATCATTGAGCCATACCGATGACATACTGGCATGCACTTTTGCAAGATTACCGAACATAAAGACTGTTCTTAGGAGTTCCTAAATCATTTTCTTCACCTCCATGAAGAAATACTGAATGATGCCAACAAAAAGTTTCTGAGTCACAGCAGGGCTGCAAGACAAAATGCAGGTTGGATCCCTCCCACGGTAAAGTGTCGTTATTGGAGATGCGGAAGAGGAGGTTTGAAATAAACACTTTTTGGGATAACATTGACATCATTGTTACAGATCCTTAAGACATTGTATTTTTTACAGGATGTGATAGTATATCCTTAAATTCTTCCCATTAATGCCAGGTAGTCCAAGGAATTAAAAGAAAAAAATGAATGCTTTTCATTAAAGATTTTGTCCCGTTCTGGATCTTGAGATAAATTATGGGTCTCTGGTACACAGTGCTCCCCAAGTGGAAATCACATCACCTTTACAAGAATTTGACAGAAATGGGCACCTTTTGGAGTCCGACTGTAAGTCTAAAGAGAGGGAGATTCACAGAAACCAATAGGTGGTCCTTAGAGGACAGGATTGACTTACAGAAGAGCAAAAGCAAGTGGAATTGAACTTCAGATCATCTCAAATGTATCAGAGAACAGGTTCAAAAGAAGCCAGAAGTAGGCACAAATCATTTCATAGGCTACACTTTGGAAATTTACACTGCAAACAGTTTCTCAACACCTTGCCTGAATTTATAAAAAGGTGGCCTCTTAATTGCTTTCACAGCTTTGCGCAACTCAGCTTTGGTGTTGAAGCTGATAAAAAATTCATTTTGTGTCTCTCTTGTTCCCTAGAGGGTGACGGGCTGCATCCTATCTAATGTGAATTCTCCTTCAACGACTCCAGTGATTGGACAGCCACAGAATGAGACACGCCCCATCTATCAGAACAGCAACAATACAAGCAACAAGCCTACTGCCAGTGAGTTCCTCTCGTCTTTCCCTTCTAAGAGATGGACTCTGAAAGTAATAGGGGTATTGGACACCACAAAGACATCAGCATTCTCCAAGGCAGATCTCCACAGTCAGAAAAGTAGTAGATGTGCAGTACATGCCTATGCTCAGCTAGTGAAGAGGTCTCCAGCCATAGTCCTTGAAAGCTCCAACCCAGCAGGTTACACAGGTCTTACAACACTAATTTCTAAATATTTCAAAAAGTACTTCAAATTGTACTGTATTGATACAGCCAGAATAGCATGAGTTAAACATATCCTGCTGTCTGCTGAACATCTTTAAGAGTTAACGCATCATCTAAAAACTATACATTGCTTTTTTGCAGTCTTAGTAGGTGCTCACAATCTCTGGTCAAGAGAGTAACTGTACTTTGTAAACATCTAACTATCAAACAGCTATGAAGAAATATTCTTTGGATTTTTCTTGGTAGCATATACAGTATTAAACCCTTTAACTGCTGCAGCATATACATTTATCTATCGTATTACATTTAGGATATTTCTAATGTACATTTACCAAGTCAAAACAGGCTCCACACACAATATACTAAACGATTAGATTACATTTGACTTATGAATGTTTCATGTTATTTCTTTACACGGAAGATGCAATGCTAAAGGATGCCGATGCTAACCTCTAGTATTGCCTTATATTACTTTTCCTTTGAAATAGGATTTATTGTAGAATCACACCCACTTTTATTTCAAAATCTGTTTTGTGGAGTGTGCCGGGATGAAGGATAATGCAACATGATAAAACTCTTGAATGTGTCTGCATCAGTATTATTAATTTGTTTGGATGGGAGGGTAGGGGCAGTGTGTCATTATTGTATTTTACGAGTTCCAGAAAGCAGAAATGTGGAGGCCTCTGCTGTACTGTTTTCTTTGATAAGAGTTCCACTTTGTCCACTAACTCTGCCATGATTTTCTTCTGCAGTTAAACTGTTGGGGAAGGTGAGTGAGAGCTTGGGAAAGATCTGTTGTGTCCGGCCCCACATTGAGCGCTTCACCTTTGTGGGTAAGTAAGAAGTAGATCTTCCTTAATTATACTTATATAGCACTCAAAGCACTTTACAGGTAATGGGGACTCCCCTCCACCACCACCAATGTGTAACCCCCACCTGGATGATATGATGGCAGCCAATGTGCGCCAGAACGCTCACCACACATCAGCTATCAGTGGGGAGGAGAGCAGAGTAATGAAGCCAGTTCAGAGATGGGGGTTATTAGGAGGCCATGATTGGTAAGGGCCAACCCTAATCTTTTCGAGAAATGGCCTGAGATTTTTAATGACCACAGATAGTCACTATACTGGGGCATTAGGACCCACAAAGACTGCAGGGTGAGCACCCCCTGCTGGCCCCACTAACGCCTCTTCCAGCAGCAACCTTAGTTTTTCCCAGGAGGTCTCCCATCCAGGTACTGACCAGGCTCACACCTTCTTAGCTTCTGTGGGCTGCCAGTTGAGAGTTGCAGGGTGATATACTGTACAATAGCTGCTAGCTTTTGAACACTTATGTCTCCCTGATGTATTCAGCAGCTTTGAAAAAGGAATCTCTAAATTTAGCTAAGTTTCTAACTTCTAACTTTCTATATTCTAACTTTAAAGTCTTTACCTTTAACGAATCACAAGTGTTGGTTATACACAACCTCTCTTCAATCATTCTCCTCTCAGTTGTCATATTCCATATTATATGCATGGTTTAAAGAAAACATGGAGGCAAACATTTTCTATTTTAATGGAGATTGACTCAGCATCATAAATGTTAGCAATGGCCCACTTAGAAATGTATTTATAGACAACCCAGGTGCCATTTAGGATTAAAAGTAATTCTGTGATATAATACAGCACAGGTTGCACTCTGGCACTTCTACATGGAAGACACCATCCTAAGCAGATGCAGTAAATTAAAAGGCTCTGTTCTTGTACCAATTCTAAAGTCATGTACAGTAATGTCCCTCCAAGGTCAAAAGAGATCAATACCATTCAGCAAGCCAGAAATTACAACATCAAGGAAAGCAAAGGAAATCCACAGACATCACATTCATCACAGTTTGACACATCAGTCTTTAGCCAAAGACAGACTAACTGATTATCACACTGGCAGAAAAAAAACTCCATGCCACCAGCAGAGCACATTTTTTTGTATATAATTTTTAAAGCAATGTGTCAAATGCTTTGAACCTCATTATCAAGATGTTACAGGCGGGGAAGCAATTTGCATGAGAAATGCATAACGGAGTGCAGAGCCCTATTGCAGGCTTGGCAATGCTCCACACAGACTGGGCCCTTTCTGAGAGATGATTAGCTGGTAATTGCTCGGGGCTGTTTGCTGAGAGACAGAGTCGCACACAGAAAAACCCTGCTGCTAATCCAAATTAAAATGAATGGATGGGCACACACTGCCACATCCCCATTAGGAGTGTGAAGGCAAAACTTCGTGAATAAAGCTTTTAAGGAAAATCTTTGGCAATGACAAACCAGCAACTGTTCTATTTAATTTTTTTTTATTTATTTAAAGTCATCTGAGGTGGAAACCATTGTCTTAGAGACTAATAATACCAAAAAAATCAGTTAACAAATCCTGCATGAGAATACAGACACATCAGAGGATAGCCACTACAAACGTAATGTATTAAAGTGATTTTTTAAAGAAAGCACTGATGCTACTAGACTTGGTGCTAGACCACAGAAAGCACCCCTGTCTCTTCCTGTCCAGTTCACTGCAATACTTTGGTCCAGTACTTGTTTCTTATTCGGCTGTGGAGCCTTCTTCAGGTGTGCCATAGGTCTGGTTGGGTGATTATGTACATACTTATGCAGGGTATATCATGTATTTAATGTTACAGATGAGAATGCAAACCTGGGCACTGCAATGAGATATGAAGAGATTGGTGAGTGCACTTCTTGTTATATAAAGTATAAAAAGACCACAGTATTTGCAGATGAGTTCTAATCCTTCTGCAAACCTACTTTATTATCCTTACACAGTGGAAATTTTCCTTAGGCCTACAGAATACGCAAAAACCTTCAATTGATTTTACAGACGTATATGATCAATGTAAGATAAATAATACCATACAATACAATATAGTGCAAAAACATAAGATTCAAGTGTGACCTGTGTGCATATACTGTATATGGAATAGCATGGAATAAACCTATTACTTGTTCCCTTTCAACCTACGCATGCTGACGCAGCTACCCACCTGATATACTGTATATGCTGCCAATGCAATGCTGTGAAGGGGCTCATGCATCATAGTTTAAAAGAGTAAAGGCACTCTGAATGAATGACTTTTTTCTAACACTAGGGACTCTGAAGCGTCATTTACTATTAACACTGCTTTCCAGTAAACACTCCTGGTATAGATGTGGTTCAGCTGGTTTTGTTTCTGACCAATAACATATATTCTCCAAAACAATCTTATTTATCACGATAAATTGTCCCTTACTCAAACTCTGATGCATCCTATGGAAAAATGTTTTTTCATTTTTAGGCATTTCTATTTACTGTAGAAGTATGGTTTTCGCATACATACAGTACATTAATTAGAATTTCCAACCACACTGAGCTTTAACAGGTGAAACCTCCAGGTACTCTAGTACAGCTGTGGGGTCATCAATGTGTACTTGTGACTACCTAGTATAGTGCTGATAAGATTGAACAGGTCATGAAAAAGATTGAATTGAAAACTGCACGGTGGACAAATGTAATGTGGTGATATATAAACAAATAAATAAACAAATAGCACAAAGAGGAACGTATTCCCTCAAATACTGACATCACACACAGAGAGCACTACCTGTAGAAAGACTCTCCTTAAAGTGGAACATCTGGTCCTCTACCTGTATCCAAATTGCAATGCTTACTAACTGTAGAATCACCCAATTTACAGTATGAAATGCTTTATTTATCACTTCTTTGCCCTATTTCTGTCTTGTAGAGCTGCGGATCCTATTGTTGTGTGGCAGTGACCTGCTGGAGTCTTTCTGTATCCCTGGGTTGTGGAACGAGAGTGATGTGAGTTACTCTACAAGGCTCCTAGAAAATCTAGATACTTGCAGTGCTCACCATCTCCAGAGGGCGGTGGTCTGTCCGGGCAGCTGGACTCAATCGCCTTTCCTGGTCATCAAAGCCTGACTTGTTATGAAGAGGAAAACGTGGGGAGTAAAAACGGGGAGACTCAAGGGTGAAAACTCTGTCCAGTTTCATTCTCCTTGAGGATGAGAAAAGAAAAGGGAAAAAAAACCAACACTGTCAGATGGATTTTGAGAAGTTTCTAAACGTATGACAAGTTGGAAAACATTTCTCTTCCCCCTACTGTATATGTATTTGTGTTGCAGATGGAGGTGATTGTAGGAGATTTCGGGATTGTCGTGGTCCCTCGTGATGGCACTGACACAGAAAGGATCATGAACCACTCTTCAATCCTCCGCAAGTACAAGGTGGGATGGTCAAGTCTCCCCAAACAAGTACAACAAGTAGGCAGCAAAATTTACATCAGCTGGGGTTTTACTGTTAATGACTGTTGGCAAGTCACAGTTAATGGGTTCACACCTCATAAGGATAAGCAGAACATGTAGAAATGGCTATTTAATTTCAATACAGAGCAATTATATAACATTATTAAACTATTAAAAAAATATTCATTTTAAAATGATAAAAAAACCTAACCATGCGCAGCAACCGTCAGTACCAAAACATGAGGTAAACACCCAAATGGAGAAATTCCAAATGTAACTTTATGAAAGCTGGCTTCATGCTTGCTGGTACAATAACTAAATATAACAACTACTCTTTTTTTTCCAGGATAATATTATTGTGGTAAAGGACGACATGAACCACCCAATGAGTGTTGTCAGTTCTACCAAAAGCAGGTAGGCCAAAAAGCATTTGCAAATAAATATGAGATACTGCCAAATTAACAGTTGTTACTTGTATGACATTAGCTTCATGCACCAACATTTACATGAAATTTCCAAAATCTTATTCCCATTTTACAGCATTTACTTGATAGGTTTTAATCACTGCATTGGAGTTTACTATTCACTTGAAAGTCTCTACTTAAAGGAAAATAACAAATAAATGAAGTTTTAATAGAGAACAAAACATAACCCTTCTGTCAAGCTCTCATTTATTGGATTAAAATAAATATTTCTAAACCTTAATTAGGGCTTGACGTTTTCATGACTTTGTTCACATTTATACAATAATCAGTTATTGACAAAGATTTGTTGTCCTTAATTTCAAGTATTTTTTTAACTGTTGGTTGTTTTGCCTTTATTTGTGATTGGAATACAGCTGATGGGTGTCAATAATCAATCGTGTTGGAATCTGTTTGATTCTTCAGGTAACCTAATTTGGCCTCCAGTTTTCATTTAATAACAGAGTTATTTACCTCACTTGTCAGCAGGTTTTTGGACAACACTTGCATGCTGTGTGAAAAACAAATTTCCACAATTTGTCCAAAGCACGGGCAGCATAGCAACTCAAAACGACAAGCCCTAACGAAAATATACATACTTTGAAAGCAATGTTTATTTGTGACTTCCAGGATGCAAACATGTAGTGTTACACACTGCAAATGACACTATAAGCCTGCCAAATGCTACTTAAAAAAACAAAATGTTTTCTGTCCAATGAATTGAAGAGAATTACAGCATTTAAGGACATTTTTAAAGAACATTTTACACAAGTGAGTGACCAGCCCTGCGTTCTGCTCCTGCAGACTGGCCTTGCAGCATGGAGATGGTCATGTGGTGGACTACCTGAGTCAGCCGGTCATCGATTACATCCTGCAAAGTCAACTCTACATCAACACCTCTGGATAGAGCCCCGCAGCTTGGCTCTTCCCTGCAGAGAGGAGCTCGACTGCCTCTCCTCCTCTGTCTCTCTGTGTAAAACATATACTCCTCCTGCTCTACTGCTTTCCATGTACAGGAGCCTTCAGTGTCTGTCCCTCCTAACTGTATCATAGTGACTAATGGCCCTGCAGAGGTACTACACTGTACAAGACAGCACCGGATATGTGGAGCCCTCGTTGAGTGAAATATCTTCTCTGTGCGCTGAGGGCAGCTGGGTGTGTGTGTTTGGGGGTTGGGGTGTGGGTGGGTTTGGGGGGGGTTTGCAGCAGGGGTGCAAGGAATGTTCTCCAAATGGTAGCACTGTTGGCCTTTGCTGTTCATTTAATACTGTTCTTCTTCGACTGCATGCTTTTAACGTTTTTTTATTTCCCAAGCATGACTGCTGTAATCGCAAAGTAGATCTATAGTCCGTGGTGAATGTGTTAGCAACTAACTGCTGGGAAGAGAAGGCGATGATGTGCTAAACGCAAAGTCCACTCATCTCCCACTTCAGTGTCCATTCCCTGTCTACCACCCCTGAGGCTCCGCCTGTGTCCTCCTCACAGGCTCCAGAGAAAAAAAAATATCGTTTCACAGGTTTCTCTCTTAGCTAGTGCACAAAAAAACTGTACAAATATCCAATATCTGTGCAAGGCACACAATAAAGGGAAAAAAAGCAGTACTTTCTAAATTATTCCTCACTTTAGTGAAGGCAATGTATTGAACAAAAATACATACATTACATAACCAAAGTAAATAAGTCTATCTGAATTTCGGATTGACGATTTGTTTTGACCAAAAGCAACAATCATTCAATGATTTAGCTATTTCAGGATTGTGGAAACAGACGCGACACCTTCTGTAAAGAAAGTGGAGAACATACGAACAGTGGAGCACTGAAGGATGAACATTAATTATCCTTAGAAAATAGAAATTAAAGCAGCAATTATTTTTAAACGTTTACCAGAAATCAGGCTTAGGTCTTGTTTCCAGCTAGGGACTCCTTTAACAATTCTGAAAATGAATACGTGTTGCATTCTCATGGAATTATATCAGCAACAATGGCTGGCATAATCTGAGGGGGCAGTTTTCTTCCTGCAATATCTTTCTCTGTGCCAAGTCTGAAAGTCCAAATATGAATCTATTGAACACATACATCTGCAATAATACAACATGAATATGTTTTAACATGCAAGCAGGATTGGCTGCAAGAGTATATAACAGAGTTGGATATTGTCGGTGGTTTTAAAGATACCTTTCTAGCAAGTCAAGGGGGTGTATCCTGATGGTGACTGCTTCACATTATAGCCTACAGAAAATGTAATGAAACTGGGCAAGTTTTATATACTTGCCATGGCAAAAAAAAAAACAACACAACTCCCTGTAAGGAACACGATTTTAAAGCTTCTACACCAGCTTTTGCAGTAAAAAATGATCATATCCACACATTTATCATTAGCCAATTGTGATCCTAAACTAGCAAATTCCTTTAAATGACTTCAAATACAGTTATACTGTAACACACTCCTCTAATCCATTTACTCTCCTGCAAGACTCTGTGGAAGTAGCAGTGTCATTGACAGATGGGCATTCAGGAGGAGTGTATCCACAGGACTTCATTCTCTCCATGTGTTCTAGGGCCTGTAGCCATTAAGCTAAGCTACTTAAGAGCTGACAATTACTAACTGGGTGAGTATAAAATAATGTACAAAATCCAGCCATTTCTAAAGAGCTTAAAAATGAAATTCACAAATAATGGAGATATTTCTGTAATGCATGAACAGAAATCTGAGTATCGCAACACATTATGCTTGCCAGTTCCAAGTGGGGCTCTGACTGTAGCCAGGAGTGCCGACTTGTAGCACTAAAGGGGCTGTATCACACAGAGATCAAGCAGAGTCAGGTAAAGAATACTGAAAATCCTAGCAGTGCGATACTCGCTGGATGCTGTTTTTGTCTTCCAAAAGAAGACCTCAGCTCCGCTGTTTCCACTGTCTTTTGTGATAAAAATGCTTATCCTGGTGATCATGTTCCCAGAGATCTTTATGTGCCTTTGGTTTCCATAGTAGTTGGGGAGCACAACTTCCTATCAGCTAATGATTTCCACACCGCATAGAAAAAGGGAGAAATTCATAATAAAGTGCAAAATTGCAAATTCAAAAGAAGAACTAAAATGTGTTTAACTACAGGGAAATTTAGTTTACCTAGACTTGCACTCCAGATTAGTCAATGGGCTTGCAATTACTGAAACAGCCATCTAAAATATTCAAGAGAAGCTTAAAAGCTAGTACATACACAGCAACAATTTAAAGCCAGTAAAGGTCATCGACAGAGTTACCTTGCTACCTAGATGTAAGAAGACAAACAACACATGGATATTCCTTGCCTCTTTCAAATCTACACCCCTTTATTTTTTCACCACTCTCCCTCATATACTTCACATGTCTCTCTCTTAATTTGCAGGAATGTGGTTTGATAAACAACATTCAGACAATATTCTCCTCATTCGGTACAAACTTTACAGTCTGCAATTAGGTCTGACACATTTTACCCACAAACACCCAGCCTCCATTTAGTAGGACCAGTTTAAAATAGCAGCATGCAAACCAATGACAACTGACTTCCTACTTCTGTCTCTGGATGTATCTATGTTCTGTAAGTATGTTACAAATAGGGACTGTTTGATAAAAGAATTTACAGACATAAGATTGTATAGCAGGGATTTTTGACAGGATACAATATAAATGAAACACTTGTGTCTGCAGACCGGGCCTATCAGCACAAATGTAGATAATTAAACCATTCATTTACAACAGTTACAAAATCTCAGAAACTGGAAGCTAAATCATTTCACCTTCAAGGTTCTTAAACACACACAAAGAAACAACAATAATTTAATGTTCTATAATGAGGCTGTTCCTTTAGCCCAGTATTTTCATTCTCATTTGGACAATGTGACTTTTGGATGTTTTTCAAAGTGTAATCTTTATTATTTTTATTATAATTTGGGGTTTTCTTTGTTTTGTTTTTATATGCTGTACATTGTTCCCATTGAATAAAAGGCTAGTAAAAAGACATATGACTGCTATTTGTTCTAGAGTGATGACTCTGTTTAGATTAATAAAAGATTAAAAAAAAGGGACTGATGTCGCGTTTTTATTTCAAATGTTTTTTCTTCTCTGCATTTATGTAAAAACAACAGATCATAATCTTTCTAGAACCCATATTCTCTACTGTAGCTACTAGGCACTTGAGATTTTATTTTCCCTAACAATGTCTGCAACAAGTCTGTTTTACAAACTACGCACGCAGGTATCAAATAAAAATCTATTTTTATTTTTGTTAAACAGTTTCAGTTGTATTGGTATTTTCAAATTCAATTGACAACAAACACCTTTGAAAGCAACACACGTTGAAAAACAAGACCAAAAACATTTAGATTTACATTTCCTAGGGGCAGAATGCCCGTACAGTTTTTAATCAATGAAGTTACACCATGTGTACTGTTTAACAGCTACAGTACATACAAGAAGCAAAAAGTGAATAAATCATGTCAGATTAGGTGGTATGCAATCGACCCGAAACAAATTTTAGAGAATGGATTAAGGCTCCCTACCTTCAGTCCGTTGTACGCCTCAGTCCTGAGTCGCCACAAACTTGTTGAGGACAAAGCGGTAATTGAAAACACATTAATGAACTGTCCGATTCAGGGTACAGAATATGGACCATTTGTTTTGTTTTTTGTTTCCGAAGACATAAGAATCACATCAATATAACAGTTCCGCACACTGCAGAGGCAGAGTTACTTTGCTATGTACAAAAAGCGTTTCTGAGCCCTAACCACAACTGGATCTCAATTGTTTTATTGCTTAAAAAATATTGAAACATACACACGTAATGTAACCACGGAACATAACATCTCACTGACGGTCTAATCTTTTAGCAGAATTCATTTTCATAACACGAGCAACGATAACTTTCTATACGATACAAATTACCCCAATAGTCGTAATCAGTCAGCTCAGCTGGACTGGACTGAGGTAGAAAGCACCGCGCCCACTAGCGGAACTTTGATGACCAGAGAAAATTGATGACCAGAGAAAATCAGGGGAAATGGTCGTACTTTGTTTAACGCGATTGTGTAAAAATCTAAACACACGAAGAAACGGACTGCTATGGATGACAAATAATTATAGTGTATTATTTCTTAGTCAGGGAAAACGAGAATACTGAACCAAAAATTCCAGTTAAAAATGTATTCTCCGAGCATGCAGGGTAGTTTTGTGTTAGTATGTTTCACTGTCATGGATGTACTTTATGGACCCTTAAATTGTACTGCATTTTACATGGATGAAGGCTTTTGAATACGCATCTTTTATAGATGACCATTTTGGAAATCCTATATGAAACCGATTATCTGTTTATTAACATGCAGATATACTATAGACTGCCAACTGTTCCCTGTCATTAAATGAAGATTTGTTTAATAAGCGCAATAGCACCAGTGAATAGTGCTTTACTTCCAGAGAAAATACTGCATCTGAAATACCCCTGATTTGACAATCGTAAATACTGTACATTGCTCTGGATTGACAGACTAAAATAAATTGGAATACCGGAGATCTGTTCTGAGTACCAAATGCCAAGATTTCATCTTTTACATCTGGGGACAGGAACCTCCGTCTTTCAGTTTAAAGCACCAAATCACAGACTGAGTGTTACCATAACGCAACGTTCCTTTTCCCTGAAGATGTTTAGGAAATACTTAAAATGTAGCCATTCCTAAAATCCAATTTTTCTGTTTTTGTATTTATGAATGCTGATTTTTAATACCTGTATATTTTTTTAATTCTATATTTGAAAGTAGATGATTTCATAGTAGTCCATTGGTTTTTTTTTCAAATTGCTTTTATTAAATAAAACTTATATTACAGTAACCAAACAGCAAACATACACAAATAAATAAAATGAAAAGTGCTAAGAAAATGTAAAAAGGCCCATGATATTGTCAAAGATGAATACCAAAATGGGAAACAATTAAGTTCTCCCAGTGCATCAAAAATGTATTTTCTATTGTTTTAAACTGCTATAATACTGAGTTCTGTTCAGAGTCTATATTATACATCTGTTACAACCGTTTCACAATACTGAGATTTATTTAAAAATAAATTTAATAAACGCACTTCAGGGATTTTGTGATACACTGACTCATGTTGATTTAAATTCAAATATAAATTACATTAAATTCATGACTAATATCATGATGTAAACATGATGGAAAAGAACAGTAGGTAATGAATGTTTTTTTTCTGAGAAGGAAAGTAAGTGGCTGTTCTTATAAAACTGAGGAAGTAAGTATTTAACTTATTTAAAAGCTAAAAGAATTTCTGCGATGTGTGTGCAACAGAAGAAATGTAATATGATTAAAATGACAGTTTTAAATGTGTCTTTCACACTTGTAGCTCAGTGTCGTAGAAAACAGACCTTTCCTCATCACAAACAAAACAAACTCTGAGAAACAAATATACATATTCTCAATATTACAATGTCAATACACAAAAATGTAAAACAAATAATCAAAACACTTATAAATCAATTGGAGATTCTCACAAGTATAGAAATAAAAGTGTATATTTAGAAATAATGGGGATGTGCTTTGGTAATTTAGGAGATTTACTGTAAAACTGTAAGATTTTAGGCTCTAATGCATCCATTCAGTGTATAATAGTCCTCATTATAATCATCAAATAAATTACAACTAATCAGGGAGAGCTGAGTGTCTTTATGTCATCTGATTCTAACTCATCCACAGCCTAGTTTGAACAGTACATTCTGTTGTGATATTGGGCCTTGAAGGAACCTCAGTAATTTCTTTGTATTATCATAACTTGCATAATTCTTAACCAAAAAAGCTACTTTTAGGGTCTTTCAATGGGTGGTGAGTTAAAGCATCCTTTGGGAATAGTGCTCTGGATCGTCTTTAAGTTTTGAATGTCTTCCATGATAATGTCAATGTCTCTGTTAAGACTCCTGATCCGCTCTTGCTGTGTGAACTCCATCTGCACAAGGTTGTCCAGTCTAGGCTGCAATGTCGTGACTGTGCTCCTGGCATTGCTGATCGATTCCTGGAGCTCCGCCAGCCTCGTCTCATCCACACCACCAGACGAGTCTGAGTTGGGGGGAAAATGAGACATTAAAAAGGTGCCGGACAGAACTACACAGCCTCACAAGCCACGACCTTCATGCCTAATGAGGATCTCATCCAGGAATGTAGCCATCTTATCCTACATCTGAACGGAGAGAATAAAGAAGAGACATCTGTGGTAATAAACCGTGAAGTCGGAAGAATGATTCAGAATTTGTTTTCAAAAGTATTTTTCTAATGTTTCCTTCATATTATACAGTAGGTAGGGATTCAACTACTGTACTTATTCAAGGAAGGGTTCTTTCCCCCAATTCTCTGTAAATGAACACTGCTATTTGACTGAGATACAGTACATTCACATACTGTGTTTTCTGTGTTTTGTAACTGTGAGTCTAATACCTACCTAATGTGTTCAGAAGACTGTTGATGGTACGCAGTGTTGCTCCCACAGCCTTCCTAGAATCTACTGCTTTGTTGTAAGCTGCAGTGGCCTGTCTTATAGCCTAGAAAAAAAGCAAACAAAATGAATATCAAAATGATACATTAGAAAGTGTAAGGTTGCAAGAAGTCACAGCACAGCTCAGCAAAGGTTTAAAATGAGTTTTAATTTATCCCGAAAAATACCTTTTTCTGGAGAACAAACAGGATCACATAAAATTGCATTTTCCTGTATGCTCAGCATCCATACATTTACAAGCAGCTTTTATACTTTAGACCATTCCTCTCACTTATCGTAAATGTCATATAAGAGTAGCCTTAGAACCAGAATATATTTAGCACAATTGTATTTTGACAATGGTTAACCTGTCTTCCAGTTGCTCCAAAATAACACATACTGTCTCTGTAAATAGACACACAACCAGTGTCTGTCTGTCCTCCACAGCACACCAGTCAAATTCTTCAAATGTCAAGTTTATTTGGAGCCCTTATGGACACAAAATAATAAAAATACTGTAATGGCAGCGGGCATAAACTAGTGATAATCAATATAATCAGCTTTATTTTATACACTGCCTTTAAAAGGGGTTTCCCAAAAGGCATATGAAATACCTGAAGCTCAAGTAACCAAATATTGTGCAACACATCATGGGAGTACACTTTCATTGTTCCTTTGCAGCCAACACTCGCTGATGTAGCTCCACACTCAAACCTCTTTTGTGCAACACATTGCATATTGCACCTCTTCAATAAACAGTATTTCCCCTACCCTTTTTGCCTCTTCTTTCTCCTCATTGGCTTTATTTCTTTCTGCAGTCAGGTCCCTCACTGTGGCTAAAGTCTGGAACTGCAGGTCACTCAGGGAATTTTTCAAGGTGGTGGCTTCACTCAGTAAACCATTAGAGCCTTTAAGAGTGCTGACAGCTCCCTACAAAACACAAAGACAAAAAGATACTTCTATAAAAAATGAAGGAATTAAATGGCTTCCAGGGTGCAGCACAGTGATGTAGTGGTTAGCAGCGCTGGGGCCCTGGGTTCAATTCCCAGTGAAGTTTGTATTTTCTCCCTGAGTTTGCTTGCATTTCCTCTGTGTGCTCCAGTTTCCTCCCACAGGCCAAAAACCAATGGAAGATTAATTGGCTTCTGGGAAAACTGGCCCTACTGTAGGAGTGTGCATGCCTGTGTTTGGGTCTGCCCTTGGATGGACTGGCACCCTATAGAGGGTGTACCCTGCCTTGCACCTCTTGTTTCCTGAGGTTCAGGCTCCTCTGTGGCCCTTAATTGGAAGAAGCAGTTAGAAAATAGATGGACAGATGGTTTCTGGGATGTTTTTCAAATTGTCAATGGTACAATTCAAAGTGAAAGCTGGGAGAAATGAAAACATAATTGTATGATATTTTGTCACACATCGTAAATATACTGCTTTCCCTGCCTTAACAGGTTAAATTCTTATGAATTTGTATTCCTCAAGTTATAGTAATATTATTGTTCATACCTCCATTTGTTCCACAATATTCTTCAATTCACCAACTTTCATTTGTGCTTCGTTAATATCCCCTTCCGTGTTCCCAAGAATGGACTCAGTCTTGGTGTTGCTTTGGACAGCCTCTTGGATAATGTTGCCAATTAAAGGGATTCTCCTTATAGCCCTGTCAGCTTCTGCCTTGTTTGTGCTAAGCTGCCCATCAAAATCTAGGGAAAACACAAGAGTTATTTTTACATCAGTACAACTCACCAAGAACAGGCTAAACATAAAAAAGACTTCACTAAAGGAGACAAACAGGACTACAGGTCAGAATGAAGAATCTCCCGAAGCTCTTTCAGTAATTTTACGTACTGTATGTGTTGTTTTAAGTGAACAGTACAGATATACAGTATAACAATTAAAGGTGGGTTCTTTAAAAAGTTCCCAAAGATAAGTGAAAAGGCCATCTCAATTTAGTCATAACATCTATGACTGATTTTGTCCCTTTTCCTACCTTTTAGGTTTCCCAGCACTTGTTCTACACCATTTACATTCATCTGGATGTCTCTCAGAGAGGCAACTGCTTCAGCTTTGGCAGCATTTGCTCTAGCTAAAAGTTGATCATGACGCTGCAATTAAATAACATCAAAGTATTACTTCAAAGTGTTACCTCATTGGATTAAATTTCTTTAAAATCAATAATAATTTGCCTGCAAAATATCATTGTACAACACTGGGTTTTAGTATTTCAAGACACATATCAGAAACATTCATCATCAATGCAAGCAAATTCCTAAAGGTTGTGTAATTTGCAGTAACCACAGGTAAGTAGACCTCAAATGTAGTTTTTTTAAATAAAAAAGAGTTTCTAAATTACCATTTCTAGCAGAGCTACCAGAAGCTTCAGTAATTCTACAAAAATGTATAACTGTACTTCAGCTTAAAGGCTTTCAGATTCTGAAGGATACTGATGGCATAAATTATATTACAGAATTCCAATGCACATGTTGGAATATGGCAATAAACTACTCCCCTACTCTACTCTACTAAATTTGTGCTATTATCTAACTGTTCTGAATCCGGTCCATTACAGTAAAGTTACAAAACACATCACTGACCAAGCAACCTTCACAGGTTTGAAGAACAAATAACAATTTGAATTTCATTAGATGGACGTTTTGTTTTTTTTAAAGCAGGGAAACCACCTACAGATTTTGACCAGAAGGGTAATTGCTACACAAATCCTTGATGTGCAAGTCAGACAAAAGAGTGGCTGTAAAAACAAAGGAGAGTACGGTAACCATTTTCTAACTTCATGTCCCAGACACATCCTTATTACCTGCTGATCAGCTTTTCCTTTCAATAAGAGATCCCGTGCCTGGTTCTTGGCGTCAGTGATGCCACCCTGTAGTGTCCGATAGTCCGAGAGTTGTTCCTCTGCTCTGCGTTTCAGACTGTCGGCACTGCTTTTAACATTCTGAATCTCCCTCTGCAGGCACAGCGAAAACAGCACGATGTGAAAACCTGTGCTTTGAAGTGTCTTGCAGTTTATTGAATCTTAGGGCTATGATTTCAACCTGCTATGACAGGTTGTACAGGCTTTAAATCATTTGTTATTTAGTTAATAGAAAAATCAATCTATTAATAATTAGAAGTGGTCCATTTTCTTTGCCATTTGCAGTTTCTAAACCCTAGATGAGTTACTAATAGGTTAGAAGTTACAAAACTGTTAGGTTAAAAATCTAAAATATTATTTTATGGACTCCCGTCCTTGGATAATCTGTATTTCATATTACTATGCTGCTCCTCTGGGCGGTGGTAAACTGAAAGGAGCTGTACTCATTGCTGGATGACATGTAGTAACTGCCAGTGAGAGTCTGGATCACAAGAATGAAGAGTGATACCTGGATGGAGTCTGGAATAAGACGCTCCAAGGAGATTATCTCATTTAATGCTTCGGTTGCTGTCCTGCTTTCTGCCTGAGCCCCTGAGCTCACACTGGCTGCCCGGTTTTCCAAGTCTTTGACTTTAGCTACATCTCTGTTATACCTGCAGAAAAATGGTTGAATAACATTACCATAAACATTTTTTTTTATTCATGAGTTTTTCATTCGCCACAGTAGGTGCTTATTTTAACTTTTATCTTCAAGCCCTAAGTTCATTTTATTTTTGACCTATTTAACCTAATGACATGTACTATTTCTAAATATTTTACATCAGTACTATTTAAGTATTCTGTGTCACCATTCCCATTTTAAAATTGCACACACAAACAAAAGCCCATATGTGCAAAATGCTCTTAATGTCTAATAAAATAGGACCCTCTGGTAATGTGTTAATGTAGGTGCTGTTTCGCACAGGTATCAGCATATCCACTATTGAAGAGTAAATAGTTAACAAGCTCTGTTTTCAATAACTGGAATGAAAAGAAAAGAATGGTCAGGAAAAAAGGAAGTTTCATGTGTATGAATTTAGCATTTCGTACTCTCAATGTAAAGCTCACTCACTGTGCTCTGAGGTCTCCAATAACTTCGGTAACTTTGTTCTCTCCATTGATGACATTCCGCATCAGAGACAGGGCTCTGTCTACATCCAGAAGACTGCTTTTCGCTGTTTGCTCTATTTTGTTTGCTTCATCCTTGTGACTGTGAAATGACACACACATGTGAGCTGTGCAAATCTGAGCCCATGTTCTGTCTTACACAGAGCACAGAAAGTTAGCAGACAAGACACTTACCTCTGGGCTAGCGAGGTTGCTGTCTGTACCAGGCTTGACAGGCTATTTGTGCTTACCCCAGGCCCTTCATCCTGCGCTGGCAACTCCTACAAGGTGAACAAGAAATGGAATATTGAAATACACTAAGCTTTTTAATGTATGATTTATCACACACAGCCCATACCATTACAATACAATGTAACATACAGCGAATCTGATGTCTGAGAACCTGTTTGCTTTTGTTACAGATCCACACATACACATAGAAAACACCGACATATACAGTATACAGTACATACAGTATCATACAGGCAGTGTTTGGGAAAGTCACTTTAAAAAAGTAATCAAGTGCAGTTAAATGTTACCTGTGTAATGATTACTTTTTTAAATAAAAACTTAAAAAAAAAACGGAAACGAAGAGTGATTAATGGATAACGTTTTAAAATCCCCCCACTCCCGTATGTAAACGTAAATGTAGGGGATTATTTCTAGACATGAGGGCTTTTATATCGGGCATCCTTCAAAAATTAGTTGGTATCATTCAGTATAGTTATCAGTGATCACCGGAGTCCGTAATGCCCACGATTTTGTGTCGTTTGGTTACAAACAAGACTTCACATGGGAGAAGCGCTAATTTAATCCCGTGAAGGTTTAGAGCTGTCGATGATTTAAAGAGCCATGGGCATCAACTGAATTGCTAGCTCTGAGCTAGGAATCCCAGCTTCTCAAGATTACTTCGTGCTTTATTGCAACTTTGAGTCTGACGAGTGCGTATCGGTTCAAAAACTTACCACCCGTCTTATTTCCAGTTTTGCCAAGTCAAGTTTCTGCCTGGCGTCGTTGATCAGTTGCTTGATGTTGGACACCTGCCTCTGATACTGCTGATTCTGCAAAGTCATGCCATCCACTGTCCGAGAGACGGCCGCGAGGTTTCTGGCTTGGACGGACTGAGTGCTCTTTATATTAGATACCCGGGTCTGTAGTTCTTTCTCCGAAACTAAGAAAATATGAAGGAGACAAGGAAATCTGTTAATTTAATTATTGTTAAATTCATCAAGTGAGATTAACGGAACCACAAAGATGTTTAGATTAGAAACTCTAAAGAACTTTTAAAGTCTAACTGCTTGAACAGAGTTCCTATAAAACCGCTAATTTACTCCAACAGGTTAGTACTTAAGCAGTAAACGAAAACCGAGGCCTACTACACCTATAGAGCCAGCAGAGGGTGCTATGCCTCTACTAGGATATTTTGGTCCTTTTCTTAATATTTATCATAAAAACCATTAATTAAAAATAATGCCTTCAGAAATTAAGTTACACATTGCTTTCATTTTGCAATAGCAACATTACGCTGATTTTCTAAACCTTTTCTGTCCGTAATTTATACCGTTTTGTACATTGTGTAAAGCGTTTTATTGGCCAGGTGTTAAATCAAATCTTAAGCGTTGCGCCTCAAAATAATATCAACTTGCCTGATAATTTCCCAGTGTTTTGCTCCATGTTTGCAACGAGTTTTTCGGCTTCTGCAAGAGTTTTTTCCATCTCCACGTCATTAACTGGGACTTGGCCGTTCTGAATATTCGTAAACAGGGCTTCTATGTCTCGAAGTTTTCTTGAGTATCTCTCAATCTGGAAGACGAAACTCGAGATCAGCATGTTCTAGTATGCTTTGAATTGCTCTCACTACTGAGTTAAGGAAAACAATACAATGACATTACCTTTGAATACTGCAATCACAGCAAAGAGAACTCAATAAAATAGGCGGGTTTCTAACTGAAATATGTATTCTCCGCTGATGCATATTAAATGAACAGAAAATCCAGTACAGTGCATTACTTTCATACGAGTAATTTTGATACAAATGTTACAGAATCTTCGAAAAGAAAGGAAAGTTTAGTGAAAAAGAAATAAAATAATCTTCTATCGCCTTCCACCTACAATTAACAATACTCAAGACACTACAGCATTAGCCATGTAAAGCTACTGTACATCCACAGTTGTTGTGTCTTGACTACACAGGCAGGGGAAAAATGAAAAAGGTTAATCCCTTCAGAAACAACAAATTGTTAATCTATGGAACCAGATAAAAACATTGTTTAAGTCTGGTATTTTCCATGGATATTTAAACTAATCGTTGCTTACCACAAGAGAATTCTACAACCCTATTCTAGTTTACATTTTTAGATTTCTATATTGCGACAGAATAATCTAGTAGTTTCAGTAATGCAGCTCAGAGAATTGCTATTGACTACAGAGCCCCCAATATACTGTTCACAGTTTATTTGGCTTTTTCAGATAAAGGCAAGAAAAAAAACCCCAAAATTGCTCTTAAATAACTGAACAAAATGAACATTAGGCTGTAACATTCGGACAGCTAGTAAATTCATACTGCTGCAGTCACACGTGGCCAAAAACCGTCCCGTTTAATTTACTCCACTTTAAGAAAATCACAGCCTTTTCTGGTTGCCAGAGCCTACCTGATATTTTATTGGGTCGTAGCAGGTTGGGCATGCAGAACGCTCACATTTGAGCCCCTCAAAGCCTTCTCTGCACGAACACTGACCGATATTGTTGCATCTGTTGGACAAAGAGCCCAGGGGATTGCAGTTGCAAGCTGTGGAGAAGAGGAAAGAGGTGTGATAAACATTCAACCTTTTCAACTGTTAATAGATTATGGTTTGCGCTAGATCCATCCATCCATCAGTTTTCCAACTGCTTCTTCCAGCTCAATGTCACTGGGGAGCCAGTAATCCCAGCAAGCAATAGGCGCTAGGCAGGATACACCCTGGACAGGATGCCAGTCCATGGCAGGGCACACACACGAACACAAACACGCACACACTCTGTAATGCTAACCACTGCACCACACTGCTTCCTCTTCTACTCAAGATATGAAACAGCTGATTTCTAACAGCTGAATATGTTTGTTCTTTTTTATATTGTACCTGCACCCCAGAGGTACAGTGTAATGTAATATTGAATCATTTTAATGCTATTGTTTTTCTCAAAATTGCATCTTGTTGACTGTCTTTCGGATGAGACGTTGAACCGAGGTCCTGACTCTCAGTGGTCATTAAAGATCCGCTGGCAGATAAGAGTAGGGAGTTATCCCAGTGTCCGGGCCAAATTTTCCCCCTCGGCCTTTACTGTGGCCTCCAAATTATCCCCATATGTTTGATTGGCTTGCACTTGCCCTGCGATTGACTGGCGCCCCCGTCCAGGGTGTACCCTGCCTTGCGCCCATTGCTTTCTGGGTAGGCTTCTGCTTCCAGCGACCCCTTATGGTATATAAAGTGGTTTGGCAAATGACATGACATGACATTCAGTTGAGATTATACCCCATAAAGGTGGTGTCATACATTTCCACCAAACCAGCAGCAGGGGTCAGATCTCAGGTGAAATCGTCCGCAGAGCAGCTGTAATGCTGTGGACTCTTCACAGAGAAGGCTTAAGCCAGAGGACATCGCACGTACGTGAGCAGGTCTGAGTGGGGTCGACCAGGTAAGGGCTCCTGTAGAAGCCCTCAAGGCACTGCTCGCAGTAGAAGCCTGTTGTGTTGTGGATGCACTTCAGGCACTCTCCAGTCAGGCGGTTGCAGTTGCCAACCGCATTGAGGTCGATGTGCCCATTGCACTGGCAGCGCTGGCAGGGCCGAGGCAGGCGGTTCAGACCCTGGGGATCGCCATAGAAACCATCTTCACACACATCACAGCGTGGGCCTGTCAGGAAACGCATGAGGTCAGGATATGTTATGAAGGAACTGAAGAAATCTACTGACTCTCCAGTCATCATTATTGATATTCCCAGTTATATTATTTTTCCAATTGATTTCTGTAACTTATGACTCACTATTATACTCATGTGTCTCTGTACTCTTCTATCATTCTGGCCTAAGTCTTAAGATATATGAAGCTAACATCCTACATTCCTCACCAAAATGTTTGGGAAATACTGACGTAATTTGGAAGAGGAGGTGGGCTGGCTAAATGCTAATAAATTACTGTTCAATTTATTAAACAATAAGCATCAGAAGCTTAGGAAGAGGTGGGGAATAGTTAGCCAGCCACTCCTACCTAAAGCATTCCTGACAGCTTGCCTCTGATCCTAACTGCTGTGCTACTCACCTGTGATTCCTGCAGGGCATTGATCGCACTTGACCTCCAGTGTGCTGGGGTTGACTGAACAGCTGGACCCAAGGGCACAGGGGCAAACCAGGCAGGAGCCCGGGTTCCGAGGGTCTTTATAGGAACCAGGAGGGCACGACACATCCCCTCGGTTCTCGTCTCCAGAGAAGCAATCTCCTACAACAGATCCAAAAATAAACCGCACATGACCAAGGTGCGCCACACGCGGTCTGTGAGGCCTGCATGATGATTTACAGAGCAGCTGCAATGAAATGCAGCTTCCCAAAGGCTGTGGCGTTGATGTCTACCTGTTTCAGGATCACAGCTGCCTCCTCGGCAGTTACAGGGCACACATTCGCTGAAGGGGCCACTGCTGGGAGGTGTCCTCTTGAACCCTGGGGCACACTTCTCACAGAACTGCCCGTTGTAGCCCTTGGGGCAGTTACACCTCTCTACCCACCAGGCGGGGGCACCAGACCCACGACGGGCTGACACTAGTGTCACATCATCCAGGTAGCCTCGGCCTGTAAACCGGAGAAACACAGAGCTCCACAGTGAGCAAAGTCAGAGTCCTGCTGAGCATTCTGCCACTGTGTCACATTTGCAAACGTTTTTCTGTAAGATAACTGAAAGTTTCTCTCGTGGCATCAAGCCAGTGAAAAATAACTCTGCCTTGCATATCTCTAAGAAGTAGTTTTATTTGGGAATGATGTCGGAAGGGGATTGCTTTTGAGATAGATTTTCAGATAAAACACTGTACCAACCATATACATCTTCTTTAATATTATTCAAATAATATATTAATATTATTCCTTAATATTTAACATACCCATCGTGTATTTTGGTGGTTTCAAAAACAATAAAACCACATGTAAAGAAGTATGTCTGATGCTGACTGGATACATTTACAGCTTATGGTCAGTCTGAAGTCCCAAAAAGATACAGTACTTATTATGGAATTGAATGGAATTTCAGAACGTACTGTTTTCACCATAGGTGCCTCGGATCTTGATGGCTGTCAGGTTCTGAAGCAGCTTCTGGAACTGGAGAGCAGTGAGCTGTGGCTGCCATTTACTCTGTGGCTGCTCATCAAGCCTGCAGATGTACAGAGTGTGTGTTGTAAGCACTGTAATGCATTGCATGTGATGAGTAGCACATAAATCCCACAAAAATGGTATTAAATCAATAAACATAAACACTTAGAAATGATACTGATGAGTATTACAGTGCAATTTTCCCCTGTCTTCAAGGAGTTCCACCAAGCTGCTAACTGAGAAGAAAAACAAGGATGAGGTTTTATCCAGAACAGCTGCAAGCTCTGTGGGAAGACCTGCCCTTACTTGAAGGAGTATGTTATTTTCTGACCACAGGGCAGGCTTCTTCTCAGGTCAGCCAGTGGAGCTGCCACCTTCAGCCCCGCACCCTCCAGCACAACATCTGTGGTGGATGGCTGGCGATGTCCTCTGTCCACCCTGAAGGAGAAGGACAGGGTCTGCCCATAGCTCAGCATCTGGTTCCCCAGGAAGGACTCTGTGCGGCAAAAGAAAGCAGGGAGAAAGTGTGTCTTTAACCAAAGGCAAAAGCCACAACCTAGATATTTAATCAAGCATGCAATAAGAAATCAGCTCAAATTGTTTTGTTAAGGGTGTCAAGGTAGTGTTTTGCAAGAAAATAAGCATGGGATCTTTCATTTTTGAAGATTTTAAACTTCATATCTTTTAATTTCATCTGATATTTGTCTTTCAGTGAGGTGATTTTGGGTACCTGAAAGAATATGAAGTTCAGCCTTTGTCAAGGACAGCTAAAACTCAAGGTATCATTGCAGTAACACAACAGCACCACTACATTTCTTTTCTTCAGCTGTTTACACTTTTAATTTGAATAAATGTTTATACTATGTAAATTTGTATTTAGTAGGACAGCAACCTTTGGAAGTGTAAATAGTAAAAACACATACTGTAATATCTCAGAAAAAAAAATCATTTAAAGATGGTGGTTTTCTAATTCCAGTGTGCAAATGAAAAGCTTTTGGGTTACATACTCTAGTAAATAAAACAATTTGACCAAATTAACCACAGATATGCACAACATAAAGATTTATCCAAAAAGTTGAAAGGTAAACAGTGTTTTTTTTAACGTGCTACTGAAATTACAAAAAATGTGAAGTAGCACTGTGATAAAGAGGACACAGGAGCAACTGCTGCATACAGGATATTGACTCTCAACATGGGTGTCCTTTACTGAGTATGTATACAGCAGACAGTTCTTCCCTACAGGCTGAAGTGTTGAGATTTCTATTAAGTAGAGGTGATTTTTCTCTTTTTCTGCAAACAAATATTCTGAATTAATCAGGATCTGTGTTTGTTCTGTTTAGATTTCCAGATACTGACCTCTCTTTAGAAGCGTATGTACCCGAAAATGTCAACTGGCAGTATTTAGTACAGCAATGGAATGTAGTAGGTCTTAGGCACTACTATGGCTTCCCTCTCCAAAGTTCCTTACCTGGCGCATATAGGTAGACTGGGATGTTATCCCTGGATGTCACTTCAATGTCACGATGCCTCTGGGACCAGCCAAACTGCACGCTGGAGCCCTTTCGGAAAGCAGCAAGCCATCCTTCGGGATCTAATCCCAACAGGAAGTCAATTAGAATTTGTCTAGAAGTAGCCATTATTCACCCTAGGTACTTTCATCTATTGATATTGTTCTTTCCCTTTTTTAATACATTTTGAATTTGCCGCATTGCCCACAAGTAAGTGGCAATCCATTCGACCACTTTCCATTTTCAGGAATCACAGAGACCTGCTTCTGTTGAAAGTGACTGACGTAGCTCTCCGAAAGAAGGAAACTGTTGATAAGAAAACAGTTCCAGCATTCAGGCGGAACACCAGGACAATGTCTACATACATCAACGGAGTTCATTCAAAATCAAACTGGGTGTAATGGTAAATAGGATGACTGTTGAACAACAGAAATAGAGAACTTCAGATTCATTCTCTGCTGTTTCAAAGTCAGCTCAGCTGGCTCTCACAGCCACACTTCAGTTTGAGAAATTGTTACCCAGGAGATAGCTAAGAATACACATTTTCTATTCTTCCTTACATAAGGTAAAGTTATGTCTCTCAAGGTAGATAAAGTGATGAGGCACATATTCTGTAAGTTCTTCTCTGACCTTGGTTGTCCGACTAATGCTTTGATATCCAAGAGCACTTGTTTAAGCATTCTGGCTTCTTACAGTAATCCTTTATTGTTTCTCAAATAAGTCATTCATTTGTATCAGATAGTCCAGATCAACCTTCAGACTGCCCTACCTTCCTAAAACCCTTCAGCAAGGAAGGACTTACTGCTGTCGAACGTGGAGGTGATGGAGTGGGCTGTGTACCCATCGGCTGAGCTACAGTCTGTGGAGTGTCCATAGCAGAAACAGGACAGACATTCAGCAGGATTATCAGTTAGCTGGCCATTAATGCCTAGACTGCACCTACAGAAGAAAAACAAAACAACCAACCCCATTATAGTCTCTGTCAATTGTATCAATGGACTGATATTTACAAGACTTCTACTGTAACACAGTGTCCTTCACTGTGGATCTGGAGAACATTAACTTCTGAGTTTTAGATCACAATAAAACCCAGTTGGCATCCAAAAGGTCAATATCTGAATATTGAGAATCTGAATTAAATAAAGTCGCCCAAAAGCTAGAGATCTAAAAATGAAACAATTATAAAACTTTTCAAAATGCAATGTTATTAAAATTACCCTTACGTTGATACATCATATTTGTTGCCTGGTGTATACTGCATGAGCTGTAGCTCCCCCTGTGCATCAGCCTATGGAATTGAGACTTACCTTCCTGTACAGCCTGTCTGTGTGAGCCTGGCTCCTGACTGACAGCGGTCACACTTCTCTCCCAGAATTCCAGGTTTGCAGCTACAGCGCCCATTGCTATCGCACTGTGAGCTGACTGATCCTGAATTCAACAGAACAGGAAACATCATTACAAGACATTAATTCCTGTGATTTGTATTTTCAAATCCTTAGTGTTGTCTTATAGCAGTGTCAGTCCTTTCAACAGGACTCCAAACTATTAGAAAATGATCTGTTAAATTACAAAAGCTGTTTAAAATAATATTTTAATTTTTATTTCAATGTTTAACTTCAAGCATGCTCATTTCTAGTTTTAGAATTTCATATCTTTCAATCAATTGCATTATTTTACTCTTAATTAGTAGTTTGTGTCTTAAAGGTCAAGAAGAATTATTTCACACTTGTTTGCTATTTGTGGAGGTTTAAAAAAACTCTTTCAATAGGTTTGATTATAACTACTCAAAGGAAGCCCTTGAAATATTAACAAACAATGTATTTTACAAGCAGACAAGACACCTTATGAACACATCTAAAGATCATCTCCTATGGTAAGAAAATCACTGAAATTATTTATATCCCATTCTAGACAGACCCAACCACAGTCTTTACTAAGGACGCATATCAAACTCCTGCCACCTAATTAGTGTCCAGTGGATGACACGGGACTCGTCATGGCAGGCACATGACTTGAGATGTACAGGTTGAAATGAACCACCTGAATCAGAGGAGAAGTCATTTGGCTTGTGGTGTGTGACGAAGTACTGAAAGCATTTTAGCAGGATTGTCATGGCGTGCTACAGTATGCGTCTCAGTAAAACTTTACCACAATGACGGGGCATGAACCTGCCCAAGAGGGAGACATGTCAGCTCATAATTAAGCATAATATTAGCCTTGACAATCTTGTGCGATGACACCTATTTGCCATGAAGTTACAATGTCGGAGGAAACAAATTACAGTAGCAATGAAGCAGCACTTCAGAATCACTAGTGTTACAGACTCCATGCATCACAGAAGTTTCTGTTAAGCTTTTCCCTTCAATGGAGCATTGAAGACATGGATACAACATGGAAACTTCCAGCATTTCAGTAAGAGTCACGTCATAATGGCTGTTTGCCAGGTTAAGAACCAATTTTGAAAACTAATTTCTCAAAGTAGGGCTCCCGTTTACAGAGCACACAGTGCGATTGGACAGTATCAGTGTGGGGGTAATTAAAATGACTCTGGGCAAAGCCATTGGCTAGTCAACTCCTGGCTACAGACACATTCAAAACGCTCAGCAGACAGCCATTAACATACCACAACAGGTCTGTGGGAGTCTGGAACATCTATCCAGCCATGTTGTCAAAGCCAATATTAGTGTCCTTCAAGAAACAGCTGGATCAACTAGCGACTAAACAACAAACAGGCTAGATGGGATGAATGGCCTCCCCTACATACATGTGCTGTTTCGGAAGGAAACCTGAGAGATGCTTAACTGCTGTCTCCTGATAGACAAAGCACAGACAGACTTCTGGGACTTACCCAGGGGATTGCAGCTACAGGCCTGGCATTGGTCTCCCGCCCTCTGGCGGAAATAGCCCGTCTTACACCTCTCACAGTTTCGTCCGTCTGTGTTGTCGAGGCAGTTCAAACAGCGCACTCCCACCGCATCCACAGTGCACTGGTGAGACTTCCCGTTACAATTACAGCGAGCTGCTGGTAAAAGAAAAATCAGACGTTGTTACACTGTGAGACTGGAAATCAGTTCAGGCCCTTTAAATGAATTCTCCCTGTTTCTTGGCAAAGCCTTCACTGTTCATTCTTGAGATATGTCCAACGGTTTGCTCTTGAGTCTTGTAGTCCTTTATTAAACACTCAATAGTCTGAACTCAGTGATGAACAATCTCAATAATTGCTCCAATAATAACTTAATAATAATAGAATATATTTTAATTATAAAGCACCTTTCCAAACCCAAGAATGTTGTACAAAGTGATAAAGAACAATTAAAAGTAAAAGAGGAAAATTCATACTTGTATGTATGAACATATAGGTTCATACAGTACATACAGATAGACATAGACCCCGGTAAAAATGTGAGTTTTGAATTTGGATTTGAATCGAGTTAAAAAAAACAAGGCCCAAAAATCTGAGATTGAGGCCTAAGTACAGTGAGCAAAGGACCAGTCTCAAATGACCAGAGAAATAGCATCAATGCTTACAAAATATGCTTTAGAAATGCAGGATACATTTCACAGCTGAGCAGATACAAGGAAAGCACTGACTCAAACAACCTGCAGCTATTAATATATTAGAAAATCTGTAATTAATAAGGCACATATAAGGAATTAATTTAAGGAATACATAGATTAAAAAGAGAAACAAAAGCCAGGTCTGTATCAGTGATGTATTCATCTGAATAAACAAAATGTCAGTTCTCAAACTCAGTGCCTGGAGGGACTGGAGTCTTTGGTTTTTGTTCCAACCTGAGTAGTCTGTTAGGAAATTAACAGTTTTTAGAAGATTTTTCTTAAGGCCTTTTACTGATGATTATGCATTACAGGTATAGTTACTCATAATTTTACATTTTCAGTATAAAGACATTATGTCACATTTTAGTGGTCTGAATACAACTGTGTAAGAAACAGGTAACATGACTGTTTTTTTCTTTAAAAATCAATTAAGCATACTAATGATCTGCACATTTCTTTCTTAGTTTTCGCTTGACAAGTCATTTCAACAAAAGGAGCCCTAGTCAATACTAGTCACTCTGGAATTTGCTAATGCAATTCAACAACATTCAACGGTCCCTTTGAACAGCCAAACTTAATTCTGTTTTATTACCTTCTGTACCAGGAAAGAGAAGAAATGCTCTGATATTTTTGCTCAAAGTTCTGAGTTAAGAACTCATGCCTGCCTACAGTATATTGTTACACCCAGGAATTTTCTTTGACAACTCAGCCCTACATCTGACCAGCAGTGTGTTGCTAAGAGCCCACTTGCCAGTCTAGACATGGCTGACTGATGGGGTACAATACGATCTTCTCCATACCTTCTCCGAAAGCACTTTGACAGCTTTGGGAAAGATTATCATAGACCTACAGTTCCACTGCTGTTGGAAAATTTAATGAATACAAAACAAAAAAGTAGTTTGGAGTTTTTTCCCCTAGAGTTCCATCATTTGGCTTCAACACATACTTGTCTGCTAACTATAGGGAGTTTTAGTAGTTCAAAATTCCGAATCACTTAAACATAGAAAATTCCGGCAACTATCTGGAGAAAACACTTTATTTCAATCTATTTAAACAGGAAGCATGTTTGCCTTTCACAAAGCCATTACTTTAAAAATAAAATGGTATGTAATTTAGTGTTAAGAGCAGAATAGGGAATGGAGAATAGAGACACGTTAAGTGAAATACAATTTAAAAACTGGAGCAGGTTAAAGGAGAATCTCATCTGCCTGTTAATACCAACAGGTGAAATCTCACTAAATATCTGAACAGTCTTCACTATGTCACAACTTTCTTTGTTTCAGTTAAATTGTTTTACCATGGTGCATCATGAATTTTTACTTTAAATAATCCTTTCATTCATTATTTTGAAGGGTCTGTTTAAGATGAAGCATGTGTGGGAAGCCCATGCACCAAGAGTCCAGGTCGTCACTGGGATTTTCAGGTGAGAGCACGTGCAGTACAGTGTCTGATGGAGCTTTTGCCCTGAAAACAAATTATAAAGTGTGTCTTGCAAAGTTCAGAACTTCAAAGGAAACAGGCTTTCCACCATGACCTCATGTCCTAACAGGATAAATGCCTTTCCAGTAGACTGTTCCCCACAATTTGAGGGCAGGGAGCAGTCACTGGTTGGCAAAGGGGCCTGAGGCTTTAATCTGGGGTTTCATACCACAGCTTATCAGGCCAAGCCCAAAAAAGAATGAATGTTTTCAGTCTGTTCTAAAGATTTCATGCAACATTCTTTGGTCCGATCGTTGTTTACTCGTGTGATTGATTATGCAAACGAGCCTTTGTTTATCTGGACTGCTAGTCTTAGTTAAAAAAAGCCTTCCCACAATTAAACTTCCACTTACACAACCAATGCTAGAACTATTATCCTCTATGCTTTTTCTTAGGCTATCCAGAGTTAACGCTTAGTATATACAGTAATGTATTTGAGTAGTTGAACTCTGTCTACTTTCAGACCTTATGGGGAAAAAGCAGTGGGGATTAAAATCACCATTGTGCATTTTGCTGTTTTTTTTTTAATGGGAAGTCACTCATACAGTAGTTCAAGCAGGTACTGTAGCTGCATCAGCACGCGTGGCTGCAAAGGAACAAGTAAAGGTTTATTCCATGCTGAAAAGAGAAGAAAAAACACAACATTTCAACACCCGAAGAAGGCTCCACAGCCGAAATGTTGCGTTTTTTTTCTTCTCTGTTCTACTTATACAGTAGCTCATTGACATACTATTGACTACTATGAAGGTGTCATCTTAGGTGTGATTTCTAATAAAATGTTGTCTCATAATACCTCTAATTTGTCCTATAAACATCAAATTTTTAAAAACAATTTTCTTTTTCTAACTTAAAATGGGTATTTCCTATTTTTATATAATAAAACCATTATTTTTCAATCTTTATGAACTTTTATGCCTTTTTTTAAACCTCTAGAAGGCTTAGAAAAGGAAGTAACTAGGACTGAAATGTCTAATTTGCTTTAAATTATAGAGAATTATTTCTTCCATGATGACTCTCATTTTCATATTACCAAAACCATAATTATAAGTGCAAATAATTTATTTTCCCAAACTATTTGCATAAACATGTGCAACCTGCCAAGAATTTGTCCAAGCCTGGCATATGTCTGGAAAGTGTGATTGCTCTTGTCTGTGTTTCAGTCTACATAACAGGAATAAGTTGAATTGCTCTCTTACTGCAATGAGACATTTGTGTACTTTCTGGAGAAATGTCAGCTCAACTTGTTATAGTTAATTAACACATTTCTAGGGAATGTAATGCTGGCTTCAGCTAACTTTTGCATAGTTTAGCAATTGGTATAAAAGAAAGAAGATTGAGCCTAAGGCTCTTATACCTCAGTATCTTGGGTTTTTTGCCATGTGGTTGCTGAGTTTGCTACAGGGCTGAAACCATTAGGAAAGCAGCACTTTGAAATCCATTATTTTGGAGGTCTCGCATGTTCTTGGTCTTGCTGAGTTATAAGTCTCATACAATTCAAGCATCTGGGAGTTAGGCTGCTTGGAGTTTGAGAATTTCAAGTCATATACTGTACATTTCAAACATGTTTTGGCAGCTGCAAGAGATTGGTTTTTTTGCCAATTGAGTCATGTGTGAATGATTCGGAGACTGAATAACATAGAGATCTAATGCCATCTGCTGTATGTGGGCCAGAGCAGTGAAGTGGACTGTGGAGTTATGAGTAGTAGGTTGTAGGTTCAAATCCTGTTGCTCTTATACCTGGAGTGAGGTAGGGGTTACGCTAGTTTCTCTATCTCTGGTCCACCCGGCTCTATAAATAGGGATTAGCATTCCTATAGAGATCCCTGGAGTCCCATCTAGGAGTGTTCTGTAGGCTTCTTAATACAGTATAACTCCAGAAAAGATTTATGTGCCTACAGTACATCTTAAAGCAGACTTTTGAGCTACAAGACATCTACGAACACATTTTATTTGTAAGCATTGTCCAGAAACGCTCATAGCCCTGCGTGACAGTACATAATTATGACTGATTAAATTAATTTGGGAGGCATTTGTTTCCAGATGCTGTAGCATGTAACAACATCACGTGGGCTACAATGTATTTATTAAGCTAGGATATTAGAAAAAAAAACATTTGTACTAAACTGAGATTTAGTATACTCTTAAATAAACTTTATTGGTAGGTATTAGACAATATTTGTTTCAATGTCATTTTTAGTTTGTATCTAATAAATACAGTAGGTTACTTTCTGCTATGAATGTTATGTTTGTAAAAAAGGAAATTCAGCAAACTGTTATAATAATGTATTTGTTAACGTTTAATAAACATTTAATTTAACTTATTATAAAATAACATTTTTCTCATTTTCTTACTATTCTATATCACAAAATAATATATACTGTATGGCCATAAATAACATGTATCAGTCTAAATATAACATGAAATTAGTTATCTTTGAGTTCATGCACAAAAAAACAGTTATGACGACAAAAACTACTATTTATCTCATTCTATTTTGTCTGTAGGGTCATTTAATTTATTGTTTATTCTTATGTGCTGAAACATTAAATAATAAAAATCAAATTATTTAATTGTTTAATATTTTATAATGATTGTAATAAATAGTACTAGAACATTTGTGTGTATTGCTGTTTAAAATCTTAAATTAGTTTTAATAGTTATAATTATATATAATACTAGAAATATGATACATTTTTTTCTGTTAATAAAATAAATGGGGTGGTAGAATCTTAATGAAAAAAGATAAAAGATTGAACAGTATAGCACTGAGATAGACAGTATAGACAGTTGGGAATCCCTATATCTGTCTCAAGGTAAAATATGCTGTAGCCCCCTTGCACTGTTTAACAGCATTAATTCTCATTAATGGGAAGACAAAAGATCAAAACTTTAGTTTCAAGGAAATACAAATTGTAAAAAAAAATTACAATTTTAATTTTAATTTAGTCACATAAAATAAGTCCAGTATAAGAAACGAATAAATATTGTTCACTTACGTTCGTATCTAAAAGTGCCACATACAGCTGGCAGGCTGAAAATGAGGATTCCAGTCCAAAATATCCACCCAGTCCTCATTCTGTATTCCCTGGATGAAAATACTTCAACCTTGCAGTAGAGAAAACACAGACAGCAATCTCTCAGTTAAATCAAAATGCCTTCTTATCAAGTCCAGATAACAGATGCTCACTAGTCCAGATTCATTTGATGAGCCTATTATAACATCCTGGGGGGGCGTTTTTTGCCAGCACCCTTATGACTAATGCTGACAAAGGCTACAAGTAGCTCTGCAGACTTTACCCGAAAGTTTATGTACAAATGATTAAGAACCAAGCCCTATACGCTATCCAGTACAGGAGCTGAGTAAATAATGAAATAAGGAACTCACTCAAACCACGATAATGAGAGACACAGTGCTGTGTGCATTTGTTGAAGCCTGTACTGAGCTCCTTTTTCTGGCAAAGGAGAGGAAGAAATATTCAAGTCAGTTCTGCCCCTGGAAAGGGTGGGGAATACCCTGTCAAGTATTAAAAACTTTGTGTGATAACCAGAGGAATGTCATCTTTTAGTTTTACAGGCCTTGCCCAAAGACCTTTTATTCAGCCTTTGGCGTTGCAAATCTGTTTCCGTTTTAGAAAGTCAGCCTCTGGAACAATTGCCTTGCCCCCTGTCAGTTATGAATTAAGTTCTTACCGTTGTCAAGCCTTAAATTTCTTCCAGTTTGTGGTCTTTCTTGAAATATGATTTGAGAGGCAGTAATTTTGCTGGGGCTGTGCATATCAATTCCAGAAGAGAGACATGTTTTTTTTCCCCATTATTCTTCTTTAGAGAGGCAGCAGTGCTGAACTTCTTAACGGCACAGCTGCAGAGCTCTGAGCAGCACACTGCTACATGTGTACCAATTTGTCAGCCACGCTTGTGGTGTTCACTCATTACCACCTGTTCCTCCTCACTTCCTTCGAGTCCTGTGGAGTAGAAGGCCCTTCTGGGTCTTTATCCAAATACCAATTTACAGTTACAGCTCACCATAACTACCACGGGTGACTGACATTTGATATTTTGCACTGCAAAAATAAAGATGATGAAGGAGGGAGGGGATGAACACCCTTTGATAAGCCTGAGACCCAACACGGAGTAAATTAGTTATAATTACTTACAAGGGGATCCGTGTAATCTACTTTTTACTGACTACTGCAAAAGCTGAGCCATAGTCAAAGCAGGATTCTCCTGCAGCAGCTCCTGGATGGCTGTATTTATGTCTGTGCGGTGTACTCTGTTGAAATATCGTGTTTACCTGCACGTACATGGTGGATTAGGTTATTAGGTTATTTATTAGGTTATGGAAGAATTATCAAGCTATATACCATTTCTTAAAACTAAATACCTTCACATTTGTCTGTGAACCTTTCGTTTATTAGCACATCTCAAGAAACTCAAAAGCTTTCTATTGTACATTAAATACACACTGACAGAAGTAAAATGAGAAAAACAAAGAGCAAAATAAATTCACCCAACAGAGCCAGAAGTTAAACTAGTTTCTTTTTTAAATGCTTGTCACAGGGAGGGCAGGAGGGGTGCCCAGGTGAGTTCTTTTAAAACAGAACGATGGCTCAGTCGCATTAGCACTTACAGTAGGTGCAAAAGAAATGATTTATTAGGACAGTGCTCCCCACAAACCAACAAACAAATATATACAGTACAGTGGAAAAATAACAAAATGGAACAAATACACACGAAAAAAATCATAAACCCTTCCTCTGAGAATTACAAACCAGGAGTCCCACCACACTTAGGTCCTCTCAGCTCCGATAGAAAGTCTCGGAGCAGGGCCACCATCTCCCTTTGAGGTTCTGTCATGGATGCATGTCTCACACCTGTTACTTGTTGAGAGGTGACTCTAGGTCGAGCTCCCAGCTCTTCACAACAATGCTGTAGTGAAAACGTAGTTAAGCAAGTTGAAAAAATGGCAATAGGTGCAGAGTCTTCAATGGATTTGGGCAGTGAGGTGTGGTGCTGTACTGAAGTCTGCTGTACGGCTGTATCTTGTGATACCTGGCCTTTGGCAGAAAAAAGAGCACTGAATCGGCAGATCTGAGATCAAGAGTTATGTCTGGCCATATTGGACTTATATGTAAGTAGCCTGGATAAAGTCATCTGATATAAAAGCTACAATAATAAAAGTAGGAAAGAAAAAGAGAGAAAAAAAATGTAAGATAGTCACTCTGCTGAGTCCTTAAAAAAATGACTGCATTTAGTTATTACAGCTGATATCCAGTGTAGCATCATGAAACAACAGATTCATATTTAGCCCATAGACAGTGTTGCAATTTCAGGAATGAACCAGAAAAAATACAAAGATCTGTACATTTTAACATATCCCTAAGGATGTGTTCAACACTGACTCAATTCTGTAGATTTCTCGTTCAGACGCAAGCCTGCCCATCCCTTCCTGTTTTTGCAGGATCAATAAATCTGCTGACACAGACCAATGAAATCAGGCAGCTCCTTTGTAGTGCTTCTTATTACTGAAACAAGACCACCGTTATCCAACATCCAGGTGTTATATTAATATAAGATAGGGAGAAAGGACATTTTTTGACTAGCCGAGCCAATGTAAAGGGGATTACAAAATAGAATGAAAAATCACGAATCTGTAATGAGCCTGTACGACAATAATTGATAAGACTAATTTTGTCATGACCGAGGTGTGCGCACAGTGTATTGCACTGTGACCCTTAAACATCAAACCTTTATTGGAGACACTTTTTTAAAAAATCCATCTCTTAAACAATAGTGTTATTGATGAATCAACTTCCCCACGGACATCAATCAGCCATTCCAAGATACACCGCTGTTTGATCAAAACAATGCAATATTTCTGGGCAAATGAATTAATGGGAATGTCTTGCTGGAGGGGTAATGAGTGTCTGATGGCCTGTAGTACTGATCTCATTCCATTAGTCAGTCACATCCGCTGCCTGTGTCTACAAAATCTATATGCATTAATCACCCATCAGTTATGGAAGATAACCGTTCTTACCATGTTAGAACAAATCACAATATCTCTATCTCAGTGACCATTCCATTAACCTATTATTAAAAATTTCTGTAATCATACTGTGTTAAAACCTCACCCACCTAATTAATATTATACAGTGTCAGAGCCTCACTCTTCTGGATGTGCAATTGCAGATGGAAATGTACTACGCACCTCAGGGTACTCTTTATCAGAAAGTATCTTAACAAGAACAAAGGCAGCTTGAACTTGTAAATAGTTACAGGCCAGTTTTCTAAAACACATGAAAGTATTATGTAATATCTGAGTGCTCGACAGATTTTTTTGGTTCTTAAAGAGATACCCACAATGATTGGTTTTCTTATAATGTTTGATTTTGCATATAATATGTGCATTATTAACCCCTAAATCACAACTTCTAATTCATTTCTATTGTGTGGCATTATCCAGGATAACAAACAGTATAGCCACAAAAGGCTCAAATGAGCACTTGTGAACATATGAGAGAGAAACCAGATGCAGAGGAATCAATCACTCTTTACTGTTTTAATCTGTTTTTTTTTTTTTAAAAAAAGCACGCATTCTGCTGTAGTGGACTCATCATTATTAGAACTCTAGGACGTTCTGGGAACTGTAAAGAAAAAATGAAAAACAAAGGGTCTATTTAGGACCACAGTATATAAGTCAAAAGAAGGCATAGTGAAACTGGGTAGTATCCAGCATTCAATTCTAATTCACATCTTACTAAAAAGGATAAAGCTGCCTAAGAGAAGCTCCCTAAAAATGTTAACTAGACTTATTCTGGGAACTGAATTATGTGAGTTATGATGACTGACTGACAGAATGAAAAAAACAGCTGCTAAACGTGGGAAACTTGAATGAGATCCTTGAAATTTGAAAGGTCATGTTTTGTAATCATTTGTTAATTAAAAACGAAGAGATTTTTAATTAATTCACCAGGAGAACAAAGACAAAACTGTAGTTTACTAAATACACAGATTTCAAATTTATTTAAGGAAACATCTACTATATAAGAGACAAATTTGCCTATAATATATTGGTAGTTGAAGCTACTGAGAAGCACCATAATCTTTCAAATGCCAATAAAGACTTCTAGAGCCAGGTATGAAAGAATGTTCATTGAGTGTCTCTTTCTAGTTTTAATGGTATATATTGTAAGCATGTACTGTACTAAGTAGATGAATAAAATTGAGACAGTTAATTTACCAGCTCTGAAGAGGTCTTTACGAAGAAATTTCTTTTTTAATTCACAGTTATGATGTTAATATTTTGCAGAAAATGTATTTTGTATTTCAGTAATCAATTTCTTGGGCTCCGCCTTCATTTGGAGTCTTATTTACACAGGAAAAACAGGTCAGTTCCCGACTGTGTACTGTACTACAAACAAAATCCCATTAACTGCTTCAGAAATCCATAATACATGTACAAATACTTAAAATGTGTCACTTAAAACCCCCTCTTGACTAAGTGTTGTTATGAAACTAAGGAATGTTCCTCATATTCAGTTCCAACATCAAGAGAGCACCACCTTTAAGACAGGTAACTGCAAGCCTTGTTCCAGTGTCTGTGTGTTATCATGCAAAAGTCATGCGGCTCTCTGATTCAGTTTCCTTTATGGTCCATCATCTCTGACTCTATTTAACAGAGCTACTTCACTTGTGTGGAGAATCACAAGTTTAGTTTCCGGCTATTAAGATCCTCCTGACCCATCCTTCAGACGGTACTGAATAAGGTACTTTATTCCCTTTCAAGCATACTACATAAATACTACAGGAGTATTTGTATAAACGTGTGACTTAGAACTTAAGAATAAAATGTGATGACAAGAGCCGGTCAATCATGACACCATTTTTATAGGGACATTAAATGATTCTATTGCGTCCTCAAATCTTGAATCTCTGTGACCATGTTTTCTATGCCTTGCTGTGGTTCAGTTCAGTGTTTGCTAATAACAGTCTACAAAAATGGTTTGGGTGGTGCAAGCTTGTCTTCAAACAAGTTTCCTGTTATATCCCTGTGTTCTGCACATTGAATACAACTTGAAATAATAGTTTGGATCAACTCCGTCGATTTCCTTCAAACCATTCAAGACCTCAGTCAAGACTTCTTGCTGGTGTCTTATACTTAGAACAAATAGATTTATGTTTCTCAAGCCTGTCCTTAAAACATCCTCTTTTGTCCTGGTCTTGCTACACTCTGGACTCTCTCTTTTGCAAAATGGAGACCAGGAACTATAGGTGGTACTCTACTCGTGGTTCAACTAGGACATTACACATTACGAGAAAAAACCCTAACTTGTAGACAGACTTTTGCTATTATTGAAGATTGAATACCAGACAATGCTGAGCTCCAATAAAGAGTTTTATTTCTGATTGTATGAGAACAACACACAGTCCCAGTTCTGTCTCCTGCACAAGATGCTGGCCTTTTTATGGAATTAGCAGAGCTTCTAAAGTACTCTTTAAATACATTTCCACAAACAACACAAGATATTACTTATAATACAAACAACTGTAGTCCTACAGTACTACGGCTGTCTTATTACTTCTGTTCACTTTGCAAATGCAGAGACTAACATATCTTAGTCTCTGCATTTGAGTTGGGGTTGGGGTTGTATCTTCTACAACCCCAACCCCTGTCCTGATTAAAAAGTCCTACCTCTGTTTCATTATAGTACAAATCTACAGGTATTTAATCGCTGTTCTAAACAACGATATGCTATAATATAAACAAGTCTGCTATTAGCAAAACAGCTGTCTTAAAAAACGAACTTCCATTTGTTTGTCAAGTCTGAAATTCACCATTAAAGTGGCAGAATTACAAACTGCGATAAAGAAAAACATAGACATGAACAACTAATATCTAAATCTATACATCTAAAAACCATATTCTTCTGACTTCTGCTGAAACATTACCTCACTGCATTTTTTAAATGCAAAACTCCACTTTATTCGATAGAAACATGATACAGTTCAATTTGACTGGTCTATACAGTATGTACTTTATATTGCGATATGTCAAGGGAAAACGTAATTTGGCGGACCTGGTTTAAACACACAATAAACTGCACATTTCAGCCATTGTTTACATACATATAATCCATTGCTTTGCAAGAGTGCTGTTAGGATTTAAAAAAGCAAAATGAGACTCGGCATCCACCGATTTTTAATTCTCCTTGGTAAACTAAAACCTTAGGCATTTATGTAAATGCCTTAGCAACCAGACTTCTTTCACAGGTTAATTACTTGGATAAACAGTTCCAGAGGTGATAAATAATGATGATCATGATGATTTAAAAAAAAAAACGCCACCCGGAGGCATGATTTTTGTGTTGTGGTGAGGAAATCTGATTCCTGTCGTCTGAAGAAAGAGGCCGATCCCCTCCTTCCCTGCCAGCACACGATCGCTCAACCGAGTTGTAATCAGGACCGCGCCTGCAGTGAGCCGGCTGGTTGAGTAAACAACACAGCCCAGAACACTGACGCAGCAGAGAACAGGCGAGGCGGCAGGGCGGGACAGCTATGCGGTTAGACAAAGGGCTGAGGTGTCAGTCTACCCACTGGCCCACCTTTGCTGTAGGCTCACTTGGTCCTTGGCTTCCATAACAGCGGCAGATAAACACTGGAAACTGTAGAGAAGGCATGCCCCTGTTTGCAACGTACAGTACAGTATGTTAAAAAATGCGTTACTGTGTCTCTTTCGCAAAACTTCACAGAATACATCATTTAATTTGCAGAATTTCAGTATCAACAAGATACAGAAGTTGGGTTTTCAACCTTGATATTCGTAAAAAGTTACTGAGTCACTTTCTTCACCTTGATAAGACTGGCAACAGTGCGGTGAGTCAGGTGCGCTGAAGCCGGCAGCTGTCTAGTCAGAGTCCAGTTTGCGCCGGCAGCAGGTGTGGGTTTGGCGGTGTCACGGGGGTATAGTATGGAGGTACAAAACTGCGGTGACAGGAAACAATTTGACTAAAGCAGATTACACATAAAGGGCGGCTGGTGCATTAACAACGGAAATGATACAAAACATAACTTTTTATAAACTCCATAACATAGTAAGATAGAAGCTTGTAAACAGTACCAGGTTGTAGTAAATGTAATTTGTGTGCATGGCACATACAGTATATGAATATTCATGCATGTTTATATCTGTGGCCTTAAAATGACAGTCACTTTAACGGGCTGTTACAGTGCTCCTAACTGATTATTTTTAAATAAATTCACAAACCATAAAACAGACATCCAGACAAGCATAAAATGCACTTTTTTTCCAAAAGCAAAAAAAAAAAAAGCATGACATTTTCAGAATATAAAGTAACAGACTTCCTGACTCAAGAGGAGTTGAACCCGAACTACTGGGATTCAGAACAAAAGCTTCTTTATGATTTTTTTAAAGCTTGAATTAAGTAGCATCCCAACAGAAAGACTGCCCTATTGTTGGCTTTAGCTCCAACTGGAAATGAAAGATAAGAAGGCATAAATCACTAAACTATTAAAATTCCTAACATGACCAGTTCCTCTTTAAACAGATGGATTATAACCTTCATTCTATGCCACAAAAGCCTTTAAGTCCTCTTAAATATGATTTTGCAGATGAAACATGCTAAATATCTTCACCATTACATAACACTGTTTAAGACACTCAAGCTTGTGAAGTTTCAGGCTGTAATGTGGTAACAAGATAATGATGAATAAGGTTGAAAATCATAATTCACTGTCCTGTTCTTGTACAGGAAGGTTTGCAGGTTGGTTGCATGATTATGTTCTTCACAGTGAAATACTATTAGAGGTGTTGAGGTTTTTTTTTTTTTTAGAGTCACATTTAAAATCAGTGTTAAAAAGTGAAATCAGCTCTTTTTAATGAGCTCTCTAAGAAGAATCTCTACTAATATGATTTGTTTTTTTCTTATAAGGCCTTCTGAGCTTCAGTTTAAAGGTACCTCCATTTATCCTTGAGACTTGAAAGGCTAATTTAATACACTTCCCCTCCCTGTAATCAAGATATCTAGCACAACTTCATGTTGTTTTGTCTGCTCATTGCAATGTAACACCTGCAAGTGGTTTTTCACAATTCTCAATCTAGACAGTTACTACAGGTCACAAAGTGTCTTACATTCTGGGGGCAATGTTAATGGTCTTGTTTAGAGAGAATTGATGTTTTCCTTCCCCACTTAAAACATAGGTTTTCCTATCACCATGAAATTGCTTAAATATACTTTTAAAAAAAAGCTTTCTCCACACACTCCTCCAGCCCCCTCCCCCACCAAAAAAAGTGGTTAATATTTACATTTTAAATTCTCATATGCCTTCTGAGACTCAATTTGGATGCAAAAAGAGAAAGCTTAAAGGAGAAAGCTTAAGGAGTGAGATGTAATGACACGGCAAAAGTATTTTTGTAGCAGCAGACCCAAGAGCCTCTTGCTGTTTAGCTTAATCTGTCTCCACCCCAGCATGATGAGAGCATCTAAAACCAAACCAAAAACAAACATATACCTGCTGTCTGTAGCAACACCAATCAAAACATGACCCATTACGTCGAAGCCGATTCCTGTTCTAGACTTACACAGTCTTCATCTGGTGAAGATAAGAATCAGTATCTCCTGACTGTGAAGACAAAACAGGTTAACATTTAAACCCACAATTTGCCACTGGAAATATATTATTTTATAGCCTTCAGAACTAATATAACTATATAATAAAAGTTACACAGTTTTTGGATTACATACCAAGGATTGGCAGAATTCAGCCCACAGTTTTTAAACCTTTTATTAGGTTTAGTACAAGAGATTTTTGAAATATAGCATGCAATCATGTAATTGTGTACTATCCGACATGGACCTTTTCATTTCTTCCTCAAATTACTAACGGTACGGATTACACTTAATATTACCCCTTTTACCCATAGAAGTATAAAATTATAAAAGTCACCTGGAATGTTTAAACCAAGAACAGCAGGTTTCTTTTCATATTAAATTTTTAATTCAAAACATCATGGGATGTGTACACCTTAACTGATTAGACGTTTTGGCCTGCAGAGTTGCATGATGTGATAAAGAATCTTTTCTCTACCACTTTCAGGGTCATTCTTGAACTTCTATTTTCTCTCATAAATCCAATCCACCCTTAAACCAGAGATTTAAATGCTTAGTATAGTTTCATACACACATATAAGTGCTTGTGCTGTGTTCAGGTCCAAGCATTTACATAGTAATAGCTGTAAAGTGTTTATTCCACCATGGTTTAAAAAAAACAAATTATAACCTACCTTGATATGCAAGATAATTTATGCTATACTGCCCCCCAGTGAGCAAAACTGATTTGAAGAAGCACACCATTTCCAATGAAAAAACAAGTCTTTACCAAACATTGTTGTAGTATCTTATTTGCAGATTAAGCGAAATGCTAAAAAGAAGTAACATTTATCATTTATTATAAATACCTATAAATGTTACTATGTTATAGCCATTTAGAAAATAGTAGGAGATTTGTGTTTTGCCAGTTGCACACTAATAGTAGAGGGTAGATATGATCATATTTGTTTTACTATGATACTTCCTGAATATCAGTTATAGAATAAGTGAGATTTCTAACCCCACTTGCAAAGTATTACATTATGCTCCAAAAAACCATAAGTGATTTATCAGAACAGATTAAATGCCCTGCAAAATACTGTGTGTCAGAGATGGTGGATCGCTAGACTGTCTACTGTCTTTTTTAGACTAGTCTAAATTTCATTTATGACCAAGCTAAGAGGCAATAAAACTTACTTCTTCAGACTGTTGTAAAGAATTGCAAAACATCTGATGGCATCTCAAATTATGAATCAAGTACTAACACACTCAAGGCTTGTAGCTAAACGCCATATCTTTGATCTGTCTCCCATCTACAGTATGATTAATTAAATATAATTGAATAGTAATTTCCAAATTTCAGTTAAATTTATTTTCACCTTCATTATTCTTTAAATGGTGGTTAATTAAATTAAATACTAAATCAAAAGTGCTTTTGTGCACCTAAACGTAATTCATAAAAGGCTCACCGTTCCTGTAATAACACATTTTATTTATTTAAAAGTTACAATTTGATTTACAGGCAAAAATGTAATGAACAGAGAGAGTTTATCAGGCCTTTCGAAATGTCACTGTGATCTGAAAAGGTGTTGTGAAGAAAACAAAATGCATTAACAGTGCCCTGTACAGTCAGACTAAAGCAAAAAGACTGTGCAACACACCCCTGTATCTAAGAAAAAAAAGATTACAAATACTCAAGACTTTATAAATAGGAAATACTGTTTTATACATAAAACTGTATAAGTGTTGCACATCTTTCCTTAACAGTGTGACAAAAAGGCAAAAGGCATTAGAAAAGAAAGCCCATCATGTCTGATTAAAATTATGCTGATGTGACTGCAATCTTTTCCCTACGCAACAGGCTTCTATTAGACATTTTGAATACCTACAGGGATAAAAAAATTAACAGTGTAGTTTTAAAAGATATTATCTGTTAAACACACAACCCCAGGGTATGAGAAAGAAGTTGAAGGTGTTTCCTGCTTTCAGAAGAGAATGAACCGATAGTGCTGCCTTAGCACAGCCAAATCCTTTACCTTTCAATCATAAAACAAACCAAAGGGAGTGATTGTTTCAGGCGCTAACTGTAGATGTAAAGAACCGAGCACAAAGAAAACGCAGTTTGTGGCAGGGAAAAACAGGCCATGTACTTGCAGGCCTTCGTTTTTTTTTAAATTAAAACTGATTTTGAAACCACTAAATTTCGCAATTCAGATTAAAAGTGGGGAAGGGTTTAGATCAAGTAGAAATTGTGTTGTAATTAGAATCAAATGAAAATGCATGCAACCAATACTAATTAAAAGTTACCTAGCAGCTTTAAGGTTTGAATATTTTTATTTTAAACATATAATGAGCTATTAAGTAAATTGCAATTCCAGGCTCTTCTCTGAAATAATAATAATAATAATAATAATAATAATCATTATACTTTTATTTAGGCCCAATATAAGAGAAAAGCCATTATTCTGTAAATAAAAATGAGAAGCGTATGAAATTCACAATTCAAACTCCTTCCTCACCTTTTGTTAATTTGTCCCTCAATGAAATACTGGGATTAAAATAGATATATACATATACAAGGCGACAAAAACTGAGCCATGTACACAAGCAAGCATTATATACCACAGAAAAAATATTTATTTAGTACAATGTGCTTGGGGCTGTGTCATGAAAAGACCTCATGAGGGAGGTTGTGGGGTTTCTTAATCACAGTCAGTCCTGAAACATCTGAGCATGTATTTACACAAAAAAACATTTTCTCACCCTAGATCATAATAAAAAAAAACATTCACACAAAAATATAACATTTGAAATAATTAATAGCACCAGTGTATCAGGTAAAGTCTTGCTATGCATAATGTACAAAGTTGCATAGAGCGAGTTTATTTTTGCCTTTATAAAATGTTAACATTTTCTGCATGGTTTGCAGTACACCTGTATAAAGCAGCAGCTTCAGGAAAAAAACAACAATCTGTAGTGTTATAAAAAATAACTGTATAAAATAAAATCCCACTTAACAGATATTTCATGGCTCGTACAGGTCTTGAAACAATAAAATGGGATTGTCTTTTCTCTCTTCCCAAGTAAATGGTTTTACTCTTGTTAAAGTAAGACTACTTGATTTTTACATTTTTGTGTGTGTTGTATAGAAAGCTACTTTAAATACTGCATGGAGCTCATGAGGAAGAATCTAAAATTATGCTGGTGATGCCAGGCATACCCAAGGAGTGATTAGAATGACAGTATATTGGATAGATCAGAAAGAGCATTCCTTCACTGACAGCTGGAGACTTGTGACATGTAACACTAAGATGGATAAAGAGGAAAGGTGCACCTGGTAATACCTGAAAATAAAGCCCAATAACTGCAATACAAACTCCAAGATGTTTCAAAGTCTCTCTGCAAAAGAGGAAGCAAACCTACAATTTATAGCTTATTTTATTCCAGAGACTTTGGGATAAAAATAAATAAGAGGTACTGTATTTATACAGACCTTCTCGTCTGTTTGAGAAATTCTGTATACCCTCTGCTTACAGTTTTGAGTTTGGGCTAGCTGGTTATCATGGCCATCCTCCAGAAAGAAGCAAACAGTCTTTGTGAGGTGCAGTCATGTGGGTGCTACTCTGTAGGTGTGTCCAGAGGAGCTGGATGCAAGGAACTGAAGTGGCTCTTTTTCAGGTTCTGCATCTCGTCCCCCAAAAAAATAAAAAGCTGCATTTCTTGTCTTTTTTTCAAAAAATAATCCTGGCGTTTATCCAAAGGGTTGATTATTTTTTCTCTCAGGAAAAAAAAAAGATCGTTTTGGTAAAACATGGCATTGTCACTTCAGGTGATAGGTGGAGTGTGAAGGAGGCAATCCAAGCCACTTTTCTATTGCTCTCTCAGGGTTAGGGCCTCTCTATAGAGGGAGTGTTGAAGCAGCCAGCCGGTAATGTGTTCTTGATGTCGTTAAGGTTTGCAATGTCCGCCTTGATCTCTTGGATCTGCCGGTCGTAATCGCTGATCATGTCCTCTTGGCTCTTGGCCGCCTCATTCAGCTCCCTGAGCTTTCGGTCAAGATCGCTGTCTTTCATGTCATTCTTGGCCTTTTTAAGTGAGTTATCAATGTCTGTCAACTTGCTCAAGTCCACGTTGGTAATGTTACCTAAAATCGGGGACAGAACCATTCTTTACTCATCTCTTACATGTGAAGACATTGAAGCCTTAAGCACAGGTACAGCAAATAGTCTATCTCATGAACTCTACGTGCAACCTTTGGTCAAAACCATGTTCAGCTGAAAATACAGTATGCCATGAATTCTGGAGGTATCATGATTTAGTCATACATCAAATAGATGCATGTGAATTGTATGCTGTTACAAAAAAATTTTTAGCTTTTCCTCCACTGCAGTCCATTTAGAAACTCTTAGTTGGCAGACTTACATTATGATTTTGTTACAGTGTTACTGGATTGGGCTGATGCTCTTATCCAAACCAACTCTACAGGGCTTCAAATACTTATATACTGTGAATATGAACACAATTCTTAGAAATACATGTCTCTCAGTAAGTAAACATGTATCATTTGTGTTTCTCTGGTTGCACATTCCTCTGGTATCCCCTAAAGATACTTACCTAGCTGGCCAAGAAGGTCATTAATGGTGGTCAGAACCATCTTGACTGCATTCTTTGCTTTTCGGGCATTGTCTTCCGCTTCCTGGGCCGCATTTGAAGCCTGAGGAACAAAATCATGTCTCTGAACACCAGAACAGAGCACAGTTCTTGGCGATATACAGTATCACTGCCTTGACAGGATAATTTAATTTTTGTTTCTGAGGGAAAAGTACCGTAACAAATCACACTCATTTAAAATGTAACTGATTCCTTCCAGATGTGTCCACTTTCCCCACAGCGTGACCAGACTGATGGGGAGTTTGTCTTATTTTAAGTAAATGCTGGCAATTATTTGTCCTGAATCATATAATTCTGTTACAACAGGAAAGGTGTATCAGGGAGAGTGTTCATATACACATCTCGGTAAATAATTTTAAATAAGAATATCATAGCTGCAAAGCATCTAACATGTTAAAGATGAAGACCATATTTTAACTTGTATATTTTGAAAAGTTAAAACAGATTCATATATCCTAATTAACACAAAAGATTTAAAGGACTATTTTATTCATGTATTTTGTACACAGTAAAATATCAATGTCGAACACTACCAGGCATGAATATACATCTTCTGATTCACCAAATCTCACTGCATTTTCACGCAAATATATCCACCACTTACCATGTTGGCCATCATCATGTCCTGGTCAGCCTCTGCCTTCTTCTTAGCCAGTTCCGCCTCTGCATCAGCCAGTTGGGTCATCATGTCATTGACCTCATTGTCCACCTTCATTGTCTCCTCAAACGTTTTCTCAGCATCTGCTCTGGTCTTGGCAGCATTCTGTATGGCACAGTTGTGCACAGACTTAATCTCTATGTAATGGCACCGTTTGCAGTGCTAGATTATTTTTAATTATTATACATTATATTAGCATTAATATTCATATAATATACTATATATTCTAATATTTAGATTATACAACAGTGTTATGTATGTATATCATGTATATAAAATGTTATAAACATAAATACAATGTTTCTTAAAAATGAAAAATAAAGAAGAAGCAACTGCTAATTTTTTTTCATTGTGTCCATTAAAGTACAGGCATTTTTACAAAATTAGCTTTACCAGATAACCAGCCCTATTGAGACAATTTAACCATTGATAAAGTACAAAATTAATGGTCAGAATCCTATATCCTCTACCTTCTGGACTTCAGTGGCAATATTCTGTGCCGCCTCCGCCTTGTTTTTGGCCTCCCTGGCATCTGCCGCAGCATTCCCTAGAGCCCCCTCGGCCTGCTTTGTCTTCTCGTTGGCCGCAAGGATGGTGGCGTTGATGGTCGGGATCTTCTTCATCGCGTCTTCAGCCGCCGTCTTATTGTCATTCACTCGCCTGTCAAAGTCTGAAATCGACACGGGGGGGAAAATTGTGAGAACTCGGAAAACGTCAATGCGTGGGAAGAAGAGGGTTTTGTTTGAAAAGGGGGGGAGAGGCACTTTGGATCACTCAAACCAAAAGGATTTGTATTCTGACATCCGCAAGTGCTCTTCTTTCAGGATTTGTTTACAAGTGCAAGAGTACGCCGGTACAGAAAAATGGAAAGGCTTAGCTTATAAACATAAAAGCATTTAAGAATGATTAGCATGGTCGACATTCGAGAAAAATGCTGGCGTTTGGTACCAAGCAAATTCAACCGTGCCTCGATAAAGTCTAACGATTATACCAGTTAGAGATTTTACTTAACTAGGCACGCAAAGGTCTTGAACAAGACAACTAGGGATAGGCAAGGGAATCTCTCTCCCACCTTTCAGGTTGTTGAGAATGTCTTGGGCTTCCTGGTATGTGCCTCTCCCTTTCTTGGCAGCTTCCTCGGCCAGTGCCTTAGCAGCGTCAGCTCGGGCCAGCAGCTGGTCTGCAGTCTGGAAAGACAGGGAGGTCTCCAGGTCAGATATAACCCCAAAAAAGCAGAGAAACAGGGGAAGAGCAGTACACCACACTCTGCATCTCTCTTTTTATTAAATAGCACAAGTGTTTAATTAAAGGTGGGGGCGACAATAACCATATCCTACCTGCTGCTCCGTTTTTCCTTTTTCTAGAAGCTTCCTGACTTCCACTTCCTTGCCCTTGAGGTCATCCCTCAGGTCGTTATACTCTTTCTCCGTCTTATCGATGAGTTTGTCGAGGTCTGAAGCCTCTTTCTTGATCTTGTTTGCTTCATCCTGAAAGCAACGAGAATGTCACCCTCACGGAATATTTTTGTATACAAAAATACACAATACTCAAAGGCACGAAACCTCTGGAATAAAATAAGCTAGACATTGCATAAAGCGGGTGGCAGATAAGCATACGTTGAAAAAGTGGGTCGCAAAAACATTTCTCACTTCAAGAGTTTTGGTGTCCACGGGTGGGAGGCTAGTCAAGTTCGCATAAATCTGCAAAGCCTTGTTCCCGGCTTCTTCTGCTTCAGCATGGACTTTGTTGGCTTGTTTCTCAAGGTTTTTAGCTAGGTCCTTGGCTTCATTATACCTGGAAGAAAGTACGGAAATGTTACACTTCTTAACACTGGAACAAAAAACTGACTGTCGTACCGTTCCATCCAAGAAAACCACTAGGAAAACAATGTCTTATTTGGAAAGAGTACTGTTCCTTTGATCCTGGTCAATCAGGTTGAGAAGAGACAATACAGATGCAAAACTGTAACTCACTTTCTATTGAGTTCATCAATATCCCTGTTAATTTTGTTCTCGCTGTCCAGTGTCTTACGAAGCAGGTTATAAGCTTCTGTGGAGGTGTCATTAGCTTCCTTGGCAATCTTCTCAATTTGATCTGCGTCCATTTTGTGCCTATGAGAAAGAGGTAAGCAAACCATAACCAAAAAGCCCGGTTTCACTCACACCTCTGAAGAATGGAAAAAGATAAGAAAGCTGCATCTATGATTTTGATCTTACTTCTCTGCCAGCTTCCGAGCTTCCTCAGCTAAAAGGGTCATATTATTTGGATCTCCAGTTGAAGTGGGAGGTTTGATGTCCTACAACAATACAGAAAAAATATTAAGTCTGGTCAAAAGAGTAAGTAACATTGAGACTACAAACGACAGGCAATAATATTACTCTACTTAATGTTCACTTAACAATCAATCACTCACCACTTTATTGATAGCATCTTTAGCTTTCTCTAGCTCCTGCCTGGCAGTCTCTATCAGCTTTTCTGTATCCCGGACTCGAGTACGGGACTTGTCTGCCAGCTCTCCAGTATTGTCCACAGTTTTTCTGATATTCTGAAGTCGATTCCATTGAGTGCTCAATGTGTTATTGATGTCACCCAAGCGGTCAAGCAGTCCTTGATCAACATCTGCAAACAATTACAAATTCAAGATTTTGCGATTTGTTAAAACAATCAATGGATCATTAACCTTAAAATAACTTTCAAAAACCTAAAGCAAAGGGATCTACACTCTTTTGTTGTCCACTATACTCGCAGATAATCAGAGTTGCTGATTCCAATGAATGAGACTTCCAAGTTGTGGAAGCCAAAAGGTTTTTGTATTTCTTCTTACTGCTTTAAAAATGGTTCATGTACTGTGTGAAGACCATAAAAACAATGAAATTCATAACTGATCTGTACATCAGGACAAATAAGCCATTAGATTTGTGAAAATAATTTGAAGTCCTATGTCATCAAGGGTAATAGTCTTACCCACAAACCACTAAAGTGGTTTCCAAACCACAAAACCAATTAAAGTCAAACGTGACATTTCAGAAACAGTCATTTGTTAAGTTTGCACCTGAAAAGTTAAGTCAATATCTTTTATGCCCACACTGTATTATACATTATTTTAGGAAATTTGGTCCATCACATAACCTGTTCTTCCAATTATCTCCAGACATTACTTTTACAGTACTTCCAGGAAGAATATGCATGATAATGGAACATACCAGAACAGAAGTCTAACTGCTACTTTATTTTTCTGGATTGTTAGTATTACAGACAAATGTGATATGTGAAGCACTGACTCCCTTGGTCTGCTGAACTAATACACTAACTGAATCGAAAATTTGGCAGATTTCACCGGCAACAAAAGCTGCTTCTAATTTACGCCAGGTCATCAACTGCTTGGCAAAACAATTTCTTACAAAATGTGTTTGTTTGGCCAAAGAAATCTGAACTTCATAACTCTAGTGAGAAAACACTGAATGTACCGTATGACTGAATATGTTTTCTGCTCAAAGCAGTATGGCTGTCTGACTGATCTGATTCTCGTATTGGCTGCCTGTGCCACAGATTTCTCCTAAGAAAAACCGAGTTATTCCAATTAATTCCAAGCATGTGTGATATCACTCCAGTGACAATACATTTAACATGCCTAAAGTGGGTATCTGCTCCAACAGAAATGGCTGTTATTTTGTTCTTGAATGTCAAACTACCGTGAAATTAGAAACTTTGGCAAAGCCACTTGTGGAATGGCATCATACTTAAACCTCTGTCAAAAAGCATCTTTGTGGTGAAATGTGCTGTATGTGCCAGCTGCTCTTCCTAAAAACTGTTCAGCCAATGTGCTCCAAACATCATAGGCATTTCCACTTTTTCTGCTCCCAGTTCACTAACATTGTTCAAAGAAATGGGGTAGATACTTGCATGAAAGACTGCTTGTACTTTTCCCATTTTGGCATTGTATAGACCAGGTATAGGCTTTTAATAAGCTTCAAAACAATGGGTTTACCTGGAATTAGTCTCATTCCAGAGGTTATTGTATACCGCCAACAACAATATCGTTACCTTTGCTGGCTTGTGCTTCTTGCAGGAGGTCCATGATGGCTTTCTCTGCCTCTTTCAGTCGGTCTTCAAAGGCCTTGTCACTCACAGCTTCCTGACTGGATCCTAGGTTCTCGATCAAGGTCTCTAGCTCCTGCAGTTTTCGTCTCTGCTGGTTCACCTGCATAATCAGGTCAAGTGGTTATTTAAGATGCAATGGTCATCACGAGGGATGTGAACATACAGGATTACAGGAAAGAAAAAGCAGAAGTCTATACAGTGGAAAACTATTACTGTGACGAGTTGTTGGGTTGCCTTGTATACCTTATCTTTCACTAATGAGTAGCAGGATGGACACTCCTGACAGCCAGGCCTTGAGCTGTTTCTGAAGTAGTTCTCCTCACACATTTCACAGTGCATTCCCACAAAGCCTTCTCTGCACTCACACCTGCCATCCTCCATACACTGTGCAGTCCGGGAGCCATAAGGGTCACAGTCGCAAGCTGTTGGGAAAACCGAAAGATGAAGCAACAATGTGTGACCTAAGGCAAACGTCCACAGTGGGTGATGCAACATTCAGAGCTATGTGAGCCAAATATCCCATAAAAACAAACTGACTCATTGTTTGCTTGCACACAAGATTAATTACAACCGTTGACTGAGACAATTAAAAGGCATTCATGTCCTTTAACAAAAACATAACAGTCACAGTGTTAAAAGCAAGCAAGAACCTCATCTTTGTATTCTATTAACTGATAAAATTCTAATTTTAGAACTAGGTGTCCTGTGGTGGCTCTGTGGCTAAGGATCTGCGCCTGTAGCTGGAAGGTTGCCGGTCCGTATCCCACAGCCAGCAGAGGAATCCTACTCTGTTGGGCCCCTGAGCAAGGCCCTTAACCCCAACTGCTCCAGGGGCGCCGTATAAATGGCTGACCCTGCGCTCTGACCCCAAGCTTCTCTCCCTGTCTGTGTGTCTCATGGAGAGCAAACTGGGGTATGCGAAAAGACAAATTCCTAATACAGGAAATTGTGTATGGCCAATAAAGTGATCTTAATTTTGAGGGGGGGATAAGGTGTGATGAAAATGATTAAAACATTTAATATGTAAGAGTTAATAAATGGAACACATCTTCATAATGATTAGGTCATATTTGTACTCAGACCACGGAGATGCAATAAGCAGTCCAATAAAAGGTTTTGTTCTTACGTTTGCAACCATCTGATCCAAAGCCGAAGAAGTTGACTTCGCAGCGCTCACACTGCCGACCAGTGACCCCGGGATGACACTCGCACTGACCAGTGTTGATATCACACTGACCATTTGTGGAGCCCACTGGGTTGCAGTCACACCTGTCATGCCATGTCACAAAGTGAGTAATAGATCACATCCAATCAAGACACTACAACCACACGCTAACAAAATAAAGCACAAATAAAGAGAATATAACCCAATGGAAAGGTGCATAAATCTATATTTGCAAAATTATTTATTAGACTTGGTTTAATTCTAGTAAAAAAAACGTCTTAATTTTTGCAGTTTGCAAAGGCTTTACCAAAAATACCCCTTGCTTACCGTTTGCAGCCCTGGCCGCTCAGCAGATTGTAGTATCCAGGCTCACAGGCACTGCAGTCCCGGTTGATGACATGCGGCAAACACTGGCACTGCCCTGTGACCGGCGAGCAGGTGGTCTGTCTGTCCACTGTACCGTAGGGAGAGCAGGAGCAGGCTGCGGATACAAAGAACAAGAGCACAAGCTAAAATACTCTTCCCAGACAGGAAGCAGAGAGGTACAAATTCTGGGAAACAGTTGTCCCCGGTTATTTTTTTTAAATTTGGAATTAAAAAATTATTGGTACACCCGCCAAATATGGGAGGCTGTCAGACACTTAACACCAGGCGTCATGGCTAACACTGGCCACACTGCTCAAGCAGACTGAGAACAGCGTTTAATCATCTGATCAAACTGATCAAAAGCTCCACAGTGCGTTACGGGAGAGTTCGCTCTGACTGGAGGAGACAGCTGGAGTGCCTATATAAGATGTCACTTGCAAACTTGCAGGAAAGTCACGGGAGTCACCGTTTCAAACACTAAGCAGTCCCCAGGCATTTAAAAACACTGACAGTGCTCCATCAATAATGTCCCGCTGTTTCCGGAGTCCTGGCTACAGTCTGCTACTGACTGGCCCAGGCCAAAACGTGCAATATCTGGGCATAACAACATTTTTGAAAATGAACGCCAAACTTAAAAAAAAAAAAGAAACATGCATTTATCTTTAAAAAATGGCTTATGCTTTCATCATTAAGACTTAACGGTTCATGTTCTAAAGTAATGACTATCATTTTATATGGACATTTACAATTAAGCAATTAAAGAAAAGATTTTTTTAAAAAGTGTGAAGGTCAAGCTGGTTATTTTGAAAATAAACAGCATGGAGGAACCTTTGCATAGATCTGCACAATTTATGCGCTGCTAGCTTATGACACCCAGCCTGATGTTGGAGGAGAGCTCTTACGCTTGCACTTATCCGCGGGGTTGGCAGCCAGGGGGTTGCCAAAGAAGCCCTCTTTGCATCGGTCACAGAAGAACCCATCGGTGTTATAGATGCATTTCAGGCACTCTCCAGTCTCCCGGTCACAGTTGCCCACAGCGTTGGGGTCAATGTTGTCATTGCACTGACACGGATTGCACGACCGAACAGCCCCGTTCTGCCCCAGGGGATCCCCGAAGTAGCCGTCGTCGCACAGCTCACAGCGCTTGCCTGAAAAATGCCACAGGAAGTTGAAAGAACAAAGCCTGTGGAGCAGCCTTTCAGAAAGGAATGAGGTCATCAGCACAGGTCTTTGGGGAAAAAACTACACCAGTGTGAAGATGGGATTTGTAGTCTTCACTGTATGAATGCCTGAGGATCCTTGTGTATGGATTCCATTTTTACTTATACATGTCTTAACTTTTGACATCTCTTAAGGTCTTAGTTTCAGGTGCTTATTAGCGACTGGTGTCAACCATAGGCAATCAGTCAAAGGCTCTGTTCCCACTTAATGGAGGTAAATCAGGCAAGATACAAAAATCACCCCACCATTCATGAGGCCCTGGCTGTCTGGAGCACAGGAATTTGCAGATTTTGTAACATTACATCGTAACAAGCATAGTGTGACCTTCACAGCCTTTAAACATTATTACTTTTAGTATCAGTAATTGGCATGCTTGTACTCACTTGACATTTCTAGAACAAAGTATATACTGAAAAAATCATGCAACATTCTACTAACAATTCAAAAGAAACATTTGGAAACAATCTTTGGATTGAATTCTAAGACATTACCAAACATTTTAGTATTGTTCTACAGCAACATACACATACAAAAAACAGGACCGTTAATGAATTGTCAATTGAAACACACCCCTCGAGTGTTATGACTTACTATCCCCTTACAGATGATGTTTTTGATGTTTGTTAATACTAATTTATCAACTGTGCCAAAGTTTTAATGCAAATCTCTTGCAACTTGTTACATATCCCTGCCTAGTCTGGTTAGTCCCAAGCACAGAAATACTTACCCGTAGTGCCAGAAGGGCAGTTGGTACAGACCACCTCTTTGGTCACTGGCACAACAGCACAGGTGGAACCCGCTGGACAGGGGCAAGGCTTGCAGTCCGACGTGGTGCCACTGGACGAGTCTCCATAGTAACCATCCTCACACCGCTCACAGTTCGGGCCTGCTGTGTTATCTCTGCAGTCACAAACCCCTGAGACAAAGAAAAAGATGCGCTCTTGATTAGGATCAAAAGATGCATCTACAGTTAAAGACTTTAATCTTCATTACACAGACGAAGAAAAAGATTAATTGCAGACTCGACTACTAACTTCTTTATCTGTCCAAGTACATACTAGAGTGGAAGCATGTTATTGATGTAATATTTTCAATCAAGATGGAGTAAGTGAAAACAGGCAAAAGAATCATTAAAAAACTTCTCATTGAATAATCTTTTATACTTTCAAGAAAGCAGACCTACAAGAAATGAGAAGGTTTAAATGGAATACTTAAAGAAAAACAGGAGAGACTGTTTTCTATGCCGACATAACTGGAATAAACCACTTGAAGTTTTAGAAACAAGTGAGCAGCAGTCTAAACAAGATAGCAGACAACTTAAACTCAAGGACTTTGGCAAAGTCAACCTAGTAAACACTTTCCTAGTAAAGTGAAGAATGAAACAATTCAGAGAAGACAAGTGGAAACTGCATGGAAGTGCATTTAATTACCGACACTAGGAGAGGCATCTTTAGGTTGATTGTTTTGGGATATGGATTAAGTTACCAAGCCATGTTGTTGAAACTAATAAACTGGCTTCTTTCAAGAAACAGATGGATAAGATCATTAGAGAAAATAGTAACTAGAAGCCAACCCATCTAAATGGTCCAATTGTCCTCCTGCTAGTTTGTAACCTTCCTGTCCTAACTAACCGGTGACAATTAACTTTAATTCCACCAAAAACCAGAAGAGGGCAGTCACTGACAAGCACTGAATGGAGGAACCAGCTAGGCCTTGAAATAACAGTTCAACAATGGGAAAAAAAACTGCCTTCAGGTTCTAAAAACACATTTTTATTTAATTGTATGAAATACACAGATAGACAGAAGGGGAAGGACACTTTTTTCCCTCTTATATGAAGTTTGTATATGAATTTCAAAAACAGAACTGGCCTCCATTGAAACACACTCTATGCATTTTAAATCTTTTTTTAGCATAACACTAAAAATAAAATACAGGCTAGGTTTATAGGCACTCAGATTTCATGCTAACAGGCCCATATACAAATTTACTGAGCACCTTATTCCATTACACACAAGGAGTTCTTGCATCTAACTTAGGTTGACCGACATCTGAAAGGTCACTTGTCTAAAACAGCACTAAAGTTCATTGCAAAAAACATGTTCACGGAGTGACTGTTTTTTTTGTTAGTTTGAAATGCATAAACAAGCCTATCCGGCAACTCAGAAGTCTGAAGGAGGTTAGTGCATCAAACATTTCCTTTTCCATGCCATTTCAATCCCGGGCACTTTCGGTACCTTCTTCCTATTTCCTGGATATGGGCCTGCCAGACTCACCAGTCTCGGGGTCGCAGGTCTCACTGTGGCCATTACAGCTGCAGGGCTCGCAGCTGCTGAAGGGCCCCAGACTCGGCCTTGATCTCCTGTATCCGGGGGCACACGCCTCACAGAACTGCCCCTGGTAGCCCTGTGGGCAGGTGCACCTCTCCACCCACAGGGCAGGAGTGCCCGGCCCACGGCGGGCCGTCACCAAGGTAACGTCATCCAGATAGCCAGCACCTGATGGACCGCACACAGGAAATGGGGAACATGTAAAAACTGGAACAAACGCACCGCTGTAGTTTTTTCTCGACAGTTTCCAAGACGCGCTGGAAATGTTTTGCCAGTTACATCTTAAATAGTGATATCACAGTCAACGTTGCTGGTCCGTTTTTATACACTCTAATTGTGCCACCCACGGTAATGTAAAATGTGTTTTACGGTCTTCAGTTAAAAAGACCATCTCTGGTTTTATTTGTATTTGCAAATGGGTGTAAGCCTCACGCGATTTATGACTTGGCCACCAATTTTATTGTGTGCGATTTCCCCAGTGGAATGGTCTGGATTTCTGTCATGCTCGCGGCGAGCGAGTTCAGTTCACTGCTGCAGATTAAAGAGTGAATGACTACACGCAAGCAAACAAGAACTGCTCCTGAAAATATAAAATATGATGTCTTTCCTGTGTCAAAAATCTTAGTTTCCACCCCAAATAAGACTGTGTTGAAGACACAGTATGTCTCTTGGTTATTCCAAAAATGCTGTTTAGTGCTTACAATGATTACACTGAGTCTGTAGAAGACCTTTGCCTTTGTGTGTGAAAAAAGTTACAGGTTCTCTGTCTGTTGATTTGTTTACCTGTGTGGAAAAATATTTATATCCATATATATGGATCTCATAATATGCTGCAATTTAAGCCCTTAAATGTAGAAAATCAGCAGAAGTAAATAGTTTGTACATTTAACATTTTAGATTTAACGTTCTATGACAATCATTTAACCTAATTTCTCACTTCATTAACAAAATCCTCACTGGATATGCCACTATTGACTGCAAATATCTTTGTCAGACAACCAGGCTTTGAGAATTTGTTTCAGGTATTCTTCAGTTAAGATGGTACTGGGACTATCAAGAGACTTAAACCACACTAAATACACAAATTCAATCTAAATCTAAAATGTTTTTGTATTTCGATTTTGGCATGAGTATTTATTAATGACCAATACTTTAGTGCATGTTCACTAAAGCCTACAATGAACACCATCACTTAAAAAATAAGAATGAACATGTAACATTTGTTTAAATTAAATTATCTTATTCAAAACATTAAATGAACGGGTGACACATTACTAAACCCACTCTCTATTGGGTAAAGAAGTTTGAAAAGTAAACCTACTTCTCTCACTGTAAGTACCCCGGATCTTAATGGAAGTCAGATTGTAAAGTAACTTCTGAAATTCGGAGTGACTGAGGCTCGGCCTCCAGGGATAATCTGTTGCATCATGCAGCCTGAATGAGAGAGAGAAAAAAAGAACAACTGAAATATTCTTTTCAATCTGCCAAAATACAAAAAAAATCATCTGATTATAATCACGTCAATGGAAATTGTACCTTTTCAACCCAATGATAATTGGCTTATTGTCAAATTAAGTGACTTTAAAAACTACATTTCACAAAGTTCTTTTACACAGGAAGGATGTTAGTGATAAGGAATGAGGTTCATTTACAGTGTAGCCAAAAACATCTGGAAATGGTCTCTCTTCAAAATCTCAGACAAATATACTCTATATTGGCCAGACATTAGCAGGTAACGTAGGCCCAGTGATGGTCTGACTTTAGGCTGATTAAACGATCCCACTAAACCCCTGATTTTGAAGAATGCTGAACTTCTGTTTGCTGGTTGCCAGGGGACCGATCACAAACTCACAGTATGTCCGACAGTCTTGGCCTCTCACCTGAACACGTAGGTCTGCTTGTTCTCACTGGGGTAGGCATTGCCCTGTGCGATCAGTGGCACCGCTACCCGCAAGCCTGCCCCCTCCAGCACTATATCCTCAGCCGACAGGCGGGTGTCACGGCGATCCACCCGGAAACTCAGGGAGATGTTCTGCCCATAGCTCAGAAACTGGTTGCCAAGGAACTGCTCTGTGAAATTCACACAATCGCAATCAGGTCTCGTGCAAATACACCAGTAGAGGCAACTCAATAAAGACCTCGACTCCAAACTGGTGGTTAACGCGAGACTTCTTTCCTCTTTAAACAAAGTGTTCACACACAGAAAAAGTTGTAAACCTTACCAATTCAAACCTACTTTCTGTCAAACAATACGAATCTCTTACAAAAAACGTACAAGAACTGGTTGTCATGACTGTTTTAAATGCTGTCAATGATGCAGATGAATTGAAGTCTGGTGATTTTAGACTCTTTTGTTCTTAATTCTATTTAATAGTACGTATTCAGAATTGCCGCATTCCCAAGACTCGAAGCTCTACTTGCGAAATACCTGGAGCAACAAAGTAGATAGGGAAGTAATCTTCTGAAATCAGGGAGATCTCCTGTTGGCTAGGCAACCACTGAACTTTGACACTTGAGCCTTCACGCTGCTGTCCGGTCCAGCCTTCATCATCTAGGAGAAAATTTAAGCGTCAGTGGAACAGCAGCACACCACTGATCCGACACAGCCAAAGACCATCACCATGCAAGACATACCAAAAGTCTTTTAGAAGTTATTGGTCAGACTGAAGCATTTTCAGTACATTGTTCTGATTTCTGGTTCACAATTCCTCATACCAGGCTTGCAACAGGAACAGCTGTTAAGACCTTGAAGACAGATTCTTACCTAAATTTCTTTTCATTCCAAAATCAATTTCAAATATCACTCAGAAGCAAAAGGTTGTAAATACACTATATGCCTGACTGTGCGTACTATAGAGTACCTACAGCAGACAACACAAATTAATGCTGTTAATGTATGTGACAGGGTGTAACACTAATTTTGACATGAACATTTATTAAAAGAATACAGATTTTTGCACAATCCTGTGAAGGCAACCATCCACAGGTGGATCCGGATCCATTTCACAACTGAAAACAATTGTGCTTTACTACAAAGAGTATCAGATTATGAAAATCTTTCAAACTTTGCTGTCATGCTGCAGGAGGGGAAACAGTAAGTCGGGAACGATATTCTTGAAGTTACGCTTAACTACGAGAGCCGATTCTCGCTGGCAACCCCGATTCGGACTCTAGCAGTCTCCCAAAACGAAACCGTGAAGCTGAACAGACCCCTGCTGAAGGTGGAAGTGATGGTGTGCAGGCTGTAGCCATCAGCGCTGTCGCACACAGAGGAGTGCTGGAAACAGAAGCAGGCGGTACATCCCCGAGGGTTCAGAGGGTCAAGGTTAAAATATCCCAGCTTGCACCTGAAAGCACATCAACAATTAGTCAAGAGCTCCTAGCTGGAGTATGCCCTTTGTCGAGCTGGGAGGAAACTTCTGACAATTCAACGTGTGTTCCTTTTTTTGCTCCCCCTGGAGCGACATTCAAAAGACTCAACATTTTAACATTAGGCCAATTATAGCAGGAGAGACATAATTCAAAGCCCCACAGGGTTTTTAGCCAAACTAAAATAATCTGGAAACAGCCACCTCAAAAGAACAAAAAACAACTTCCTCCCAATCATTGGTTACGATTCAACCCCCCCACAGTTTAACATGTTTAGAAGTCCAATTTTTTAAAAAGTTAAAAGTTTAAAGTTTTAATTTTAGATAAATTCAGACACTGTACAGGAGAATAGCTCTAAAGGAGAGAATTGTTTTTGTATGTGTAATTCTGTTCTTAAATTATGAATCCCTTGTTTCATTACGTTTACAGAGTGCATCGGTCATGAACAACCACATTCCTCTTCCCAAATAATGCCCAGTCAATTAAAACTAACCTGACGCATGCAATTGGCACTCGACTAATAATAGTTATGTCATCACCCAAGACCAACTGGGTGGCTTTGCGATACGTGTGTCGGAGACAGTGGCTGCTATTTTCCTGCTGTTCTGAAAATGGCCAAGTGTAGATTTAAAAAGAGACTGTCTGCCTGACAGAGCAGAAGGGGAATTTTAATGGGTTGCCACACAATGGCATCAGTAAGTCAGTGGACCTCAGCTTTTGTACTGCTACTGTATATGAGTCCAAAGAAGGCTAAGACTTCTCATGTCCATGGAGAGAGGTGATATTCAGGGCCTATTTTCTCCCCCAGACCTGGAATGTGTGGATTGCTTTACGGACAAGAGGAGAATTTGTTTAATAGAACATATCTATCACCTGGCAGGAAGCTATGTTAAATAAAACTCCAAAGTTGTGTGTAAAGAGCATTCGCACGAACAAGCAAAAGATTTTCTTCACAGGGTGGAAACCAAGTACTGTAGGTTACAAGCTGGATAAACATTCCTAATCCTTTTTTCCATAAGTGATTCACGTGCTATCTCTATTTGTTTGGAGGTATGCTTACACTTAAAAATTATTTTCATACAATATTATGGTGGCGCTTATTGCAATGTTATGAGAGCGGACAGACTCTTTTTACAGATTTTCAAAACAATCGTAACCTACATAACAGAAATAAAAATGACTTAAGAGCTGGAGTACTGCAATTTTTTCCAGTTTCGCTGACAATTACAGAGATAATACCTTTCAGCTCCAGTATCGCACCCCACAGAATGTACTATAGCAGTAATTGGTAAGAAGCCTGAGAAATGTCAAAAGATCTTTCATTAACTGACCACTGAAATCGTATATATTACCCGCTGTAGTGTGAGAAAGCATGGCTCTGGCGCAGTACCTGTCACAACTGAACCCCTCCACATTTTCTTTGCACTGGCAGCGACCCGTCTGAATGTCACATTCCTGTGTGCTCCCTGCTGAGTGACACGAGCACGGCCTGCAATAAAGAAAGCACCGTCAAAACCCTTCACAAAAATGTCAAGTGTTCCCCTTTTCTGCAGCTTCGCTTCGAAGGCTTTTTAAAACAAAAGGTTGGACATCCTCGTGTACGTTTGCGAAGGAGTGAAATTAATCCAACGACTGTCATGATGAACGCGATCAAAAAATTTTCTATGTTTATATAAAAACTTGATCATGTACGGGCAGCATCGTGTTGCATTGCTGCCTCACAGAACTGGGGCCCTGGGTCCAATTCCTGTGGTGCTGTCTACATGAAGTTTGAATGTTCAGTGTTCACATAGGTTTCCTCTCGCCGACCAGAAACATATTGGATGGTTAATTGGCTTCTGGGAAAATTGGCCCTGGCGTGAGCATGTCTATGTGTCTGCCCTGTGAAAGACTGGTGTCCTGTCCAGGGCGTATCCTGCCTTGTGCCCGTAGCTGGCCCGGTTATCTCTGGCTCGAATCCCGTGACCCCAAATCGGATGAAAACAGTTCGAAAATGGATGGATGATCACGTACTTTCCAAAGGCACGCCCAAAACTTGAACTACCCATAACTGTGCTGTTCCATCAAATTCCCAAAATCGGCGCCAGGTCACAGAACTGGGGTCAGCAGCCCCGACACTCACCTGCAGCCCGCCTCTGTGAGCGTGTGGTAGCCTGGCTGACAGCGGTCGCACTTGTCTCCCATCACACCTGGCTTGCAGCTGCAGCGGCCGCTGTTATCGCACTGAGTGCTCAAAGACCCTGAAAAGATGGAAGCCGCTTTCAGCACGCAGTTCACAGCGTAAAGCAACACCAAACAATGCAAAACCAAAACAGACCCTCAGGAAACAAAATGTATCAGATTCCAAGCTTTTAAACCAGGAAAAAGAGATGCACACAAAAAATAAAATATAGGCAAATTATTTTAGACGCATGAAATAAAACTAAATTTAATCCATTCTGGGGTGTAAGACTGCATTCATATGGTGGCAATAAATGGTAAAACACTAATACAGAAATACCTTTTGTTTCTTACTAACAGAGTCTGGTAAATTAATTTTTTTCATAGAAACACAGAAGCCTCGATGTTTAGAGATGAAACCGGCATTTCACTTACCAACCGCATTGCAGCTGCAGGGCAGGCAGCGGTCACTGGGCCTCTGTCTGTAGTAGTTGTCACGGCAACGCTCGCAGTTGGGCCCGTCGGTGTTATCGGCACAGCCCCGGCAATGCCCGCCGTGCCCCGTGGCACGATACAGCTCGGGATCGAAGTAACACTCTGAAGACTTGCCATTACAGTTGCAAGCTGAGCCGGGGAAAAAGCGATTTCAGCGCGATGGTGGAAAACAAATCCGAAACGGAAAACATTTCGGAGGTCTTTGAGCCAAAGTGGCTGAAATGGCCTTGCTTTTCTTTCAGATTCTGAAGCTGCAATTTGTCTGAGATGGCTACATAACCTTACAACAAAACCAAGCTTGTGAAATACATATAACCCTGCACAGGTCTGTCCCTTGATGCAGAGATAAATCAGAAGTTCACCACTGAAATGCAGAAATGAGTTTCTGGCTACTAATTGAATTAAACTTGAATATAAATTAACATCAAAATCACCCAGCTCTAACAGCACAACAGGCTTCTCACGTGCTGCGTGGATGTGGGAAAATGTCTATTTGCTTTAAACAATGTAGGTGGGGAAGAAGCAATGTAAAGGGTAATGAAATATGCAAACTTTTACATACAGCTCTTTTGTTGGTAGCCTCACATATGTTTTGTCATTTTAATATTTGATTGTACCTACCTGAATGTTTTTCTTGGTACTCGTAAACCTTGTGTGTAAGACAGCTTGAATGAGTGTTTCTACTAAGCACGTGATTGATCTTTGCTTCTCAAAAGACTGGGCATTTTCCCCCTATATTTAAAAAAAAATGTCAAAGCCAATTTGTAGCTGTAGCTTACTTCTAGTAGAAGCCTTTGGTTTGAATTTTAGCTTCTTAAAAATAACTTCACCTGCTTCAATAACCAGCCAATGAACATCAGTTGGTACTGAGCCAACTGCATTGCTCAATTTCAATCTCTCTTCTACTGCTTGGGGCCAAACCTGAGAGAACAAACTTACGCAAGCACTCGTTGGGGTTTTCAGCTGTGGCTCTCCTCCAGGGCCGGTCGTTGTAGAAGCCTTTGCAGACACTGCAGTCGTCTCCCTCGGTGTTGTGCTTGCAGTTACACACTAATCTTCCATTGACGTTCTTTATGCACTCGCTTGCGTGCCCGTTGCATTTACACCTGAAGCAAGGTGAAGAAGCAAACATCGTTGAGGACAGATTTTATGAAGTTATTCCATTTAGAAAAACGTACTTAGCATTTAGTACCAATTGCTTAAAGAGGTTTATGAAACCCAATATGACCAAACTAATATGAATTTTAATATAGAATGTTTGCTGTTCCTGTCGCATGCTACTTTAAATAAAACATTTTTCTACTTTGCATTTTACTAAGATTACTCACTTATATTAAAAATTAAACACAATGCTAACAACGAGAACAAGAGCTTCCACTACCTAAAGATAGTTTCCTTCATCCACAAACGCACGAGTCATAAATTCTTATTTGCCTTTAGTCTCTGCTAGTAACAAACTTTTTATTACTGGATGCATGTCATGGCTTAATGTGTTTTTTTTTTTATTTGGGCAACTGGTTTTTCTGTGTTAAGATTAAAATAAAGTTAGGAGTCAATTGCTTTTCATGCCTCTAATTCACCCCTTGCTTTGCAGCTTATACTGTATTCAACTGCAGAGGGTATAGGACAGTTTAATGCAAACCAGACTGAAGTGCCCACGATTTCAAATACACCCTGGAAAACGTTAGACAGGAAGGTTTCAGAGCTTTGTGGAATAAACTGCAACAGATGTTCTACAGTTGCAGAGAAACATCAGCTGTTTATAACAGGGACAGTTAAATACACAGTATCTGGGAATAACAGTGAGTTGCATTATCCCTGACAAATATTTGGCAAGTACTTCCACCCAGACAAACAGGCCACTGCTGTTTTGTGACTATATTTTATACATTGGGACATTTGCCTCCCACAGAGATAAACGTTGCATGAGAACACGGTCTTCCTTCTGCTGACATCTGTATGTTTAATATCACTCTTTCCAAGTGTTCTCTCCTTGGGTTCAGCCCATAAAATACCAGTGATTGAGTATTGTGCCTTATTTACCCTGATAATCTTGGTATTTCGTCAATGGACATTCTCCACCTATTACGTTTTGACAGGATTCGCCAGCGAGTGGGAACTTGCAGATAGGCACTGTGGATATTGTTTCAAGAGCTTGGCAATGTTGTATGGAAAAAGTGAGGTACTGATCAAGACTTCAGTATAGGGAAGATGTATCATTACCTCCAAAGATAACGCTTAAATATAAATACATATATTTAATACATAAATATATAATACACTCAAACAATTGGACGTTCTGGAAGGAAATCTCGAATAAGAAACGTGCTACAAACGAAAACGAAGACGTTGGATAAAGAAACTGAATTTCAGACACAACATTCACATCATTCATCACTCATTTGTCCATTTATTAGTGAATCCACCCACTAGACCCTTGTCTCTACATACTGTAATCCAACACTCCCATCTTGGAATTTCAGGAATGCATCTGTATGACGGAAAACTCTTGGAATTTCCAAACCCATTAAGTCGAAACATTATGAATACTAAATCTCTCTTGTTTTCTTAAAAGTCATGTCTATTTCCCTTAACAGAAAAGTGCTGATTTTGGAGAGCCAAGTTACACCCACATGAACAACTTTTTAACAACAGTCATGGAAAGATGTGAAAAAATCTGGAGGTGGATCACAATGAATACATGCACCACCATTCCTTTTCTAATCGATTTAACATACTATACACTATCCTGCACAACACTCTGTAGATAACATGTGGTTACAAAGGAGAAAAAAACAGGAGGGTCAGATTTACAGTTTTATGACAGAAGATCCAGCTTGTTCCATTTAGTACATCTTGTCTTTCAGAGTTGTGGAATCTCAGTCTCAATAGAGAATTTGTGCTGAACAAACAAGCCTTGTAATTTAATGGACTGGACTCAATCAGTCACGGAAATGTTAAAACAGATTTTTGAAGTTATTGCGAAATGCACTGCGAACTTTATAGCAGTACTTCTCTGCTTCATAGCAGTAATATATAATTATTGGGATTTTTAACTCAAATGATACACAGAAGGACTAAAAACACAGAACCCTCCTTTAGAACTGTTCAGTATTATCAAAGAATAACAATCATTCCTAAAAAAATACATCATAGAAGATCTTCTAGGTCTATATCTTCTAGGAATGATTTTCGTTATGGTCAAAAGTATTCTTCTTTCTTTTTAATAACAGCCATTGTAATGTTAAAGCTTCGTAATGTGGTATGAAAAGTTTTAGTGATTACTTTTCATATCAAAAATAGCATATTAAAATTTACGGTCCTATACTAATGTAAAAATACATCATTTACAGTTTACAGTACAGTTACAATTCTAGGAGTATATGACCTACTTTAGATTCAATCCAGGGTAATAAGCTTACACCATGTCAAATTTGAATGACATTCTTTCATGGAAAAGCTTTTGAGCATTAGCAAAACATATTGTAAATACCAGTCCATACATACACTTATATGAACACGCTTTTTGCATGTTCCAGACCATATTAGAAGGGGAATTGGATAATTAAATGCTTTCTGGCACATAGTTTAGGAAACAATCTTGTGGTTCTTTTTGTTTAGCTACAAAAACAGCTAAAGCAATCATGACCTGTCAGTATGACCTTCTTCCGAAACAATGGAATTTCAGAATGATTTACTGGCTGACAACAGAGATGCTAGCGAGCAACACTAAAAAGACAATTCACTGGTTCTACAACGGTCCTTTGTGCTTTATGAACATAAATAGTGCATTATGCATTTGTAGCGCATTCTGAATATTAAATATGTCCGCTAAGTTACTTATTTCACTGCCAAGGCACCCTGCTCCAGCACAAAAGCAAAGGACAAAACTGCGACACCAGCCTCACCTGCCACCAACAGCAAAGTCAGAGATGGCATAGTAGTATGATTTGAGGACTTTGGGATCATTGAAAACTTCATCTCCAAAGGTGTTGAGCCTGTTCAAGGTCACCCGGATGTCAGTAGCTGTCACCCATTCCTGAAAGAAAAGGCCAGACACATAGCCAGTTCAGCAGGTTAGTGACAAATAAACACAAAAAGCATAATTTTCTATATATATATATTCTGCACACAAACTTGACATACTGTATGCATACATATTAGGCCTGGCATTTACACAAATGTATAACTGAATATATATTTAGACATTATTCCACATTTTAGAGGAACTGCAGTCCCAATTTCTCAGACTGGTCATTAATTCTCAGCAACAAGATAAATTCATTGACAATATAGAAAACAATTACAAATTTAGAACTAAGCACAAAATCGTGAACTTACAATACAGCACCAGAAGTTTTGTTGTCTCATTCTGAATCTCAGAACATGACACAGCACATACCTGGAAATTTTGGCTTTTTTGCGGTGTACATTGGAGGTTTTACAATTTACTGTGTATATTTTACTTTTACTGTGGTTTGAAATGTAAGAATCAGCATTGATCAGTTCTAAGCCTGAAACATACAAATAGTGTTGGAGTTCCCCTTCAAAATGGTTATTCTTAAAAAAAAAGTAATGACATTAACTATTTGCATCATCAACATTTAATCAAAAATCGTTAGAACAGCATTAAGCTAATTACATGGTTTATAAAGGGGGAAAACAGACTTTGGTTCCATTTAAGTTTAAGAGAAAAGTGTGATTCTTAAACCACCTACGTATCCTCTGTGTATTTACAGTTCTTAAAGAAATGTATATCATGTTACCCCTGTAACCTCAGTTTTAAACACATTTCAGGCTTTAGACAGAAATTTTAACTATCAGAGAGCTTCTTCTCTCTGACCTTGATCAGAACACCATCCTGCTACCTCCTAGAAGCCAAAAAAAGGAAAATTAATTTTTCAGGATGCCATCTGGAACTATTACACATTAGTAAATTCCATGTGACATTGTTGAAATCATGGTTCAACAAGAGTTTTATGTTCCAAACAAACTTTAAAGCATGACCTTTTCTGTACATCTTGTAATAACAATGTCCAACAGGGAATTTATTCTATACCCTTGAAATAATCTGCCTGTGAAATTACTCTCTGCGATCTAAACAATTTACCAATTTCCATGGAGATAACTGAACTAAGGCCATGCAATGAAAAATCTTATAAATGACATAACATGGCAAGATATTTAAAATGAAAATGCCTGTACATTTCCTTTTCATTTTTAATATTCCATCAAGCAATTTGACTATTACAAATTTAATCTGGATCCTAAAAGTCCCAGCTACTTCCTGAGGTACAGATCCAAATAGGTCACACTCCAGATACTCAGACAAGTAACAAACCTAAGCATTTTCTACAGTAAGAGTTGTGAAGGCTATGCTCCTTAAAACAAAAAACTGTGAACTAGGCAACAAATGGACACTGTGGAATTCTATAGGTGCATTTATATAACAGGAGCCCACTCCTCACACATAGGACTGAGGGTGAATGGAACAAGAGAGTTATATTTCAACTACCCCATTAACCCAAATGAGATTAAGCATGGAGAAATAAGATACAGATTAAATTTTGGTTTTGCTTAAGATATTCAAAAACTTTGAATACGTAATAAAGCAATAAAAGGCAAATAGAGGAAAAATTGTCTCTCAGGGACACAAGCAACAGCATAGAATACAAGAATACACAAATCAATGAAAATATTCTGTATCACACTACACAGTATGACAATCATATTGTTTTGTGGTTTTGCCAACAAGAAGGAAATTATTCTTTTAACAAAAACATACATGTAAGCCCATTAAGCAAGCTGTTTTTCTTGCATGAAATGTATCGCACCTTAAATGTCTGGCTCTAACTCTCTCCATGTTGTTTTTATTAAATCCCTTAAGCATTGTCATCTGCTTGCTAACAGTTTCATTACAGACATCTGAACCTGATTACAAGCTATTGCTCAATCACTGAGTTAAGCCAAGATATGACAGGAGGCTGCAAATGTGGAGTAGTGATAGACCTGCCTCTGAGATAATTTCTGTGAGTAGCAGAGAGCTTTACCTACCCCGCCATTATTATTCCGTTGTTTTTCCCGTTTATATTTATAAGATTCAGTCACTGGTTAGTTAACTCATTCATAAACCTATTCACATCCAATATACTAGTTATGGTGCATTAAAAATGTAATATTAAGGAAAATATTTTTCCATTTGCCACTTCAAGTTTTCTTAGTATAGCATTACGCCCGTCTTGAGGGAAATTATAGGTCGGAGTTTACAAGGGCTGGAAAAGTGAGTTGGTGCATGTTTACATTTTGAGGCACTTTCTACTTTTGGCAAAGGTGTTGGTGTAAACCTTGGTACATACTTTCCAAGGATAGAGACTCAGACCTTTGTAAAAGGCAGTGTGGAGATTTGTAATTAAAGCCGTGGGCTTCCCAACACTGCATGCCATTTTATGCAACTTTTACATGAACACCCTATAAATATTAACCACTAATGCGATCTCTCACCGGCAAAAAAAAAAAACAGCCCTCGTTTCTCTGTTGACACCATCTTTTTCAGCTGATAAAAATACATAGCTGAGGAAAGTAATTTAAAAAACAATTACTTTCAAAACAAATTCACTTACATTCCTAGTTATGGACCAGCTCATATTACAGGAAACTGTTCTATTCCTCGGTTACTGACCGACCAATTTTTTGTTTGCTAAAATTCAGTAAAACCATCTTGAAGACATTACTGGTTTCAGCCAGCACTATGGAGTCACTGTTTTCCTCCCTACGAATATTTTCTGCAGCTGATAAAACCCCAGCTGTGTGCAGAAGGCTAGCAGATGCAGATATATTCACGGCTTTAGGTCTTCAAGCAAGCTGTGAACAGCAGAGGTGCTCTTGCCAAGGGAAAGGGCCTGGGAAACTCCTCTCAGAGCAATCACTGTCTTCACAGCTGCCCCAGTGCACAGGTACATGAGCAACAGAGTTATCCCACTAACTAGCCTTTATTAAACATGAGTAATAAGCCCTCGCCTCCTCTCACACCACCGCCAGTGTGAGAAAAGACCAGATTGCTTGCAGATGCATTTTATTTCACGTTGCAGATCTAATGTGTTCCATGTGATCATTAATGTTGATTTATTTGAACTATTCGGGGGAAAAAAGGCACTTGAAGGAGCAACAAAAGAGAAACAACGAAAAAGCCTACAAAATGACACAGAAAAAAAGATTAAATTAAGGTATAAGAAAATTCAGACAAGTGAAATTTGCAGTTTAAACCACAATAGGGAGATCAGCAAACACTGAGAGAACACCAATAAGATTATATGGTATATAAATGCGGACAATTGCAGTGCTGCAAAAAAAAGATGGAAACTGCTTCTGAGAAATAAGTAGGTGTTTATGAAGATACATTTTCACCTTGCAGACATTGTGTGAAAAGAATAAAAAGACAAACCAAGGATGTTATGTTTAAATTGCACAGCGCATTCTAAATGCAGAACATTCATTTTGAATATGCTGTACAATTTTGGCATAAAAAAAAGCTTTTGGTGTTCTGGACTTAGTCCAGAGAAGTGCGACCAGATCCATTTCTGGGCTCAAAGGAAAGTTCTGCATGGAGGCTTAAACAACTCCTATTTAGTCCTGAACAGATAAAAGACTACAAGTGGACTCGATTCAAGTATGCATGTTTGCTGAAGTTATTTTAAACCCTGTCTTAAACTGGCTGCTGACATTGTTAACCCAATTTAGAGCCTGGGTCAAAATATCTTCTGCCAATTTGAATTGTATCAAGCTTTCTGGAAGCAGCATCTTTTCAAAGCACACTCAAATGTATATTCTTATCTCAAAAGCAAACCAGTGATTGCATTGGTGCGACTTCCATTGATTAAGCATACTTGGCTCTATCCATGATACATGTCAAATATTCCTTAATATAAAACAATTCAGCACACCACAAAGATCCACTTAAACTTCCCCCACAATAATGTCCACCACACTCTGTCCATCAAGTTCTGTGTAAAGGTATTTATTCCAGACAGGGATCTGGGTTTGGTATAAATAGCAAGATGCCACTGGAGAAAGACTAATATGAAGGTATCTGGCTACCAAGCTAAATTTAAAGAGTGGGTAGAGGTAGAGAATTACATAGGAAAATCTCCTGTTGGCATTTTCTTATGAGGGTATTTTAAAATGCAAGCTGATAATTGTTTAGATCACAGAAGAGCCAATAACAATTTATACTAAATTGTTCAACAGATTTGCTACCTGATTATCAAGCTGCTCAAGGTACAGAAATCTTGGTCAGTGTTAAGTTTGTCTTAAATATTTAAACCACTGCTTGGCAGCAGGTTTATGAATAGATTGTACTGCTTTTGTTGTACAAATGCCAAACTAAAATAACAGTAATAGGATATTGTATGACTTCAAACCTGATAAGACTCCCAGGAAATGTTATTGACAACGCAAGACTAAAATGCTTGCTAAATTAAAGCTACATCCTTGTGTTGTGGCAGTTTCCTGTAAAATGAAAATGAACTAATTAAACACCTTACTGCTTGACCATATTTTAAAAAATAATTTAGATGAAATGTAATCTATATAATGCAGGATATACCAAGTTTCCAAACAGCATCAACCATCTTCTTCAGGAATGGAATGTTATGTATCTCAGCAATCATTATCCTCTGTCTACTGTATCATGACATCATTATACCCCCACCCTTGAATGGTTATCCAACCTTAATCCACACATGGTTTTGAACGCCTTGTTTTTCAAGGATTTAAATCACAATTTACTATTCATAACATCCGCTCAGCTTTTGATCTCTCTCACCCAAGGCAGTAAACTTAGTTCTAGCCTACAGGGGCTAAAATGGTGCCTGGAGGCATGTATCTTTGAAGACTCCCATCTTTAATCTTAAAATAATCCTTCCATCCCTACCTCCTACAACCCCCCTCCATGCCACAGCACCGCCACACACACACACAGATGTGTGGGGTTCCAGCCACCCTGGGAGTTGCTGTCTCTTTAATTAAACAGCCTTATCTGTTGGGTGGATATCTAAAGGATCCAAGAGAAGCATGGAAATTGACTACCCAGTGATGTGGTCAAGGCAGCTAAGAGTTAATCTACTTTAATCCATATCAGACATTGACTTCCTTATGTCAACTTTCGTAGCCATAAAGATCATTCACAATGCACGCAAACACTTTTGTGCATATAAGACAAGTTATATGTTCAATGTATGCATAGTTCAGTAGTTAAGTAATGTGCTTTCTTTGCACATGCATCCAAAAATACCCTATTATGAATATGCCCAATTATTTTAAACGCGAATGATTTCAATTTGCAGTCTCTTGGTTCTGGCACCATCGATGACACAGAAAACTGGAGGGCACTTAGGGTCTATTTCTAAAGTCCAGCGAGTCACTAAAGTAGTATTTGTCATACCCTGTGTTAAGGGTTGTCTCATACTGTAAACACAGCACTGGGAATTCTCCAATTTTAGATACTTGATTGCATCCAAACTTGACGGAAGCCTAAAGTAAAGCACTTGGGAAACAATGTTACCTAATATCTTATTAATTCAACCAGAACTAAGGAAGTCTTCAATCGTTCTAAAAATTTTTATTTCTGCTGTCACATTTAGGAAAATCACAGTTCAATTCCATGCCATTAGGCTTCAATGACAGCAATAATCAAATGTCCACCAAATAACTTCTCACTGTTTGTAGTTATGATTCCAAATGGTCTCTTTATAGAACAGGTTCGACTGGGGAGCTGTGCCAGCATGCAGACTGAAGTCTCCAATAACCTCTACTTGTTCCTTTGTATTAAATAATACAAAAACCTGAATCTTTCATTCCTTTGCAATGCAAAATCATTTTACTTAAGCACTGCAGTGGAGGTACTCGGGTGCTTTTATTGCACAGATCAAGCCTAGTGCTTGGACCCAAAGTAGAAATGAACTGGACAGCAGGGGGTTGTCTAGCTATCTTCTGTTAAACAAATTAGGTTGGAGACAGTCCAAACAGAATTATTCTCTCTGTCTGTGTTTTATCAATGTGAGATTGGATCAAGCCACAAGTTACTTTGATTTCTCTGACTTACAGTGGATACAGGTAATGCCTGATAGGGAATGGCATGCGAATGGAATTTGCAAAAACGTGCTGACAACAGAAGAACACTATCACATCTCCCCTAGATAACACAGTAACACTATGTACATGAATGCATTTCTTTAGCCACAAGACGAATGAATGACAGAAAGGTGTCTGAGAAATACGATCCAAGCAAACTCGTGTCCATTCGAAGACACCGACTGCCAATGAAATCTTTCCACTTGCTAATTCCCTTAAACTAATTATGATACACTGTGATAACAGTGGCTTTCTTCAAGTCCTCCATCACCTAGGGGTCTTCAGCTACAGAGCTCTATAGAAGCCCAACACATCTCAATCTGAAAGAGAAAAGGCCTAGCGCACATTTAAAATACTGTTGCAGTCCTTGCAAAAAAAGCATTGCCATTGATGTCTGCTCCTACAAAAACAAGCACTGTGCTCTTTAACTGCACATCCCAATTAGCACACTTTTTTTTATCCTGGCCGTAACAAAATAGCAGACCATTCCTGGTCTGCCTACACTTGCTTCTGTTTTCCGGCGCTAGGCGTTTCCCTATACCTGCAGGACAGGGCTGTTGTCGAAGTTGTAGGCGCTGGGCCGGCCCTCGAGGGTGGAGAAGGCCACGTTGCCCCCAGTCAGGGGGGATATGTCGCTGAACTCGTCCGTGCACAGCGCCTGCTGCTCATCCTCCCCAGTCCTGATGAACCCACGATTCTGCTTCTGGTAAGTCTTCTCGCAGGAGCTGCTGTAATACTGGTAAGGTACCCAGGGCCCGTCCTCACTGGTACGCTTGTATATGGCAAAGCTCTCTGGCCGGCTGGTATGGAACTTCAGTCTCACATAAGTGATGTCAAAAGATTTGCCTGTGGACACAGCAAAAAAAAAAGAGAGACCTGACTGAGTATGTGTACCTTACAAGACATTTGGCATAAACATTCTTTTTTAGACCTCGAATACATCATATATACATTTTGTATAACTGTTGATGATTAACATCCAAAGATGTTAACAACCTAAATATAATACGGCTTCTAAATATATATTCTTTCATGATTTATTAAAACACTAAGGCAAAGATACTGTGCAAAAATCCGCAAGGATCAGTAGGGGGAAAAGAGCCTGGAAAAGAGTGGAAGTGTTGAAAGGAAGCCATTTATTCTGACCTGAAAGTGTCAGTTTTGTTCATTAGGGAGTCACTAGAAAACTAATTCCAGAAATGTATGATAAGAGACAGAGCAATGAGGCTACCCTCAGAGGTCATGGCCCAAATTGCCAGTCAAACAGCTTTAGCAGGTCGATTTCCTTGAGGTCTGTCAACTGCCAATTTCTGCAAGAGTCTCAACCTCAGTCAACTATTTCCAGACTTATAAAACCAAGGAGCATTTTCGAACCTCTTCTTCCAATTTAGGGCTGCGGGTTAGCTGGAGCCCATCCCAGCAAGCAATGAGCGCAAGGCAGGATACACCCCGGGTGGGACGCCAGTTCATCGCAGGGCAGACTTACAGACACGAACACAGATGCACACATACTCACACCAAGGGCCAATTTCCCCCAAAGCCAATTTACCTACAGTTGTTTTTGGATTGAGTGAGGAAACTGGTGCGCACAAAGGAAACTCACGTGAACATGGGGAGAATATACAATCTCCACCCAGGCCCCAGATTGAACCCAGGACCCCAGTACTGCGAGGCAGCAACGCTAACTGCTGCACCACCGTGCTGCCCTCATTCTGAACCTTCAAATCTAAAATGCTCTTTTGGAATTTATGTTCCAGATTTCTGTTTATCCTTCAGTTCTACACCACAGTTTAATGTGACGGTTTTCGCACTCTCAGAATCACACATTCTGGATCGTTTTAGGTTCTGAAAATGCTCCCCTGGCATGGAACTCATTATATTCTAAAACCCATGATATTCCCTCCACGTGCCTTTGACTTTCCCAGCCTTTTAAAGTAATATATTTCTTTAAATTGCCGTAACATCCTGCTCCAGTTTTTATCCCATTCCCCTGTGATCTCTCACACCATCACAAAATTTGACCAAAAACCAATTCTTCACTCTGCTCAGTGCCATTTCTTCTTTACAGTAATCAATTCCCGACTCCTGAGTGAAGACATGGGTCTATTGTGCTTCTTGCAAAACTCTTCACTTCTCTTTCACTCTTTTTATCACTCTACCTTTTTTTCCTTTCACTGAGTGTTTTTTGTATTTATGCATCTATTGTTGTAAATTGCCTTTGGTAAGGGCGTCTGCTACGCAATTAACTAAAATCACACCATCAAAAGAATTAAAAGGCATCGCCTCAAAATGACTTAAGATGTAGGAACCTTAGAAGCAGGATATTTTTTTTAAAGAAAAATATTTTATATTATACTAGATTTTCTACTATACAAAGAAGTTTCCAGTTGTAAAATACCGCAAGTGCAAAATGATTAAGTGGTTCTTATGTTCATTACTGATTTTTACACCACTTTCTGCTTTTCATTTTTTCATTCCTTGTTCACATTTGCCGTATATATCTAAGACAGCTCTATATGAAAAAAAACATCTGGCATAGTTATTTAAGAGCCTTGAGAAAAGTAGTTCACTGTTCGATTTACAGTGCAATTGAGAAGTTTTCAAATACCAGCGACTGGGGGTGAGAACAATATTGTTCATTTTTCTTCACACTCAGCTATGCATTGTCAGTTCTCCATTTTAGACATGAAATAAAGCAATAGTGTCTGGAAGAATTGTACTGTCTTGCTGTTTTTATTTTCAATGTTATAGTTAGTGGCCATGATCTTTTATAAAAAAGGTGTTTATCAGCAAAAGCTAAAAAATATGAAGAGCAACCTTCACGATACCAAACAATAGCTGTGTATTGGTGTCTTATACACATAGTAGTAGTGAAAGAAGACAGCCATTTAACATGTAACAGACAAAAATTGAGATAGTATCAAGTACCATCGTGTTATACAGAATATCATATTGAGGCATACTAAATGAGCTATTGAAGACTGCTACAGCATGTACAGTAAACTTTTCATATTAACTAAAAGAGAACAAAGGACAGAGGAGGTGAGAATGGGCAGAGAGCAGGTGTGAAAAGATGAAATCCGTAAATGAACAGAGAGGTTCTAAAAAGAAAATGAAGGTAAGTTTCAAACAAAATCCTTTTGGGATGACTCTGTGGCAACAGCATCTCTCTGGGAACAGGGGTTGGTGAAAAAGTCTGGGCTTGGAGGAAGTTGCTGTGAGGAGGCCAAATGTTGGTTTAATAAGAGAAGAGAGCAAGGGGATCAGGGAGGAGAAGGAAGGGCGAAGGCATGTGAATGTAACAGAGCTGAAATGTTTACATGGTGAAAACCTCTCGAGATTAGCCATGCACAAAGAAAACCAAAATCACACCAAGGGTCGTTACAACCCACCTTCTACGTAATACACAAATAAGTCCATCAAGACCAAGTTTTAAAATAATGTACGTGCAATATACATTTCTCCCTAGCTTTTACTTTCTATTATATGAACCATTTTATTTCATCGACACCCAAATGCTAAAAATATCTTAGTCAATGCCATCGTATTGTCGTCTTCTGGAACAGCTGCAGGACCAATCAACAGCTTCTCATTTAATACAGTGCAAAAATTAAAATCTTAACGGGCTTAACACACTCAAACACCCTGCTTATAAAGGAAAGGTTTTTAAAAAGACTGACATTGCTCTATTAACCTGGAGGCTCAAGTGTGCCTCAGATAGAGCCTTGGGATTTGAAAGACTCGTGTGGCCAAGTCACAGCACACCTGGGTCAATGGGTTGCAAAATGGTCAACAACAATAAAGCTCTACACCACCATTTATCTGACAGATAATAAAACATCCCTCAAAAGCTCATGTACCAATTTCATAGATGCACAACAGATGGACTGGCAAGGTCATTCACACAGAAATGATTCCCATCAAGTCAACAACTGGCAATTTACTTGTTGCCAATATCTCTTACGGTGAACAGCACCAGTTCCAGTTAGCACAGGTTATACTCTGACAGGGTACGGAACAAACGCCAAACAAAGGTGGCTTACAACTGGTGGAGACCCTCCAGACTAAGACCTCTCCATAGAAAAAAAAACAGGCCGAACAAGGATATTAAGATGCAAGATTTACTGAGCAATCAGCTGTCTGTTATCCCCAAAACTGTCCCACTCAGCCTTTTTTCAGGCAGGCTGAAACATGGGTTATATTACAGGGGACTTTTTGTTCCCTAAGTCAGTTTTAATTGTAACACTGTGTGGGAGAAGGAACAGTGAGTTTTATATTCCTATACATTAAATGCTGCTGTGCCAACACTGGCATGCAAACCACAGCTCCAACATATTCTGCAATGTTCTCAGGCAATGTAAAACACACCTCCAGATTCCATTTTTGTCCTGCACAAGAAATACAGCACTGGTGGGTACCAGTTGTGATTTTGATGATGCTTGCTTGAAATACTTGTAAATCTAAGTTTAGGAATGCATGTGACAGAGCTGCGATCGGGAGCACCAGCTGAGATGCCCTCTGGCGATGGCTCAGCAGGGAGCCTGGCTCCACCTGACCTCCCCCCCGTCGATGCCAGCTCTTTCAGCTAGTCTACCAGACAGTGAAATCGGGTGCGCTTTTTAAAAAGGCGGAAAACTGTAAACTGGGAATTTGCAGCTCATCGGGAAACTGCAGACTACACACCCATTGAAAGATGATAAAAAAAAACAGAAATGGGTCACAACAGGCCCTGCCCCTTTCGAAACCTTTACTGGATATGTGCAGCAGTGTGAGTTATCCTAAGGGTACCAGCATGAGATGTCTCTATCAGATGGAAGTGGAGGACAGGAAGGAAATTATTTGGAATATGGAGCGCTGATGTCACTGAGGCAGCCTCTTCAAATCACCAACAAAAGCAGCCAAGACACCTTACTGGAAGACCCACTGAAAACAAACAATTCAGGTTGAAAAAAGGTGATTGACACTCAGCAACATAAGCAACTATTCTCTTTAAAACAACATCTTAATACACTCTCAGCCACTTTTATTACCCTGAATGCTTTAACCACAGGAAAATGAACAACAGTGATGCTAGATCAAGCTAGGTTTTGACTACATTCATAAACGTACTCCACCAAATCACCAAACCATTTCACGCCTTTTCAATAGAGAACATTAGACAGCCCTGAGACTAGGGGGATTGATCCAGATTTTGTGTTGATGTCTCTAGTCCCAAACATGATGGAAGCAATACTACTGTGTGCTTTTAATCCATCCAAAAAAGTAGCAGCTATATTAATAAAAAAAACATAATTAAGGGACAGCACAAGTAAGGATTATATAGTATTGACAACTCAAATGCAAAACACATTGGAAAAACTGAAGTAGCCAAAGATTTAAGAATACTTCAGTTTCTAACAAAAATGCAAGTTCAGTGTAAAAATGTACAGTACACCATTCAAGGTGGAAATAAGTTATAAAACTACTGCTCGGAGTGTAGCAATGGTATTACTATACAGGCTGACACATTTCTAAGGCAGCACACTGACTTTTAACAAGAGTTACTGCTTTAACAGAACTAATAGTTGAAAACGTAGTTTGAAAAGCCAAGGAATTTCAACACTAACTGGACAGGTGAGCAGGATGCTGGAGGTTCCCTTGTTTGCTTTCATAACACTCTTTCCCCTTAACACCTTATGCCATAAGGTATAATGTTATAGATTTAAAAAGAATATCGATTCAAGAAACAGAGGAAAGAGTGTTAAGCACCGCATGAAGTTGCTTCATACATTCCATGGCTCCTTCAAGCAATAACTCATATCAACAACGAAACAAGTGTGCTTAAAGAGGGGGACCATGTTTTATTG